CACATGCAGAAGTAACACTGCTCACTGCTGCTGCTTTGCATCCAACTTGGCAAACAACCCAGGAATGCGCCGTTCCTAGGTTGATTGCCAAGATGTCCAAACCTGGCACCCTGGATTGTAGGAGGAGAAGCAACAGTGCCTTAAAAGCAACAAACAATGGCTTAAAACTCTAGGTTGTGATTTCACAGGAAACAACTCAGGAATGGGGATGTGCCTGAGTTGTTTGCTAACCTAGATGCAATACTGTTTGTTGCTAATGGGTGAACCAGGTTAGTCTGATATGGTATGAAATGGGAAGCACCACACAAAGTTCCGAGTGTGCTCGAAAAGTGGTGTATATCATAGTTATGCACTGTACTGCTTTGCACAGGCACAGATTACCCACATCTGCAAGTGCATAGAGAATATGAAGAAAAATTCTGTAGAAAGTGGCCTCAGTCCAAAGAAGAATAAATAGGGGCGATAGTCTCTTCCAAGAGAAGCTCCCACAACTAAATTTGGTCCCTGTTAAGTCTCTTCTTGTGTTTAGTTCTAATTTAGTTTGGGGCAGCAGTTAGAGAAGTCAGAATTGCTTACTGAACCACTGCCTCTTTTAAAAGTATCCCTAAAAAACCCATGCGTGAATCTCCTTTTGCCTCTTGTATGGATATTTTACGCATGTGCCCCTCCGTAACAAAGATGTCTGCTGATGTCCAGCATTGGAAAATTAATTCCCTTTAAAGTTTTGTCAACCAGTCTTCATCTATGCCCAGGAAGTTCCCTTCCTAGTCAACTAAATTGTTCTACATTTGTGACTAAGTTTTACCTGAGCAGTGGATATAATTACAGATTGCATCTGAAAACTGGTGATCTTCCTGGTCTGTTTTCCTTCTGTGGGAAACAAGTCCACAGCTCTCTTTTGTGCACCTGCAAAAGCTGCCTTCTATTCTTCATCTATGCTTAAATTCACTGGAGAATGGCGATAGTGATGATTATTTATGTACAACTTTTCCATCTTGTTCTTCTTCCAGCATTCCCAGAGTGGTTTACAAAGATCAGAAATAAGGCAGTCTTTGCCTGCAGGCTTATAATCCTAAGAGATACAACACAAAAGCAAAAGGGATTGGGATAGAAGAGGAAATTAAAAGAAAATTTAGTCACTGTATGCTGAATTGCTGTGCTCAGCAGGCCATGGAGTTGGATCTAAACACTGTGGAAAACTGCTTCTCCCATTGATGGTTTCACAGCAACAGTTGGCAGAAGATCCCTTTCCCAAGCAGTTGTCCTTAATTTTTTAGTGCTGCTTGGCCTATGTAGGGTAAGTTTCAATCTGTAATACTGTTGCACAGCCATCCAATAGATAGTGTAAGAGTAGTTAGTGTAAACACAAATGTTACTGTAAACACAGATAGGCTTCCAGTGTAACACCAAAACAGTACTTCATGCACAAGCAGCAAGATCTGAGTTCTGCAGCCCTTTCTTCTGTATGGGCCACAAAGAAGAAATCAGAAGCTATTGGTTACCTTTGAAACTAACATAATGCCTGAAGCTGAGGGAGCTCTATTTAGGATCAAACCATGTTTTATGGTCCTGGCTTGTGTACAGGCAATAGCTTAATCTAATCAGCTTCCTGAATTTAGACATAGCAGGGAGTTCTGGTTAATTTAAAAGGTACAGTGAAATGTCTTCCATATAACTGTGGAGGAGGAGGAGACTGGAGCCTGCGATTCTTAGGCTTGCTGCTTCTTATTAACATAGTCCTAAACTGGTTTGGTATTGCATGCAAAATGGGGTGTATTTAAGTGTCACTGACGCATAACTTCTGGTGCAGTTGCCAAAATAAATTGATCGTGCCTTAGGACCCTCTTTTTAAAATTGCTTTTTAAATATGCCTTGTATTAAGCATCCATATTGTTTTCATGCTTTTAGGCAAGCATTTCCTTAGTGGCTGGAAAAGCTGTAGTTGCCATAGTTATGTTGGGTTATAATCCTTGTTTATTTTAGGAAGCTTGTATAACCCCCCCCCAATCATTTTTCTAAAGTGTCCTTTAAGTTGCTCTTAACTTCTAAATGAAATGCCAGATAATGAAATAGGCAATGATAATTATTTTGTTGTACTCACACATGGAAACAAGCCATCCCATTCTTGAGTGTGATGTCAGATTTGAATGACTGCCAAGTAGGAACTTACTCATGCTCAAAGAAAAAAAAAAAAGCTGCCATTCTAGAAATACTCAAGTGAAAGCCTTTGGACTGCAGAGGCAGGAGGAACAAATCTATAATGACATATTTTAGTAGTGTGGAGAAGAAAGCAAAACATATTTCAGAAATCAAAAGGAAGGAAAACTGCTGTGCAAAGAAGGGATGAGAGCTTGAAAGTTGAAGATTTTTTAAAATGTGTGCACGTTTAAGTTGAATGTATTAACAGAGGAAGCAGAGCGAAACCAAGTTAGACACTTGGTCAGTCTAGTCCACGATTATCAACTCTGACTGTAAGTTGTTCTCCAAGGTCCTGAGCCATGATCCTTTCCCAGCTCTGCTGCCTGAAATATTTCTAACTGATAACACTTGGGATTAAACCTGGGACTTCCTAATTCTAACCAAACATTCTACAACTTATCTATGGCTCATTTAGTAAAGCAATCATAATTGCATTTCAGATTTTGGGAGTAACTTTATTGGTTTTCTCCAAACTATCTCCCAGGATTATTCTCTAAAACTTTGCTTTGTTTTAATAAAACATTAATAACTGCCCAAGGTGAGTTAACTTTAAAATCAGTCTGAAGAGTTAGCACCTGAAGGCAAGATGTGCATAATTTTAATTAAAGTACTGAACAAAATGTTAAGGTCTCTGAGCAGGGATATGGTAAAAAAAAAAAAAAAAAAAACCCACACCCTTTGCTTGTCGAGGTTTCTTTGTAATGTGTCTTAAATCTCAAAGTACCAGAGTGGGAGGAACCACCATTTCTGCACATCTGTTTAGTGCCACCAGTGAACAAGATTTTTGGCTAAACAAAAATGTGATGCCATTTCACCCAAAGCCATTCTGTATTAGAAAATGTTCAGTGGAGCAAAGGAACTCTTCTTTATATTGCTCACCTTAAGCCATAACTGTTCCCTCATTCCAAGACCTCTTCGTTCCCGCACTTCTAATTTAAGTGTCTGCACCATTCTTCCAGTGTAACAATGGACCTAATGAAAAAAAATCTGTTCTCCCGATTTTATTTATTTATTTTCCGTTTTATCCACATTTTAGGAGATACTATTCTGAGTTCTTGCAAGTGTTCTGAAAAATCATAACCAGTAAGATCCCTGTTGTTTCCCTCTGCTGTAGAAATGTTGATGGTATGCATCTGTTTACTAAGAACAATCAATTGCTTATGTTACTCTGTAAAGCAGGGATGAGAAATGCACACCCTGCCTCTGGCCCCCATGGCCTGAATTACTGCCCCCACCAAAAGTCAGCAACCACAGTGTCAAAAATATTGGTATTATACTACTAAAATTTGGTGGCAACCGTGACTTCGTGAGGTGACGTGGTTATGAGCCCAGGTCTAGGACTCAGGAGATTGTGCCTTGAGGTTGTGTTTAAGATACCTTGAGGTTGTGCTTAGGCAACTTTCAGTGGTTTGGCTGTGGCAGGAATAGCGGAAATTGCGCCCAGGCTTGTAAAGTACCATGCACAATGGTGGTTTACCAAAATGAAGATTTCAGTGTTTTAGTCTTTTGCACCAAGTTCTGCATTTGAAGTTGGGAGGTTCTGTTTTGGGTACCACTGTTAAACCATTCTGGTCATTTGTATATACTTCTTTAGTATTCTGCTGTTGCAAATGACAGCACTGGTTTATACTGGCTGCTTAATTTTGTATGTGTTTTGCACTGCCTCTACTCAGTGAATTTTGCTGCTGGCATTGCATGCCATTCTCAGACTGGACCCTTCAACAAGGTGTTCAGCACAAGTGTAGGTTCTGAACAAGTGCTGGTGAACACAGAAGTGACAGGGAAGGGGAAAAGTTTCACATAGCCCTTTAAAGTACAATCAGCAAACTGCTTTGCAGCATCTAGTTTTTCAGCATATGTCATGATCATGTGCATCTGTTTGCTTGAGATATCGCTCAAGGGTTTGTGGCAAACATACAAGCCAATCCTATATATATATATTTACTCAGAAGAAAGTCTTTCAGTATTCATTGACGCTTTTGGTTAGGTAAGTATGCACAGACTACTGCTTTAGAAGACTAGCTTGAACAGCCGTAGGTCTCATATTTCTAAGCAGGTAGTGCTTGCAAACTGTTTTTCAATGCAGGAATCCTGGCTTTGCAGGCAAAGAATAAACAACATAAACATTAGCAGGTGCTTTGAAAAGTGCACTAGATGGGGAACCTGGCCAATATTACCTAGTTACCAGTATATTGTATGTATTACTAAAGTGATACCAAAATAGTGTATGTGTCCACTTAATTTATGTCTGTATATAAAGTGTTATATAATTCCTGTATTAGTACATAAAACCATGTGTGATAAGCCACTGTCATTTTACTGTTGAGGTACCGAACCTAATGGCATTCAGAGTAACTGAGCCTAATGGCCTATTCAGATAATCCCCTCCTTTCGTTGTCCCCCACATTATCATGTTTTATCAGTGTTTGCATTTGTTCCGCATACTCCCCCCACCCCCCTAAAAAAGGATAAGAGTTGGAATTTGTGGAGACATGCAGGGATAAAGAAATGACTGCAGCAGCAGAAAATGTGTGGGTGAGAGCCATGGTAAAGATCTTGACTGTTGCACTCAGTCTGACCACTGAAAGCAACATTCCCACCCAAAGTTTAGCCCCTCTCTCTTGTTTTCAGAAAAAAAAAGTTCCCCATCTTTTCAGAATACTGGCTGGCTGAATGAATGAATTTCAATATTTTATTTAAATGTTCATACCTCAGGGCTGCTACTTTGGGCTCACTAGAGTGGTGTACATCAAACAACTATTAATACAACCTAATGACAGCATGAACTTCTGTTCTTTCAGCTTTCAATCTGAAATAGCAGAACACCTGAACAGTACCTCAAATTTATTGGAAAGAAGAGTCTGTTGATAGCAGGTAAGTTAATAAATGCTTAATGTCAGGCAAAGACTTTTTTGTTTTGTTTTTTATTGTGAAATGCACTTCCGATTGAAGGGTGCTATAAAAATTTATAATAAATAAAGTACAAACCTAAAAATAAGATTGGCCTCTTAAGCAATTGTGTTGAATCTTTTGTTGGTTTATGGCTACAGTATGTGATCTAGTTTGGATTATCAAGCAATTCATGCTTAACAGACCACAAATTGTGAACATGAAACAACCTATAGTTAACCCAGCAATCACCCCAAGTTTGTTAGTGGGTTAATGTGGGGTTGTTCAATCCATTAAAAACTCGGAGTTTACAGGATTGCATGTCATGGAGCAATCCAGGAATTGAATGTTCATGAATTGTTAATTGAAAGTCAGTTGGAGGCAGTGTGTTAGCTAGATCCCTTCAACATAGTTCTTGAATTAACCCAGGAATTGACCAGTCCATGTAAATTGGATCTAAGAATATCCTTCATCAAAACTTGTCTCCACAGAATCCAGATTTTTAAGAATAACAGATACATCCCCTTCCCCCTGATCCTTTCAATGTATATTTTTGTGCAAGATAATTTTCCATGTGATTTTTAAATAGGGAGTAACTGTTGCTTGTTACCAAACTATTCATTATACTGCCAGCTGAGTCAGCCATGTGAACAAAATGTTTTTCATTATTGACTGCTTTAGCTTGGAGTCTTGACTGCTTTCCATTTCTGATTCCAGAAGATCAATATAGACTGTAGTTGCTATCAGTATGTGCATGATGCGTCACAGAATGTGAATGGAATTTGACAAACCTGGACCAGGTTAGCTCCACCCTCTATCAAAATACTGCTTCCAACAGTGCATGAACTACACATTATGGGGTTAGAACCATAGCAGAGGCAGCTGAGATGTATCCTAAGTTACACATCTGAACCACACTGGACTTTGAAGTCCTATTTCTTTGTGGGACTTTACATGAGACCATCTTTGAATTTTGTCAGGATGCTGCTGCCAGGTTGGTAGCAGGACCATCTTATTGCCAGCATATTACCCCTCGCTAAGGTGACTGGACCGGCTGCCTGTATGCTACTTGGCCAGGTTTAATGCTTTGGTACTTATTTACAGAGCTGTACAGAAGCTCAAGACCAGACTGCTTAAGAGATGTCCTGGTTCCATACCTTCTCATTTGGTTGCTGTGCTCATAAGGAGATAGCTTCCTGGTGGTGCCCAAGATTTGGGGAGGGGGGGCAGTTAACAATGGCTCCAAATAGACTTTTTTGTATCCTAATGATCACTAGGCATCCTAATTAGACAGGCATCTTCTGATTTTTCAGCACCTGGTTTTTCAGTTTCCAGCAAGCATTCCCAGGAAGGTAATCTTGATTTTACTACTGTATGTAGTAATGATTTCTACATCACTTAAATGTTTCTTTTAAGGCAAGTAATTCAGAAATACAGTAAAATTAATATTAGGAGAAAACTGTCAAAGACTTCATAAAGGAAATCTTAGAATAAACCGCTCTGCCATGACATTAAGAACAGTTTAGAAGCACCTAGCCCTAACCCTAACCCTAACCCTAACCCTGCAGGGTTAGAGTTGAGTTCCATTCCTAATGCTGCCTAGACCACCATAAGCTTTTAGTGGAGCTGGTATTTTAAACTACTTTAATGTATTTGAAGTGCAGGGTCTACATGGTCAAAGTAAATAAGCACATGAATTAATTCATTCAGTGCTTAAGGGTGCCCATAACGTTCCAAACTCCAAAAATACTAGCCTATGGGGGCCTTCTACAGAAGGTGGGAAGAGTGCGGAGGTAGTGGTCACCTCTGTGTTCCTCCCACGCTGCAGTGCAGGCAGGTGACCAAATCTGGCCGTGCAGCAGGGGCACGTGGGAGCAGGAGGCCAAAGTGCTGAGCGCCGTTTGCAGCCAATCTCTGCTTTAACAGTTCCAAGTGACAGCCTACAGGATTCCACGGCTTTGTGTCTTGCTGGAGGTTAACAGCTGAGTGTCATGGCAGATGAATTCGATTAATGGACTTATTGGCCAGAATTCAGACAAGCACCCAGCAGGATTTCTTTAAAAAAAGTTTGTTCTTCAAACAGTAACATAGAAACAGAGCGAGTCAGAAGGGGTCTCCCGGGCCATCTAGTCTGACCTCCCGCACCAGCCAGCTCCGCTCACAACATGCCCACCATGAATAGCATGAGTGCAAATGCACAAAAGTAGTTAAACTGTTGGGACCGGGACTTTGAGATTCAGGCTCTAATTTTCTCTCGGCCATGAAGCTCGCTGGGTGACTGTGGGTGAGTCAGTCACTGCCTCTCAGCCTAACCGACCTCCCAGGGTTATTAGGAGCACAAAATGGAGAGGGGGGCCACGTTGGCAGCCTTGGGTTCCTCAGAGGAAAATCCATGGGATATAAATTTGATTGAATGTAAATTAAATAAATGAGTAAATTTATTATCACATCCCCCCTCCCAATGTCTAAAGTGGCTTGGTTTGTGGCATAGGCAGCTGTTGCAGAAAAGTGAGTTCAGAACACAGGTGACTGCATGGGCATTCTGAAAGCATCCTGCAACCAGTGTTCCAGAAAAAATAAGGTGAACTGAGCTTGCTTTTAAAAAGCAAGTGGAGGAATGTCTGTACTTACATGTTGCTGCCTGAAGCCTGCTTTCCTGCATCTATGTATCTGGCCTTTAGATGGCCCGAGTTAATCCATCCACTTCACTGACAATAACTGTGTTGCCCTGGCTACCTTCTGCTTTTTTCTTTCAGATCTTTACATAATATACTGTGCGACACAGGATTGAAAGCAAGGGCGCGGACCTTGCCTCTTAACCTGGCTCTGTCATGGTAAGCACACAAATTCTTTCAGGACTGAGAAAGACAAAGCAGGTTGAAACATGTGTTGGCTGGGGAGTGGCAGCTGTTCAGTACACCCAGCAGATTTTAAATCTCAGCAGAGGGATTCTAGTCCCTTTGGAAGACAGCCTTGTCTGGTACAAGCAAGGCTTGGTAAAGCAGCATGCTGCCCAACTGGGTGCAGTGGTGCCCAGCAGCCCATTCCAGCCAAAGGTCTGAGCTGGGGATTGGCAGCTGTTATGCGCGCCACCCTGGAAACTGCAGCCGGAACAAACTGAGAAGCCCCAGGAGGCATTTTGCTTCTTGGTCCTGAGTCAAGAAAGGGGCTTTTGCTGCAACAGCATAGCTGCTGAGCCCTCCCAGGGTCCAGAATGCCAAAATGACATCATTTGGCACAGCTGAAACGCCATTTTGGCACATTCTGACCATAATTCAACTCTGTATTTAACAATACTGTCCATGGGGTTTTCATGGCAAGGATATTGGAGTGGGTTGCCGTTCCCTTCTGCAGTGGATCACGTTTTGTCAGTCTTGGGTGCCTCTGCAAGACATAGCTCATAGCGTCATTGTGCTATGCAAGCCCCTTCGCCGCGGCCAGAAAAGACCCTCACGTTGGAAAAGATTGAAGGCAAATGGAGAAGGGGGTGGCAGAGGAAGAGATGGTTAGATAGTGTCACAGATGAATTGGGTGAACTCTGGGAAACAGTGAAGGACAGGAGGGCCTGGCATGCTGTGGTCCATTTGGTTGCAAACAGTTGGGCATGACTGTGCGACTGAACAACAACAATGTAATAATAATGGGGTTTAAATTCCATTCAACACCGCTTTCAAATTCATCCTGGAGGGGATCATCTTTTGAATGCAGTTCTTCCGCAAAATGGCTTTTGTTATCCTTCCACCTTGATGGCTCCTGAAAAAAGCATCTCTGGTGTCACCTGATGCCATGAAGAGAGGGGCTGGTGGCTTGTGCGTTGCACTTCTCTTTTCTGTGCTCAAATCCCCCTGGTCCTGCTTCCCCTCATGGAACATGCCTCCCTCCTTTCATGGGCTTTTACTACACTAACCCCCATCACGATTTTTCAGAAAGAACAATTCTGCGACCCCTAGGCTGTTTTATGGATGTTATAGGAAGCTGCCGATCATCTCCGCCATGCTTAAAGACAGAGCTACAAGCAGAGAGGAGGAGGTTGGTTCATGGCCTCCCCCCCACACTTCTAGCCACCCTGGAGCGGTTCTCTTGCAAGGATCCAGCTGTAACCTTGCCAGACAGGGAGAAGAGGGGTCGCTGGGGGGCAGGAGGGAAGTGAGGAGGATGCACCGCAAAGTTCTATTCCCCTCCCTCCACAGAAGTCATTTAGCTACTTATGGAAGCTTAAACAGAAGTATGGAGGCAAAATTGCCTCATCCTCATCTTGTCTGATTCTTGCCAGCAAGGCACAGGGAAGGTGGAGGGCTCTGAACCTGGAGCCCCCTCTCTATTGGAAATGGAACCTGTCTGATTGTGCTCTGATTCTGGGAATATTTGACATTTAGCCATTGATCAAATGACTTATTTAATGGCCAGATCTCCCCCATCTGTGTGGAAACAAAGCAGACAACGTGCAGGGGAGTCTTCTTGCATTCTCCTGCCAGCCCAAACTAATGTTCATAGAGTAGATACAGTAGGGGGCATCAGGTTTACAATGTGCAGCTATGGTTGTTTTGAATAACCAGGTATTCCTTGAAATGGATCTATAAAACTTCTGAGCCATCAGAAAGGTTGTAACTCTGCTGAAATCAATGGGATGGTCTGTTTCTTAGGATGAAGAGACTCAGCACAGCCTCGAATGCATCCAAGCTAATCAGATCTTCCCCAGAAAGCAGCTGATCCGTGAGGATGAGGATCTTCAGGTAGTCACCTGACTGTTCTTTCCTCTCAGGGCAACGACATGCGGGCAGCCCTGATTATGCTGCTTCTTTCAGGCAGCAAAAATTAAATGTGCTTGATTGAGCTCAACTTGTGGAATTGTAATTCAAACCTTGTGGCTGTCTTTGTGAGCTTGTTAAGAAAAAATATGTAAAAGCTAGAGGCTGAATTGGAGGTTGTCCTGCAAACGCATTAGCTGTTAATGTTGACTTGGGTGAATCACTTACTTCTAAGAACCTTTATCTCTTCCTCCTTTCCGCCTTATTAGAACGAATTCATCACTAGGGCAATGGACATGAAAATCCAGGATTTCCTTGCTTTTGTCAGCCCTTTGGAATTATTTATAATTTAGTGGGAAATTCCTGTACAAATAGCCCCAAAGGTTGTCCCCCAGTCAAATTTCTGCCAAGTTTCATACCAGACAGAGCTGAAAGTTCCAACTTGAGATCTTCCTCCTCCTGCTGCTGGAGTTCTGATAGTTTGGGCAAGCTTCCGTTCCTGTGTGAGCCCTTGCTTGAGGTGGATGGCAGTTCACAGCCCTTACACAGTCTGGACCATGAACGAAGACTTTGATTGCAGCCTCCTGCTGTGCCCATGTTGTTTCATCCAGGTGAACAGTGTGGTGGCAGCTTCTGGCACAGCTGCAGCGAAGACCTGCTCTGGCAGCTACTTAGCACAGAGCTTCCTGTGGGTTTGCTATTGCAGGCCCGATATTGGCATTTGAGGTGTGAGTTCTTGGCTGTGAGATGTTGCCATCTGCTTTTGAATAAAACCGAGTGCTTCACCCACACTGCAGGTCCCATTCCCTGAACTTCATGGAGAGAGCACAGAGTATGTAGGCCGCGCGGAGGATGCCATCGTAGCACTTTCCAACTACAGGTTTCACATCAAATTTAAGGAGTCCACTGTGAACGTAAGTCTTCATTTCTGCCTTCTCTGTTAGGAAGATGTTGCTGATGTTGTAGATGGGAAAATGCCTCTCTTTAAATCATGGGGCGCATAGCATGGTTTCTACATTAGAGCAAACAAGGACCTGGAGTTGAGCACTTTGTTCCTCTCCCTGCAGCTATTCTCAGGATTTAGCTAATATGGTTCCTTTTTCAGATCCCAGCTTTCCTCAATAGCTCATCTTGGTTGCTTTAACACCCTTGATGTACCAGTTTTTGACAAAGTGTATGGTTGTACACTAGATGGACAGTGGCAGGTCTTTGGTCTCTGCTGCTTGCTTCTCCATTTGGTAATCATATGCTGTTACACTTGCTTTTGTTTGGGACAACTGAGTTGCAGGTTTGAGTCATACGGCTGTTGTTGCCAAGGATGTTTTATAGTGGGAGTTCCCTATCAATGTCATTTCAGCCTTGGGGACCCAATGGCAACAGGTAATAGAATAGGCATGTTCAGTCCCCAAGGCTGAAATGAACAGTAGACAAGTCCATATAAATTCTGTCCTTAGTGAAGAGCACCCAGCCCAGAACTGGTAGGGCACTTAATTGCCTAGGAAATAATGAAGAGCCCTTGTGACTTTAGGTGGGAGGCAAGGTTTCCTGTGATTTTCTGCTGCTGTAGAGGCAGCTGTTCCCTTTCCCACATATGGCATGCAGTGATCCTCATTTCATGAGTGCTGCCACCATTGTTCTATGGCTCAAAAGAGATTCCATGAGAAAAATTCCCTGGCAACTCCTTACTGTGTGTGCTAATATAGTTGAGTAATCTGAATTTTAAAGTGGTGTTGCAGTTTAATAAATTAATATGCTTGATGAGAACTAGAAGTGCTTCTGTATAACTTTAGTTTTTGATACGCACACACAGATGCACACTCAGGTAGCTTTTGTGTCATTCACTCAGTTGGCAAGTTGAAACAGTTCTCTTGTTCACAGCTGCAGACCTCACCTGCTATCTCATATAATGTTTGTTCTGCTTCGCAGCTCATCCCCAGCTGTGAGTCATGTGGAAGCTATGTTAGTGAGATGAAACAGAATTAAAGCACCTCTTGTACTCCCATAACCACATCTAGATTGCATGTTAATCCTAATCAATCAGCACAAGTAAACCCTGAAATATTAAGATGCTCCAGAATATGTGCCTTCGTTTTCACTGAAGTAGAAATGCTACTGAAATACACAGTGCTCTAAAGGGCTGTTAATTTTTATCCTTGCACATGTTTCTCCATGGATCTAGTGAAGGTAGTGAAATGTTTGCTGATTTAATCCCTGTAACCCCAGATGATGTGAAATGTTGACATTTTGTTTGTGTGCTTTTGAAACTAAAAGTCAGGTTCCCCCTTCATGTTACACACATCCCATCATTCAAGTTTGTATGCAAGTCAGCTAGGCAGAATAGGGTGAATCCCAGTTGAGATTATGTAGACTCTTCCTTCTGGTTTTATCCTAATTTTGTTCTTTGTTCACAATTCAATAGAGTGTCCATAAATATGCTGCTTATGAGATCTCAGTAAGTAGAATGGTGTTGCTATTTAACATTTTTACTTGCTGCACCTTGGCTTGGACCAAAATAAACTTGGGCTGTCCGTTGCTCACCTTGCAAAATTGTAGGAGCTGTAATGCATGAGGCCTTTTGACTGCATTGATAAAATTCATGGATCATATAACAAGAGGAACTTGATGTTCCCTGTTGGAAAACTAAAACAAAAGACTCAGCAGACCAAGCAATAAGCAGATGGAATAGTAACTTTTGAGAAGTGTTAACACATCCATCCAAGGGATTGTTTGTTCACTCAACAGAAATATTTTCTGGGCACATCTAACCTAAATTCCCAGACTGATCTGCTGGTTGGCCCTTGTTAAGGAAAGTGTTCAAATTGGTGCATTTGGAAAAATAGAAGAATGTTTCCAGGTGGCTTCAAAAGCTACAGGTTTGAATTGGGACTTCTTGTAAATTAGTCTTGGATATGGAACATCAGCATTTAAAGGATCAGATGTAAGAAGTATAACACAATGAGTCTTCTCCTCTTTGATTCAATTTTTGGATTTTCACACCTATACTAAAAGACAATCATTTATTTATGCCAATGTTAGCTCTTATCACCTTCAGTCTATAGCAAATTTGGAAATGTGGCAAGATTCTAATATCTAGGGAAGACTGTTTATTTCATTAAAAGGAACTGGAATGCTTGGAGATTGCCCTCTGTAAAATGATGCTGGTGGGTCTGAATAGCTTTGCATGCTCACTAAATGCAAGCAAAAAGACAGGATTATCTTTACCTTATTAGTGCCCTGCTGTCAGATTCAACAGAGAGCTGTTTGGGGGCTGAACTAATTGCATGGTGTGTCTTGATTTGTGTTCTTGAGCATGAATATTGGTCAGGGAAAGCTATTTTAATGGAGGAAAAGGCTACATTGGAATGAGGACTGAGAAGTGAAATTTACAAGGCATAGTGAGGCAGAATACTTGACAAAAAGACCGACATAAATGGGCATGATCATTTGTCTTGTATAGGAAGTAAGTAGGCCACTCTCCATAGAGGATAACATGGAAGGCTATATTTAATAAAGAAGGCTTTTTCAGAAGGAAAGTGGAACAGATGGAGGCAAGGAACTGGTGAAAAATGAGGGGGTAGTAGGAAACATCTGTTTGAGCTAATAAGAAGTGAAGAAGTAGAGGTTTTCAAATGAGAGTCAGGATAAGGAAATGTAACCTGCACAGATTAAAATCTGGAAAGTGTTAATACCATTCACATCTCTGAGGCAGTCACATTTTCTTAAGAACTTTTGGTAGGGGATTTTTTTGGGGGCAGGGGGCAAATCCTTAAAATCCATGCATAAATATTTATCAGGTCACCTGTACTTTTTTGCTGCCCTTGGACATTTCAAAAAGGCCCATGGAGGAAGACTTATTTTGCAGAAGGTAGCTGGTAGTTTGTCAGCAAGGCATGCTGCTGCAGTCACTTCTTACATGCAGGAAGCTGGGTAAGGAAAAGGCCTATAGCAGGAGAACAAGGGCATGAGGAAAGCCTCAGACCTGAAAGGGAGCTCGGTAAATTTGGTTACTTGGCTTTCCAGAGAAAATTCTGAAATCTCTTGGTAATTCTGCAGCTCTTTTCAGCCTGTTGCAGAATTGCTGCCAGCCTTCCTCCTGATACGGCCCAGCTCTTTGCTTGCACAGCTGGTGTGCCACCACGGCTTGGTTTTGCTGGCTCTTCCTACTGGACATTCTGCTCCACCAGTCCTTCATTGCTTGGCACTTCTTCCTCTTGGGAACAACCCGCAAGCCACCCATCACTGTTATAACTGGGTCCATATATTATGCTGATTGCCTGGTGGGTGTAGTACGAAATACACTGCACCTTCCACGTGGTGTTAACACGGCAGCAGATGCTGGGCAAGGTTGGATTCTGCCTCCTGCAGGTTATCCTTGGGTGTGGTGGCTTGTTTATAGGTTGTAAATTGAAGGTTGCTCTTGCAGAAAGCAGTGCTACATTTGGGGATACCGATGCCGGTTTCCGGGTTGTGAAGGGCAGGTTATCTCCTCTTAGCAGTGTGAAGAGAGACTTTCTTTCTCATAGGAGTGAATGAATGGCCAGCATGGAACCAAGTAGGACAGGGATGTGCTTGTTCGTTACACAGAGGAAACAGGAGGAGAGCACCAGATGGGAAGCCTTGCATGCTCAGATCACAGAGCTGGAGGCGTGTGTGCATGTCTGGTGTAGTTCCCTGTTCCTATAAGCTCCAGTGCAAATGTCATAAACATAAAATGTATTTTGACCGGTGCAGATACATGTCTTTTTCCTACAAGTTTGTTAAACTTTGCACGTCCGATAAGGTGGAACCCTGGTCCGCAAAAGGTTATGTTATACTAAAGTTGTTAGTCCCTAAGGTGCAGAACCGTTGTTTTAGCCTCAAGAGACAAACCTGGCTGCATTTAAATGTTTGTGCTTTGGATGGTAGCTAACCTCTAAAATTACTTTCTTTCACCAAAGGGGAAAGAAAGGGGAAGGGTCTTAGAGCAAAACTGGAGGAGTCTGCCCTTGTTTAACACAGAGTGCCTCTTCATATGGCAAGCAAATAAGAAGGAAAAACAGTCACTATGAATAATATATCTGAGGTCTTGAACTATCGAATAAATCCTTGCGATAAATATTGAAAAACTCTATGTCGGTTTCCTTCAGTAAGGTCATCTAATCTTTTAATCATAGGTTCCATTACAGCTTATAGAAAGTGTTGAATGCCGAGATATATTTCAGCTTCACTTGACTTGTAAAGACTGCAAAATTACCAGGTATGTATGTATGTATGTATGTATGTACGGTTTATCTTGTCAGCTGGATATAGTACATTATGCAAGCAAACATGACCTCCCCTGAAGTTGAATATCAATGTCCTTTTTTTTTATAATTATGGATTACACCTAAGGGCAACTCCCCACACTTGTCTAAATTGTACAAAGAGAATGTTGGCAATCAAGCCCAGCTGTTTTAATTTCTCAGCTGAAAGCATCCAAATGCTGGTGGTTGATGAATTATATGCTGTCTGGCACCAGTACATGGGAGTCCTTGCATGTGAGCTGAGATTAAAAGGGAAGTTCCTCACAATTAATTCCTGTTGTTTGTAACTTCTGGAGGACTTCCCAAGACATGTCGGTTAGTCTGTCCCACTAGATGACAGGTAGGGTCCAATAAAAGAAGTCCTTTCCAGAGGGAAGAGCTACCCATCCTCCTCATGATGGACTGGAAAAGTCAGGAGCATCACCAACTTCACTGTCAAACTTAGGCTTCATCACCATGAAAATTAGAATTAAGTGCCCCAAACATAGAAGGCACCAGTTCAAGTCAAACCAAGGCAACAAAACAGTAACAGACAAGAGAGAGGGTTAAACCAGGGTAGAGGAAGAGCAACCTATCATCCCTCACATGCACAGCAGGGGCAGAAGCTTATGAGGAATAAAATGGCTACATCAGCTACCAGGAGTGGTTGAAAGCTCTCCAGAAGATAAATAAAGAAAGCAGGAATTCATGGTAAGAAACTTCCCTGTCTCCTGTATCTTCTGGAGGTTGTTGCCAGATCTTTGGGATATACTGGAGTCATACAATCCCCAGGGAAGGACTGAGGTGTTCTCTTCACTCAACATGTACCTGCTGCAAAACCCACCTTCCAAAAACAGCATCCATTAAGAAGACAGATTAAGTGCCTGGCAAAGATATGCAAAGAAATTTAAGTGGCTACTTGGCATATTTTGTCCATAGAGACATTACCACTACACTGGCCACCAGCAGGAGGGAATGTGCCATAATCCCAGGGAGAGGGCAACTTCCCAGCAGCTGATTAGCCAGGACAATCCACTCCCTTATCCACCTGGAAATGGTAGAAATAGAAACTATCCTACTGGAAGAACAACTCCTGTAACCTGCAAACAAGGCTCTGGTTTCCTGGAGGGACACCATCCTATCCAGACAAAAGTGACTTAAGCATGCCTAATTTGTTCCTGGGAATGAACAAGCTTGGGACAAAAAGAAAGGAGAACTCCTGTTGCCAGCAAAAAAGCAAATTGATCTTGAGCAGAAAGGTGAGATCAGTTCCTAGCATCACCTCATCCTGATTGTATTTTCATCAAGTTTGGGATCCAAGGACAGCACCCCCAGTGCCAAATTTCTTCTAGCAGAAGTGGTTGCCACCCAAAAAGAGCACAGTTTTAAAAATCTGTTTTTTTTTTTAAGAGAACAGGTAGACATAAAAAACAGTAGGGGCCAATTCAGATTGCATGTGAGGGAAGGTAAGAGGCTAAGAAGGGCAGCTGAAGATGAGGTTGGGGTGATGTTTCTGCCTCTGGCTTTTCAGCTGGAAGTGGGAAGAAAAACTGGGCAGGGATTCTGTCAAAAACGTTGAAAAGCTACTGCTAAGTCCCACAAAGATCCTGTTGCCAGGCAGGGCCGGTCTGGGAAAGTTGGATAGCTCCTCCTCACAAAGAAGATACTTTTGATGGGATCCTTCTGTTGCCCTCCCAGAAGATACTGGGGAAGGGCTCCCTTAGTTTTTGTGGCTGTTCTCACATGTGGGGGAGATTGCCTTCCACTTCCACCATTTAAATGCGAATTTAAATGTTGTCCTCCCACATTCTTTTCAGTGCTGTTCTTCTCAGCCCCATTTCTCTTTTTGCCATCATGGTCCCATTTGCCCACTGAGTTGTTAAATCCTATTCCTCTGTGGAAAACCCACGTGAATACGCTGGATTTTGCAGCACTACATCTAATGCGATAACGCCTTGGGTACGCAGATGAAATCATGATGGCAAGAGCAAATCAACCTCATTGGAAAACGCTCTGCTACATGTCTAGATGTGTGTGCAGGCCATGTAAGTTAGGACAGAGAAGAGGAAATCCCCCCATCTGTGGCACACCTCTAGAATACGTCTGGTAACTGTGGCACAAGTCATATGAAGGTTTATGCAAAAAACCTCAAGGGATTAGAAATGGCTCTCCTCAAGGTAGCCTTACTACAGTTTGTGTCAGGTCATTTGTCCAACCCCGCCCCCCCGAGCATCATACAACCTTTGAAGCATATTAGCATTGTTTTCTCTTCTCTGGTCTTCTTTGAAGCTGATCTTTCATTGACTTTGTGACCTGGATCTGTCTGAAAGGAGTCTAATGGAATTTTATCTGATGTGGAACTTCCTTGTTTGTTTTTGTTTTTAAACAGGTGTCAGTTCTCTACCTTTGAGCAGTGTCAGGAATGGCTTAAGCGACTGAACAATGCCATCCGCCCTCCTGCAAAGATAGAGGACCTCTTTTCATTTGCTTACCATGCCTGGTGTATGGAGGTGTATGCTAGTGAAAAAGAGCAGCATGGAGATCTGTGCCGGCCAGGTATAGTCCAGAGTGGTGGATTTTTGCCTATGGAAACCTTAGAACCAAGGAAAGCAAGCACCACTACCCAGATAGACTCCTGGGTATGTGCTGTCCACTCTTCCCCGCCAGGCACAGCTTTGCAGCCAGTCTGGAGAAATGAACTTCTTCTAGAGGCAGTTGCACAAACAGCTTGATGATGTCACAGTATCTCACAGCCAACCAGCCAGAATGAAGGAAGCGTGTTCTGTCCTCATTCTTAATGGGTCAACACTTTTCCCTCAACTTGTATATCTATCCCCTTGAACAATCATTGAAAGGGAGGGAGGGCTTTGTGGAGGACAAAGCCCCCCCACTTGTGCCTTGGCTCTGCTATTCATGGCCACGCACGACACATATCTTCATGTCTAATGTGCATATCTAATGTCAGCTTCATATCAAAGCAGACTTATAATACGAATGTCGTTTTACCCGTTGCAAGTGGCAATTGATGGCGACAGCTCTTTCAGCAGAGCAGTATCTTGACTGCAAGCTCAATTTCCCAACAGAGAGTTTATAAAAATGGAACATGGATGAGGACAGCTGTCATGATACTTTCCAGTGTGCTTTCCTATTGAGAAGTTTGGATTAGTCACAGATGGAAACTTGATGGCATCTTAATCATGATCTGCAGCCTGTGAGTGTCGCCCAGCTTCTCCTGCCACCCCAGTTCTGCTGCTGGATCTGCAAGAAGTGCTGCAACTGGTGGAGGCCAGCCTGGAAATGAGGAAGAGCTCAGCAGGCCCAGAGTGTGTGCAAGCCGACGCAAGTGTTAGCCGGCACTTGCTGGCAACTGGCCATAAAAGAGGGAATTCGCCTCAGACATCCAGAGCTGGGGATGAGCGTGGCTAGTGGAAGCGCCGGGGGATCGGTCAAAGGGGCTTGCAAAAAAGCTTTGTTCTCCTTCACACACCTGTGCAGCACCTGCATTTGGGAAGATTTTCCTAGCTAAATCTAAGGCCAGACTTTCCCCTGAGGAAAGATGAGGCCTCGTTGTGCTAGACAATAAGACTTGGCAAGGACCTGGGATCTTTTAATATCTGTCTCAGTGGACTGTGCCTGGGAATTACTCAAGTAAATCCCCATGAGGTCCCCTGGGCCTCTCTTCTGAAGGAGGGCTGTGGATCAGGGTAGTCAGGCACTAGACACATAGGAATTCATAGAACGCGCGCTATTTGCAATGGCCAAGCTTCTGTTCAAATAATACAAAAGGATCTCCAGAATTATGTAGTCCAAACTGTAAAGGCTGCAATGAATGCTCAAGGTCTACCTGAAGAGCAGAAGAAAATTTGAGTCCTGCTGCAAGGAAGAAAAGCCAGTATCTTCAGGTCACTTTCAGGAAACTGTACAAGCAACTGCTTCATATTTCAGATGATGACTGCAGGAAAAAATAGCAGACCAGACTACATACCTATATTTTACACAGCTTGAGACTTGGATCGATAAGAGTTTTGCCACTGCATAGCAAATGCTGAAAATCAGAAGTGTGACCCACAGTGAAAGTTTCTCCCATGTACAAGGCCCAGCCCCAGGCATTGGTCAGAGAAGGAGCAGCTGGAGATGCAAGCAGCTCTTGACTCCAGCTACCAGTTGCCCAGGACTGGAGAGCAGAGGGGACATGCTCAGGTCCGGCCATCAGTCAGAGGGCCAAGGGATGTGTGTTACCCACCTTGGGAATCATGGGGGTGTGCAAAGCAAACAGGATATGGACCAGGAGGGGTGGTCATTACAGTCTGGAATCATTTAAATGAAGCAGTCGTCCTTTGATTGTCTGGAACCCAGGTAAAATTACTAGCCCTGCTCTCTGAAGTTATTTCAACATTTTATACTTTCCCAGTCATTGAACCTTTGGGGCCTTAAGCAGGCAAAAATTATGAAGCGTTGGGCATCCAACGGTGTATCCTTGGCCTTTTGGCTATTTGTTTACAAGTTGTGTCTTTTGCTGAAAGCAGCTCATTATCGGATGGCTGTCAGGGCTAATAATGCTACCAGGGTCTTCATGGTTTTTTCATGGTGCGGATGAGTAAAAGAGGTTTGCGCTTGCCTCCTTCCGTCCGTCCGTCCGTCCTTCCTTCCTGAGGGTGGCTGCACACTATGGACTGTACAAAACAGACATGTTAACTAGGGGTCCCTGCATGTCTCATTCTGATACCTAGGAGAACACGTCACTTCAAGGTTTAAAAATGAGGTGGAGCGGATGGGTTTTGATATGAACAACGCCTGGAGGATCTCCAATATCAATGAGAAGTACAAGTAAGTTCCATGGATGCTTGCAGAGAGCTGCTGTCGGGTAAGTGCTGAGCCCCGATTGAGGCAGGCCCTTCTGAGCCTTGCTGTAACGGGATCCTGGTGCGGATCCTGGCACTACTTGTAGCTGAGAGGGTGGGCCTTCTTAACCTTCAAGGGTGCAGAAGCTGGAGAGGTAGAACTCTGCACGCGACTGCCACTGTGCCATTCATAAGCCGGGCACTGCAGAGATGGCTGCTCACACGGCTCACTGTCGCCTAGCCGCAGAGGGCTGCGAAGACTTCCGGACCGACGACATAGTCCTCTCCAGTCTTGCTGTCTACTCTGTACTGAGCTGGGAATAACGCACAGCCGCAAGCTTGGGGTGCCCAAGGTCCAGGGCCATGCCTGGAATTTTGGGGGCCGCTGGTGAATGCTAAATTACGAGGCTGCTTTGTGCTTGTGAAGACAAAGGAGTGTGGGATAGAAAAGGGCAAGGCAGGGATGCGAAAGTAGTGGCAGAGCTCATAGTGTTCACACATTTTTCTCGTATTTGATGCCATTGTAGACTAAACTATAGTGATCATTTTCAGATAGGAAGGCATGTGTGCCTGTAGGAGGCATGAGGGCAACTTCCTGCTCCACTTGGATGATCTCCCCCCTCCCCCCGCAGGCTAAGCAACATCAACTCTTCTGTGAGAAAGAAGGCGCATGGGGAATAGGAGCAGGCAGCTGGGGGGACATCAGGCCTGATCCAGTTGGACTGACCTCCCCCCCCTCGCCCCGCACGCACACAGGAGATGAGAAAGGAGGCAAGGCCGTCCCCCCAGCTGCACTGACAGTTGCATTTTTTCCTCTTCCCTCTCCATCCCTTTTCCTTGTGTGTTGCATCATTTTACATTATAAGCTTGCAGGCAAGGGCAGCCCCTCCCCTCCCTTTTTTCTTTTCTGCGGTTTGATTGTGAGCTGCTCTGGAAGATGTGATTTGGCTGCAGAGCCAGATTAAAATACCTCAAATAAATAACTGTGCCCACAGCCTGTTGAAATAATGTTCGGGCACTGGACAGCGATTCATGTAAGAACTGTGCCCTTTATGTAAACATATCAAACTTACACTATTTGTGGAGTAATACACAGTGATCATTTTCAGGTATTGAGGGGGGGACACTGAAAATGGCAGAAGACACAGTAATTTGCATGACAAATAGTTGTTAGGATCCTTCAGGTTACGTATTTCTATTAGAATGGTATGCATTTGGTGTTTTTATGAAAAAGCGTAAGTTATATGAGTCGCTGTAGAATTTACCAAGCTCAGTCTGCTCCTCGTGTGAAATAGCACATCCCTGGATATCTGATCACTATGTTGTAGTCTACAGATGATATAAACTTGGAGCTTAAATTCAAGGAATGACAGCATGCTGGAAATGCACCAGCATGTCTTGCTATATCTAGCAAAAGAGAAGGGCTTAATTTTATTGCCTTCGCACCTTTCATTTTCTCTTGTTGCAAGTGCCTAAACAGACTGATCTGACTTGCACAATTGTGGCATATTTAATAAACCATGCTGATTTGTTGATTCTGTGGTGTAGATTTCTCTAATACCCTTGTTGGTGCCACTTACCATGTCACCCCTAATCTGGAAGCAAGGTTTGTTTGAGGGGGAGCAACCCTGAAACAAACCATGGGTTGTTACTCAGTTATTTGGGGATTGTACCCCTCCCCGCAACAAACTGTGCTATCTGGGTTCAGACAACACAGCAAGCTGCACCAGTAATTAGGATAACCTGGCTGGCATGTGAGCAGCACATGCGCTGCAGTTGTGCAGATTGGTTCCCTCTATCTAGGAAATGTATGTTGCATCTATAAATGAATGAATTAGAAACACAGAAATGGAGTGAGTCGGAAGGGGTCTCCTGGGCCATCTAGTCTGACCCCTGGCTCTGCTCATGGCGTGCTTACCATGTGCAGGAGAAGTTGTGGAGGCGAATCTGAGGTGGCTACAAAGGCCTGCTTTGTTTCTCCAGGATCTTCATCTGTTAACATGCTTGTTCTTCCAAATAGGCTCTGTAGCAGCTATCCCCAAGAGCTCCTCGTTCCTGCCTGGATCACAGACAAAGAACTGGAGAGTGTGGCAGGCTTCCGATCTTGGAAACGCATCCCTGCCGTGGTTTATAGGTAAGCCCTCTACTACAGCAACCTCCTGTCACGAGGATGGCTGCTAACGTTTGTTTTGTTTTAATTTTATTTCTTTTTTAAGTCATTGGGCCACATCCGGTTCTTGGGCCCAGAGTAGGATTGTGCCGGCACTGGGAAATCTGGCTCACTTGAGTTTAGTGGATTTCCTGTCCACTTCTAAGCTGATGACTGGAAGTGGACCAAGGTGAGACATTTTCATGGACTTCTGTTTCTGAGATGGGCAGTGATTTGTGCATCTTTTAAAAGGCTCAGGAAATGTTCACAACTTGCACTAGAACTGTGTAACTCTGGGCTTCCAGTGTTGCCCAACTTGTAAAATTTACGTACATTTCCTTACCATTTAATGCAAATATGCAAATTCTGGCCCACCTCACCGATGGAGGTCTGCAAACTGGCTCAACACACAGTGCAGTAAGTTGGCACCAGTGTAGGGAAAATGAACTGGAATCCAAGGGACTGGAGCATGAAAATCTGTCAGCTCGTCACCCCAATAGATTCCTTGCACATCCCTACTCCAGTTTCAGAACTGCCACAGGTGAATTTCTACTTTGCCTTCCTTTGGGCCACGGAGCACCAAATCCTCAGCATTCATCTGCAAGCCAAGCTGCCCGGGACTTCTTTTGCTATAAGGCAGAGTCCCTCCAGAAAAGGCAAGAATGATCAGTTGGAAATGGGGTTACTGCATTTGTCAAAAAGGACACCCTCACCTTGAGACCCTGTGCCTGTGAGTGTGAATCCCGGGAAGAGGTTCCTGAAAGAGTATGGTTACATGGGAATAAAAAGGTGTGGGACAAATATGGCAAACTGAAATAAAAATAACCTTAGGGTACTGCTTAACTAGGAGTGAGATACTTTCTAGTTGGCATAGAAAAAGCAAAGCTAGCTGTGCTGGTCCTAATGAAAAAAATACAAAAATCCACTGTTCAGTTCGGTGCCTTTATTTGGACTGACCAAACTGCCAGAAAAGAGTTTTCAAGCATTCGAGTTCTCCAGGATGCTACATCAGGCTAGATGGAAGAAAAACCGGGGGGTGGGGGGTGGGGGGGAGAGGCAAAAGGGAGAAAGATTAGGCCAGATGTTGTTGCGACTTCGTCTCAGACTCCTTGCGGATAGTCTGCACATCTCTGAGACTAAGTCTTAAGTCGCAGGCCTCACAGCAATGGCATCTGCCTAATCACTTTTGCCCTCCTTCCCCTGGTCTGCTTCTTGTACCGTCTGGCTCACTGAGGAGTCCTGAAGGACTGAAAAGCTTTCAGACTCCTTTGTGGCATTTTGGTTAGTACTAATAAAGGTATTGTCTAACCAGATTGTCCTGCTGGTATTCAGAAGCTCAAAACAAATGCGTTCTCTCCTTTTAGGCTCCTTCTCCTCTCCCTCACCCGTCTTGTCATTTTCCTTACATTTGCCAGTGGAGTCCCTGTATTTCCACTGCCGGGGAATTGCATCAGTGCAACCCAGTTTCATCCCACTTCTGCCGCAGAGTGCAATTTGGCATTCAGCAGTCTGGCCCTAGACACGGAGGCACGTACGTGTTTGCTGTCACGTCTCAGTTTCTTACAAAGGAGTCAGGCCAATTAAGCCAGCAAGGAGCCGGGCTTTCCTCCTTGACTATGATAATTTTGGGGTGTGTCACATAATTTGGGACACTGAATTTTGTGTAATCAGAAATGTACTTTGATTCAGTTGTTAGGCTTTTCCAAAATTTAATACTTTTTGGAAACACCACATCTGAAATATCATGCAAACTATTTAATTTTCAGGCATACTTTTCCAAATTGCGAATGTATAAGCAGGTTGTTGCCTTGAATGAAACAGTAAAAGATTGGCCTTCCCCATGCAGGAAGAGGTGCAGAGCACTTGCTCCTGTCTCACTTTGCATGGAGGGAAGAGTTTCTCTGTGCAGAGATACACAGAGCAGCAGTTCCGTGATGTTGTCTGCCCAGAAAAACTCCCCTGTGATGCCAGGGGATGGGGCTTTGGGAGGCAGGGTTCGCCCTCTGACATCACCCATTCCCTAAGGAATGAGCCTGACAAGATCCAGACAGGAGCTAAAACTGTTCCCCACCTCTGTTCTAGATGTTGCAAATATGAAAATCACTGGAATTATTTTTGCATCAGAAGTTTCTGCTTTTAAGGCTTCCATTTTCTTAGTAACAGTAATTAAAGTAACTGTCTGTAGCGGAAGCTAGTCCCTGCTCCCATTTGAAGAATTTCTCCTTTTCCAAGGAAGAACTGAGTGTTCCTGTTTGTCACTGAGCAGCACTGCTGCCAGCTTCTACTTTGGGGAAGGTGCTTGGATTCAGACGGGTTACTAAACAAGGGTTTCATCTTGCAGAAATGGATGTGTATCCACTTCCAAATTACTGCTGCAGTTTGGAAATAACATTCCTGCAGTGTACCAAGAACCTTTATAATGATGCAGTGTTGCAGTTGCCCACACGGACTGGCTTTGGACACACGGGTTATGTAAAACTGTAGATGTGCTTCCCTGGTTGCTCATTCTAAACAAAAGGCATCTCGAAAATACTGAAGTTGCTGATCAGCATTCGCATCAGCTGCTGATTGCTGATCTCTCTTTAGGAATCAACTAGCAGCCTTCCAGTTCTAGACATCTCTGCTCCGCAGGCATTTTGCCCGAGTCAACAAAAGTGGATTCAGTTCCTGACCTGGAATAAGTGGTCATCGATCCATTGGTTCGACTATTTTGAAACCTGCTTCTTCATGGGTCCCACACAGATCTATTTTAAACTTGATCTCTGATTTCTTTTGTAACTGAACTTCCCTTACAGCCATCAATTCAAACAGCAAATGTTGAATATTGTTCCATGGGGCATGAGAAAAGATGAACCACTTACAGAATTCTCCAGTGGGCCAGCAATTTCTAGGCCATGCACCGCTCTTTTTCTAGCACTGCCTGCAGCATGGCTCCTGTTCAGATGGCTGCAGTTCGCTGTTCCATTTCTGTTTCCTGGATAGGCACCAGAGCAATGGGGCAGTAATTTCGCGTTGTGGGCAGCCCGAGGTCAGCTGGTGGGGCTGGAGGAATGCTGATGATGAACATCTCGTCCAGTCAGTGGCCAAAGCGTGCGCTTCAGATTCAAAGTCTAACACCAGTAAACTAGTAAATGGAAACTGTTCAAGGGACTTCTCCAATGGAGGGGACTTCTCTGATGTGGAATTTGGTAAGTTTGGTAATGTGTCGGCTTTTGAAATGCAGCATGCCACTTCTTATTGGATTTCAAATGGCAAACTTCCACTGATGTTTCACAGGCAGGAATTCAACTTTTTCCTGCCGTGTGACTGATACAGGGATGCCCCTGCCAGCCGCTGCAGTTCTGCACAGTGAAATGGTTGGATTTAAGCAGCTGAAGTGTGCAGCTCTGTAGCTCCAGCAGAGAATATGTCTACTGCCTTTATAAGCTGCCAAAGCATAGACACTTAAGTTGTATAAAATTGGTTTTCAGTTGGAAGTCGTGATAGGAAAGAGGAAATGAAGCAAATTCAGGCACTTCCTCTTTGGTATTCTCACCAAATAGCCACATGGCTTAGTTGCTGCAGGATGTAATTTGGGCAACGGAGGCACGGAAGGGAACGTGGTTCCAGGCCAGTGAAGTGGACCTGTCTCTGGCCAGGCGGAATCAGCTGCTGTTGGTGGTGAAGGAAATGGGGCTTCCGGCTGCACTTCTTTCAGACACCAGGTCTTGTCCTAGATGTACACGTGGCCATGCAGAAGATGCCTTGCAACCAGTGGGCTGCCCGTGACCTTGCATGAACCAGGGGTGCACCCACTGCAGGTGCCATGCAATCTTCTGTCACTTTCTGTGCAGACGGCTGCATCTTCACTGGTCCCACCTCTTTTCCCCAGTTGACCTTCTGGGCATTGGGAGGAGAGACCACCGTTCTAGGAGTGATGGGAGTCCCGGGGTCTATCCTTCTCCCTTCTCCAAGCAATCCTGAAGCGGTCGGATCACTGCTGTACTGCTGCTAATGGTGGAAAGAAGCAGTTGAGCTCCCTTGGGCAGGAGGAGACCCCCAGCAACCCCAGGGCTGCCCTTGCCTTCTCTGTCTGAATGTGAACTGCTGGGTGCATCTCTGGGCCCATGAAGGTTGTGCACCCCAGCATCAGTGGTTCTGGTTGGTCAACTGCTACATAATAATGTGCCCGTTCTTCTCTTTCCTCCCTGAGATTCTTCCATTTCCAATGCATCAGGGGCAGAAAGTTTAGCCATCCAGCCCCAGAAACTTCTGATCTTAGACGCACGTTCCTACACAGCTGCAGTAGCAAACAGGGCCAAAGGAGGAGGCTGTGAATGCCCAGGTAAGTCACAGGGCTCTGCTCCACACCTTCGCACAGGGCCGGTTTATGTACACACGGAGGAGTGAGCAGATTGATATCTTGCCTAAACTGAATTGGGCTACTTAGACTTGTGCTAGTCGAGAAACCACCCTGAGTGAGAGAAGGAGGTTAGGAAGTAGGGGTGTCCCCTAAACGGTAGAAAGCCAGAAAGTGCACTAGCTTAGAACAGAGTAGCCAAGTGCCTGCCTGCACATTAGACCAAGCCTCCAAGGCAGCATTTTATGGCTCCCAAAGGCCCTGCCTGATTTAAATTGGAAGTTTGATTTAAAGGACAGGAAAGGCAGGCAGGCAGGCAGGCAGGCAGGCTGTTTTACATTAAGAACAAAGAAACCCTAAGATGTCGCGGTCACAGTAGTTTAGCATTATGGTCCCAAGCCACAACTAGTCTTGGGCCCATCCATTTCTCCCTTTTTGCAGTTTGTGACAAACTGCACTTTCCTGTTTCATCGGAAAAGGAAGATTCAGATCTATCTCAACCCACGAAGGAGAAGTATTGCATTCCCTCTCTTCACACGAGGGAAAAGGGAAGGAGAGGGTTGGCAAGGCCCCGTCTGAAGCCCTGGAGAGCGGCTGCCAGTCAGAGCCAGGGGGAATAGAGAGCTGGTGGTTGGAGGCTTTGCCCCTGTGCACCACTTTGATTCCCCTCCATAATTCAAAGTCTGTCAGACACCCATTGGAAAGGCCACGAAGCCGTGAAGAGGGGTGGCCCAGGAGAGCTGATGCCACAAGAAGTGGCTGGCCCCACAGATGCCACGGGGCTCTCTGCTGTTCTCCTGAGCTCATCAGCCCAGCAGGACTGGCCCAGGGCGCGTGTGCTGTGCTTCCCTGCACATTTCAGAAACTGCGCAGCATTCCCAGGAGAGGCCCTTCTCACCAGTGAGGCCTAAGGGTGCGCCAGCATCGGACGAAGGTCACATTTAGTCCAGCATTCTTTGCAGACAGGGACCCCCCCCCCCAAGCAGGACATGGGGGCAGTGGCACCATCCTACCCAAGCTCCCCAGCATACTGCCTCTGATACAGGAGGCTGGACATAGCTGCCAGGACTAGTGGCTATTGATCCTTCTCTCCACGTGTTTCTCTAACATTCTTTTAAAGGCATCCGAATTGGAGCTGTTACTGCACCTTGAGGCAAGCAGTTTCGTGGTCCATGACTGTACACTCACGATGCCCTACTGACCCTGATCGTTCAGAAGGGTCAGAGCACAGCACAGTCTGCATAACCCTCTGCTCCCCCCTCAGGGGGCATCCTGACTGCACCAATACGTCAGGATCATTAGTTTCTTTAAACACTTCCACATGTGCCAAAAAACAATCAGCTCTGCAATCTTAGGACCACGTTAGGCGCTGGAACTTCCTCCACATCGAGCAGCCGGAGGGTGCAGCACAACCAGAATGCCCTCAGCGAGAGCAGCTGCTGCCCAGCAGCGGCACATGGGGGCCGGGCAGAAAACGATGCCCCTGCACACGTTGCTGCAGGCAGGACGGGAGCGGGGGCTGTGTCCAAACGGCCCAAGGCCTGCTGCCCCTCCGCTCCCCCATCGCGCCCATGTTGCCGGCTCGGGGAGGGCGGGAGTGCCACGGTTCCATTTGCCGGGGATACCGCTGGACTTCAATCTGCTTTGACAGACGGGAGCTCTTGTTTCCAGTACCGGTCTAGCTGTTAAACAAGTTCATCTGTTTTCTTTAGACAATGTTCGAATGACTCCCTCTATTCTGCCACAACAATCACCCTTTGTGATCGTGTTTGGAGTGCTGGAGAACCTCTAAAGGCCAGAGGAGGCGGGCAGGGCTGTGGTGTGGAGCTCAGGCCGCAGCTGCCACCGGCTTGTTTCCACAGCAGAGCTGCTCTGTTCATTTCGTCCCTGCCTTGTTTGAAGTGCCTTCCTTCTGCTTCTGCTTTTTCACAGAGTATTATCCAAACTGTGAAGTCATGTTCATGGGAATGGCAAACATCCACTCTATTCGAAAGAGCTTTCAGTCACTGCGGCTGCTCTGCACGCAAATGCCAGACCCAGGAAAGTAAGTGACCCATACAGATTCCTACTCTCTTTCCCTTCACAGTAATAGCCTGGGATGTGTTTAAAATTTCAGTCCTCTGCCATCCTTTTGTAATGAAGCACGTAGTTGAGCCTTCACAGCTGTTTTATATAGAAATGATTTTTGTCTTAGACAATCCTGGTTGTTAAATGACACCTAACACACTGGTGTTGGAAAAGCAACCAAAGGGCAAAGTTGGTCTCATTCTGTCTTTTAGTACAAACGCTTGTGAGGACGTGCTCTCGAGTGTTCCTTTGTGGTACTCCACTTCTATCCACGAAAACTTCTAAGTGTTCTAGTTCTGCCTTTCTCTCAAAGTCACACATGATTCCTCTTAAAACACCTGCATGGGCAGCCCTGGAGCTCTGGGCATGCAGCCCACATGCAACCAGAACAGGCTGGTTCCAGAGACCCAGCAGGGGCGCCAGAGGAGCCAGCTCCCGGATACACAGCATTGCTGCAGCTTTGGGCCTGCCTTTTAGAAACAGGAGATCAGCTTGAGTTGATTAAGAGAAGCCGTCCAGAGACCCGCAACGTTTTGGACAGGGTTGTTGTTAGTCGCGAAGTCGTGTCCGACCCATCGCGACCCCATGGACAACATTCCTCCAGGCTCTCCTGTCCTCCACCATCTCCCGGAGTCCACCTAAGCCCACACCAGCTGCTTCAGTGACTCCATCCAGCCACCTCATATTCTGTTGCCCCCTTCTTCTTTTGCCATCCATTGTTCCCAGCATTATTGGACAGGGTAAAAATACCCAAATAAATAAGTAAGTAAGTAAGTAAGAGCATGAGAAGTAAAAGTGACGCAAAGCAGATCTATTCATGCTCAGGCCATTTGTATCTCGCCCCTCAGGGTGGTGGACTCTGGCTGTCCCTCCTCCTGGGTCCCAGAAGCACTGCCCTGAGAGGATGACCAGCAGCTGGGCAGCCGTGTCTCGCTGGGGCAAATCTAGCCCTCTGTCCACTCAGGCCAGCTCAGGATGCCCGTCCCATACTGCAGGAGTGGGCAGCCTCCTCCAGCCCAAAGCAAAACTTAGTTTCAGAGAATCCCTTGATAGTCACACTTGACCAGTGGGCAAAGCCAGAAGGAAAAATGAAGGGGCACACACACAGCCTGCCCGCCCCGCCCCCCGCAAATACCAGTATATAGTAGATTAAAGCTTTGACTGCCAGTAACTAAGCCTTAAGAGAGGAATGCCGACATTTTAGAATGGGGAAAATCTCAAAAGCCACAGTACAGCATTCCAAGACCCGGAATCTGAACTGGAAGAAGTGGCAAGATTAGAATGCTTAGCTGAATTGCCAAGGCCAACTAACTACAAGATAAGCTGAGCAACTGGTGAAAAGCAGACCACCTCTGATTCAGTGGGAGTCACTGCAGAACAGAAGGGGAGCCGGGTAACTTAATCAGCCCAGTGGTCAGATGAGCAGACCAAGCACTCCTGCTGTCTGGCCCACAAACCTCCCTGAGGGTGGAGCCAGTTCCTTTAGTGGGGAAGGGAGGAGGCAGATTCCATTTGGCATCAACTTCTGGCTTGGGCAGAATCAGTTAGAAGGTTTGTTAACTTGATGAATGTGTCTTGCTAATGACCTTTATGTTGCTCTCTTTGTATCACAAAGCGAATCCTGGCTGGCCAGCTTTAATGCAATAGAAGACTATAGTTAGTAGCCTCTCCTCTTGATCTTCCAGGAAGGAAAAAGGAGGGAGGTGGGGGAGAGAGATGCAACAGAAATCACAAAAAGTGGGCAGCCAGGGTCAAAGGGGTGGCTCTAGGTGAAGAGAGCATGCCCCCCCCCCACCGAAATGTCAAAGAGCTGAATTTGGCACACGGGCCTGAGACTTCTACTTCGTTGGATCTGTCTGGCAAGGAACATCATGGTGCCTTCCATGGAATCCATGCACACTGCAAATAAGGGGCTTTTAAATTTAATTTTACACGTAACACCTGCCAACTCAGGAATGCTCCCCAGGAGGCAGCCAGCACTTGCATGCCCTGCACACTGTAGGGCAGGAATGTGGGGAGCAGTGAGGACCTTTTGGAGAAGCTTTGGAGCCATTTTTGATCTGCCAGTTAAGGAACTCCAGATACGTGCTTGAGACACCCCAGGCTTTCTAGGAACAGAAATGGAAAGAAACCCTCTAGCATTCTGTGTGGCTTCTTGCTGTGGATGAAAAAGAGACACCCTTCTGGTGCCGCTGTAACAGGAATTTAATTTGCTCAGCCTACAAGCTTCAGTTTAATGGGATGAAAGACGTCAAACTATTCTTGCTTGTTGATCTGCAGCTGGCTGTCAGCACTGGAAAGCACCAGGTGGCTGCAGCATCTGTCCGTGCTTCTGAAATCGGCACTGCTGGTGGTTCATGCGGTGGACAGAGACCAGCGACCCGTCCTAGTCCATTGCTCGGATGGCTGGGACCGGACTCCACAGATAGTGGCTCTGGCCAAGCTGCTGCTGGATCCGTATTACAGGACCATTGAGGTTTGTGACCAAAGGCAGGGGAAACAGGGTGATGGGGGCGGGGGGCGGCAAAGGGCCTTGAATGGAAGGCGTTGGGGTGGCAGCTTTGCATTCATGCGATTTTTTCCCTTCCTGTAGTCCAACCCTAGAACTTTAAAAGAAAATGGATTTAATGCTGGAATAAGATGTTAGGCTGATGCCTAAGAGAAATGGCAGTCCGTCTCCCAGACTGCAGCCTGAGGCAAGGATGGATTTGGGTGCTGCTAAGGAAGGCCAAGTGGGATGCAGATGCCCATTTGGCTCTTGGGATGCCACCCGTGGGAAGCTCTTCTTCACAAGCCTCTTAGAGTCAAGTGGGCTCAGCACTTGTTCATGTTGGTGGAGTTTTCACAAGAGACCTTCCTAGCAGAGGTTTCGCCCCAGATGCCGAGGGTGAAGCGATGTGGTTGGCTCTTGTGGCAAAAGGATGGGCTACCTGTGAATTTCATTGCATGCACTCTGCTTGCCCCAGGGTTTCCAGGTGCTAGTGGAGATCGAGTGGCTGGATTTTGGCCATAAATTTGCCGATCGTTGTGGCCACGGTGAGAATTCGGACGACCTGAATGAACGCTGCCCCGTGTTTTTGCAGTGGCTCGATTGTGTCCATCAGCTCCAGAGGCAATTCCCCTGCTCTTTCGAGTTTAACGAAGCATTCCTTGTGAGTTGAGTGCTTTTTCACATGGCTTTTAAATCAGCAGAAATAATAAGTTGAACACTTCCCTGTGCACCTTCAGTAGCTAACTTGTCCGAATGCTGGGTTTTCCCAGCACATGTGTAAAAGACCAACACGGCACATTCTGTATCATTGCTTACACTGTGAATTGATCCCATTCAAGTAAATATTTCTGCCAGTGACTGGACTAGCCGGAGTGCAGCTTCCGTCATGGGGTGTCTTCTCCCTTTGGCTCACCTGCCCCCCTATTAGGAGAGTAAGAGGACTCTCATATTCTGCGCCTCCGCTGAGGCAGCCCGTAAAGGTGTTGCACAGAGTGGGTTTTGCAGCGGGGGCACGGCGGATGGGATAGTGGCTGCGTGGGCTCCTCTGAGGAGACCTGCCACTTACGGGAGAGTAACGCACTGATGCTGAGGGCTGCCGTTTTGCCTGTCCTGCAAGCGGAGCACATGCTTCGCACTCAGCAGTCCCGGGTTCAGTCTCTGGCACCTCCACTTGCAAGGACTCCGACTGAAGGGCTAAGACCAGCCCCTGCCTGGGACCGCAGGGAACTGCTGCCCCTCAGAATCTCCACCACTGGACCAGGTGGACCAGTGGCTTCCTTGGAGCATGGTAGGTTCGGAACTCCGTATTGTTCGTCTCCAGTGACGAGGCCTATGCATGAACTTGTCTGCGCACGTATGCTGTGCAATTATGTTTTCATACTGCCTGGGACCAGCAGCTCTGGGTGGCTCACAAAACTTGAACCATAAAATGCAACACAGGAAAGCGTAACGGAAACCTTTTCAAACAGAATAAAGCTGAAGTAAAACTGCCGCAAAGCCGGCAGAAGTGCAGCAATCTAACAGAGTTGTGACACATTATTAAAAAGCATGTATACGAGTACTAAAAAGCCAGAGAGAATAATAGGACCTTCACCTGGCATTGTACGAGACCACAACGCAGGTGCCAGGTTCGCCGACCTGCAGAGGCCATTCCACAGCTGGGGTGCCCCTGCTTTCCCTAGTAGCCACTGACCTCACTTCGTTTGCAGGGGCAGCAGAGAAGGGCCTCTGCAGATGGCTTGGACAGGTCTGTGCATGTGTGTGTGTGTGTGTGTGTGTGTGTGCCTGCATCAGTGCGCATGTGTGTGCATGCAGGAGACCTGGCCTGAAAGCATTTAAGGTCTTGAAAGTTAATACCAGCACTTTGAATTATACCTAGAGGCTAGTGCAGATCACAAAGAGATGTTTAAGAGACCAAATGGTCTCAGAACTTCATTTTTGCCCACTTTGTTCCTCTCTTCCTGTTAATCTTGACAATGGATGATACATGCTTCATAGCAGACAATAACCTTTGTACTTTTTCTCAAATTTAACTTTATTGCAGAGAGAGGGCCATCATGTTTTTCACATCTGACTTGGCCTGAAAGTCCACACATGCAAAACCAGCCACTTGGGGCACAGTGCTTTGTGTGACATAGGTCAATTTGTAGTTTACTGGTTTTTATTGTTTACAGTGTGTTTTAATTATGTGATTGTCAGCTGCCTAGGAATGCCATTGGAAATGTTTTAGAAGAGAGAGAGAGAGAGAGAGAGAGAGTTTAGACTGAAAAGGCTCCTGCAACTTCCAGAATTCCCCAGCCAACATTTTTCTGTCCAGTTATGCGTAGGATTGAGCCCTTCTGTGCCTTTCTCCACACACTCCCTCCTGTATTGATAGCTTGGAGAAAATTTAGTATAGCCATCAGTAGCAATTATGTTTGCATAGCTATTTTCCAGCTGTGATCCTAGCCAAAGCTCCTGTTTCCACGTACATTTGGATTCCTGCCAAGGTTTCTCCATGCAGTCCTCTACACATGATGGATTTGTGGAGAATAAAAATGGCCATCTTGCATTTGCAAACTAGCCTTCTTGGGATAGGTGCTAAATGAGAAAATACAGGATTTTTCTCCCAAAGCTTTGAAGTACACATCAAGTCTCAAATGAACAAGTGACTATATTCTGCTCAGGTGTGTGTGAGGCTCATTTTAGGCTTCAGCTGTATCGTTTCTGTACAGGTCAAGCTGGTGCAGCACACCTACTCTTGCCTCTTTGGTACGTTCCTGTGCAACAATGCAAAGGAGAGGGGTGAAAAGCACACCCAAGAAAGGACCTGTTCCGTTTGGTCTCTACTTCGAGCAGGAAACAAAGCCTTCAAAAATCTGCTTTACTCCTCCCAGTCAGAATCTGTATGTACCTATTTATTATTTCATTTGTGTATTACTTCCTTTCCTCCAAGAAACACCAGACAGCATGTGAGCATATGTGGGCCTTTCCTCCTCCTTTTTTCATGTGTAAATTTTCCACAACATCCTGTGAGATGAGTCAGGTTGGGAGATTATGGCAGGCACGCACTGAGCCTCCTAGGGAGTGGGGATTTGAACCTGGGTCTCCCCCAGTCCTAGTCTGATCCCTCCATTGCTGCACCCCACTGGAATTTTTGCCATGGTTGTTTCTTGCTCCTTCAAATCTTGTTGAAGCAACACTGATTACTACATTGAGCCAAGTGCTTGTATCTCAAACAGAGTAAGAGGGCCTGGCTCTTGAGAGCATGTGGAACAGGGGAAGCATTGATCTGGCTCATCTTCGGCTGTATCTTTTTGCACTGAATGGGCAAACATCCTTTATTACGAAAAGACCCACAGCACTGCAGTGTCCTGAGGTTTGACTGGTTTACCGTGGCATGGAGCCAGAAGATGTAGTCTGGAAATTGGCCTCTTCAACCTCAAGGCCCGTGATGCAGTTTCACTGTTGACACCAAGCAGGCCTGGCCTTGTAAACCTGCGAAGTGCAGTCGATAGCAGCAAGTGCAGTCGAAGCTTTCTGGATTCACAGGGAAAGGACATTAGGAGGGCTGCGGTGGGTCTGCTGTGCCAGCCGGTGACCTTTCCCAGTGTCTGAGGGCACGCCAGGTCAGCAGCGGCCTGTTTCCTGCCCTGGCATCATGGGTGGCTGCTGTGTGCCTGCGGAGTGGCCCAAGCTTCAGGAGCAGCTGTGCTTGGGGACTGTGTGAGGAGCAGAGATGGACAAGAGCAAGCAGCCTTTTAAAGTGCAGAGGGTGGGAGAAATGGGGTGCAGGAAGGAGATGAACAGTGAGGAAGACACGGGGAGGGCAGGACACAGCGGAGGAGAAGGCATGCCAAGCAACAGGCACGATGCTGGGAGGGTGCAGTCAGCAGGGACAGGGGGTCTTGCCTGTGCCTTCTCCAGCCCCAGAGGAACTGTGGAACCTGAGCTGGAATGCTCATGCCTTCCTGGGCGGAAAGAATTGGCACTCTTGGCAGATGAGAGGTGAGAGGTGAGCAAGCTTCTCCAGGTGCAGGTAACCATCCTCCTTACTTGTCCCGCAGGCTGGGAGCAACTGGCATGGATCCCTGGGAGCTACAGAAGATCAGAAGGAAGCCTCTAAAAGCTAGTCCAGGGAGGGTGGAGTCAGCAGCAGCTGGGGAGGGCAGCCTGCTGAGGGATTCTTGGAGAAAGAGCCAGCAGCATCCTCTCTTGCTTAGCTGGAAGTGCTGGAGGACGGCTCAGCCCAAAGTCCCCAGGAAGGCTGTGGCAGGGCCCCTGGCAGTGGGCCTGCACTGCAGCCGGAGTTCCACTTAAGGCGTGACTGGTGCGGATTACAGGAAGAGTAGAGCTTCCCCACAGCGGCCTTTTTACATGGCACTCATGGAACCAGGTGGTTTTAACATCCCTGCTGGGGTGACTTGTGCACAACATCAAATAATGGTTTTCCTACGGCCCTCAGAATGATTGTGCTTAAATGCCTAACAGACTCTGCTCAGCAATCCGCAGTTGACGAACAGCTGCCAAATTGGAAATCTGGAAAAAGCAGCCTCTGCTGCAAAAAGAAAACCTGGAAAAAATCTTAAAGCTGTGATCATGTTTTCACCCTCATTATACCTGAGATTGTCGCCTATCTGTAGAGGACAGTTTAGTAAAATAAGGCAAGCAGCCCCACTATAAGAAAAGTTGTCACATAAAGGAATCCACTTGGGAACAAATATGTCACTGGGATCTTCTGAGCCTGGAGAGAGGTCTAAATAATGAAACCATTTGGGATTATACTAATTTGCTGTTAATTTGTTGTTAAATCATATGCTAATTATGCATGCGGCTGGGTGTCTGCTTGCTTTCCCAGTTTTTGCAGCATTTCCTTGTCTTTTGGAATAGTCTCCTTTCTAAATTAGTGAAATCCTGCAGTGGAGAGCATCGGCTATGAGCTTGCAGGAATGCTGCACTGATTTGAGAGAAGGGGCAGAGAAAGTTCAAACGCAGGCTGTTTTGGCTGGGGGGAATTTCAGAGTCTTGCTCCGGAGTATTTCTAATACAAGCTGGCCAATGCAGGTTCACCTGTGATGCGGGCCGGTCTCAGCTGCTGTGTTTTTCTCCGAGGTGCTGTATCCCGTGTGCCACGTGCGAAACCTGATGCTCTGGAGTGCTGTTTACTTGCCATGCTCTTCCCCATCAACTCCTGCAGATGACACCTGTGCTCCTTACCCAGTCCCTGGTTCCAGCCCTGAAGATCAGCCTCTGGGCAGGTGAGCTCTGTGTTCAGGTGATGGAAGATAAGCAGATGTGTCACATGGGAGTGCGTTGCCCCCGTTGCTGTCCATATGACGAACAGACGTTGTTGAATGAGCATCCCAGTGCTGATGGGTTGTTCATAAGTTGTTCAGTCTGGACAGGCTGTTATGGCTAGCCTTTACCCCGTTCGACACATGTTATTCTCTTCCAGGCTACCAAAGACAAGGTCATTTGACAATCTGACAACAGCCTGTGACAGCAGCGTACCGACAACCAACCGGCGCAGCAGCGATCCCAGCCTCAATGAGAAGTGGCAGGAGCACCGCCGCTCCCTGGAGCTGAGCAGCCTCGGGAACCCGGGGGAGGATCCCTTTGAGGGGGACGGCCTCGGCAGGCAGGGCAGACCTCTGGCGGGAGCAGAGCTCTCTGTCGCTGTGGCCGAGGGGCAGATGGAGAACATCTTGCAGGAGGCCACCAAGGAGGAAGGGGGCCTGGAGGAGTGCGCAAAGTGTGCTCAGGAAGGGCAAGAAGGCGCTGCCCCGGGGAAGGAATGGGCAGAACCCCTGGGTGGCTCTGACGGCAACGTCTGCAGCAGGGCTGAACTGGAGGCAGAGTCTGCGCCGGACAATCCCGTGTCCAACCAGCAGGTGGATTTACAGGGTGCTTCTGAGCTTCAGGGGCAACAGGACCAGCCGAAGGCTCTCTGTTCTGCTGTCCAGAAGCCATCTCAGGTGACGGACCTGCAGCCTGGCTTTTTGGGTGATGCTGTAAATAGTGACATTCAAAGACTAGAGGAAGACACTGTTAGTCGGCCTCCAGTAGAAGTTGAAAACCTGCATGGTACCCCCCAGTCCAGCCCACCGTTGCCTCTCCTGCATGAGGCAGGAACGTCAAACATGGAGAGCTCTACCGAAACCCTAACAGAGACTGGGGCCAAGACGGAGCTGACCCATCAGCTTCACCCCACAGAGATCAGTGCTGATGGGCTTCCCCAAATTGTTGAGCATAGGCCTGAGACGGAGGACTCCACGGAGCTACACAAAATGGTCGCCGGCCTCAGCAGGACTCCTAAGAGCAGCAGCGTACCTGACCAGATGCCTTCACCTCGTGCCTTGCCGTTAGCAGACTACAAAGAGACTGTGTGTAACGGAGAGCCAGAGCCTGAGAACAAGCTGACTGGGCATCCTGCAGGGCTCCGCACGACTCAGAAATACGCTCCGCCGGACGGGCACTGCCTGAATGGAGAGGAAGGCAGGACGAAGGCTCCCCTCAGCCGGCAGATCTCCGCTGCCAGCTGCAGCTCGGTTCCGCTGCATCTGCGGAGCCTGCACCACAAGTGGGTTCACTCGGTTCCCGGCCGGCAGCAGATGGCAAACAGCCCGGATCAGCCTGCCCGGAGCCACCTGGATGATGATGGGATGCCGGTCTATGCCGATGTCATTCAGCAGCGCCTCCGCCAGATTGAAAGCGGGCACCAGCAGGAGGTGGAGACCTTAAAGAAGCAGGTGCAGGAGCTGAAGAGCCGCTTGGAGAGCCAGTACTTGAACAGCTCGCTGCGTTTCAATGGGGATTATGGGGACGAAGTGGTGAGTAAAGGGGCCCTTCGCTGTGGTTTGTGTCCATGTGCCAGGCAAGAGGAATGGTGCTCCCTGCCACAGGGACACAGCGTTGCAGGTGCAGGAGCCAAATCCAAACTGCCCTGCGTCTCCGAGTGGCCTTCCAGCATCCCCTGGAGAACTGCGGCCTCTGCCACTGGATTGACACTTCTCCCGTGACTGCTGATCATTTGGTGTGGTTTCCTGGCTTTTGTGCAGCTTTTCCCCATCCTAAAAGATCGAAACACTTTTCCTAAGGCTAAGTTACTAGCAGGAAGAGCTTTAAGATAAAATGTTCTGGTCTTTTTGGTATTTTAGCCCTGCCTGTTTTGCTTTTAGTCTCCTTCCTGTTTGCTTTCGACCCCATCCCCTGCTACAGCCCCCAAAGAGCTTCTCCAAAATAGAATTCAGCCCTTCTGCTGAAAGAGGTTCCCCATCCTCCATCCCTCGAAGTTTGCAAATACATTCAGATCAACAACTAACCCGCTTGCCTGCATTCTAGTCACTTGTGGCAAACCGATGGCCTGGAAGTGAGGTGGAAAAAACCTGCAAAAATAATTGGCTCTCTGCAGCTTCATGAAAGCTTTCCTGTGTGGCAAGTTTTATTCAGCACCGGGCACTATATGAGTAAGCTATTTACTAAGCTGCTCATGTTTTGGGAGGGCTTTGTAGGTGCATTTAAGCAGCCGGGGGTTTAATCAGCAGAAGTTGCGAAATCATGCTTCATCTGGATGGGGAAGGTGGCTGCCTGTAAAAGAACTTGATTTCTTTCATTAGCAGAAGATGCCCAAGTGTGTCACTGCTGCAAAGCATCAGAAATGTTCTATGCCATGCCCTGCCCAAACTGATGGAGTCAGGCCTGTTAGACAGCTCACACTGTCTGTGGAGATCTGTGGGTTGCTCTGCTATATGTGCCCGCAAGCCCACCTTCAAAAGAGCCATCTCTGCCCCTTCATTGTTCTAAGAGGCAATCAGCTAGGTGTGAGAGAGCATGTGCATATGGGCGTTTAAAGCAGCTTCTTTTTCTGGAAAGAGTAAGGAAACTCTGACCTTCTGGGTGAAGTTGGCCTCGAGCTCCCATCAGCCTCAGCCAGCATGGCCAATAGTCAGGAATGGTGGAGGCTGTAGCACAATATCTGGAGAGCCACAGGTTACTCACCTCGTATTTAGAAAATGTATCTCCAGGAGAAAGCATGAAAATACAATGGTCAGGTGCCATGTGACATGCAATGGAATAAATAATAATTTTTTTAACCCACCTTTTTTTTCCTCTTTCAAGAAACCCAAGATGGGCCACACAGTCCTCCTTACAACACCCCTGTGTGGTACATCAGGTTGAGAGACAGTGGCTGGCCCAAGGTTACCCAGTGAGTTTCATCACCGACTGGGGACTAGGAACTGCATCTTGCAAGTTCCAACAGTCTAACCCTGTGTCACACCAGTTCCTGCAGTTAGCAGCTGTGTGAATGCCCTTTAAAACGATTAATGGGGGGTGGGGTGCAGGAATCCCAACCAGGTCCCTGCTGGAAGGGATGTTGGGTTGCTTTAACCCTTTGCCTCCCACTGCAGTCTCAGTCTGGACTGGGAGCCTGCTGGCCAATTTGCATCAGAAGTAAAGCTCCCATTTGTGCAAGGATGAACTTTTCCACTCGCTGCCGAGAGGACCCTAATTTGATTGAGACAGCGGTGGGAGTCAGAGAGTTAAAGCTGCCCTGATCTACTCAGCTGCGCCTGGCCCAGCCTCTCAGATAGCTTCCCTTGGCTGGCCGTGATCAAACAGGCAGTAGCCAGGTTCTGGCAGTGCTGGGGCCAGATTTCTGCCCCGTCCTGCTGCTTACTGGGGCCTGATTGACCCTCGCTGCTGCAGAGTCCCAAGCCAGCTCCATGTTGTTCAAGGCGGAATGGGCTATTCCCAGCACAGCCTGGATGTGAAGGAAGGAGAGCAATCCTTTGATCCCGGGGCTATACAGTTGTTCAGAATTGCCTCCAGGGTCAGAGACTGCTCTCCAAGCTCAGAAGGGGGAGTCGGAGATCCAACCCCAGGCCCCACCCTCTCTCAGTTGGCATGGGAAGCCTTCCCAAAGTACCCCCACTAGCAACACTACTGCAGGCAGAGAACAGGAAGGCAAAGATGGCCTCCGTCGTTCCTCCAGTCCTGCTTATTTCAGCCCGACAGGATATAGGTATCTCAGAAGCTGAGTCAGGGCTTCCAGGAAGGGAGGGCGGCACCCCGAGGGCTGCACCCTAAGCAAGCGATGGAGAGGTTTGTGGGTGATGGACTGGTGGCCTGTGGAGCTTTGTGCTTTGGTCTTATTGGTTTTGCAGCTGGCATCACTGCTGTCTTTTTAAAGGCCTTTGAATGAGGTGAGGAGAGTCAGTTTCAGCCCCATACAATCAGGCTCAGTTGAGACTTCCAAATGCTCCCGTTACCCAGAATGGTCTTGGGAAAGCTCTTGCTATGGACCTTTTGTATCATTTACTTACTCTATTTATTTTGTACTGTGTGTTGAGTAGAGCTATGCAGCTGTTGGCAGGCTTCTATTTTTAAATAGCTGATGTTTTTTGTTTGCATGCCTTTGAACACTCTGAAATTGGCAAATCTAACCTGCTGACAGCACGGCAGTGTGCTGCCATGTACTTCACTTGAAGGGAAAGAAGCAAATTTTTTGAGATCCTTCTGAGTTTGCTATGCAAACTAGGCCAGCCTTCCTGATCGTAACCTTTGGTTGGGTGGTGGAGGTGGTAGCCTGGGAGGAACCAGCCTGGGAAAGGCTGGCTTAGGTACTAAATTCACACTCCTGCAGTTTTTCTCCTTCTGGATGCTTTGTGAAAACTGCTCAGAAGGTCAAGCGTAAGGGGGCACAAATGAGAGAACTGCATCCTAGATAGCCCAAGTCCTTTCTTAGCAGGGAAATAATTTGGAAAGGAAAAAGTTGACTTCTCGCACATTTTTCTCTCTGTGCCTTGGTTTCTCCCTGCTGGGAAGTAGATCCAGAGGGTTGGGTGTCAGCTTGCTAGCAGGCCAGTCTGGGATGAGATAAGGGACTGCTGATCCACCAGAGTGGTCTGCCAGCGAAAGTGGCTGTGGGCCAGGGATACTGCCAGGGTGATATCTCGGGTCCTAACTTTCGGAATGCAGTTTCTGCAGAGCTTTATGTAAAACCTCTTCCTGAGGAAACATTTGAGTTTCACAGACAAATGTGTCAGCTTGGGTTACACTGAAAGGGTTTGCTATTTACTTCTTTCACTGGTTCAGCAGGAGTGATGTAGCATCAGATTTAGTCAGGGCTGGGAACTGGTGCATATTACAGTGTACAGTGGGTAAACATACTGGATAAACATATTACATATTACTGGGTAAACATCTGTTTAAGCAAGATTGAACCCGGTTGTTGTGTTTGCTTATTTCAAAGAATTATTGTTCCAAGGACTAGATGCAATCTTGAATTTCTTGTATAATCTTGGATATATCTTGTTAAAGTTGTGTGCTTATTGAGTTGAGTGGAAGACCTCAAAGAGTGAATGCATGGAAACCAGCCCAACAGGAACAGGCAGGTGTATACTTAAGTTTCAAAACAGTGCTTGCTTTCCAGATTATGCCCTGAATTAGACACCAGTAATTTACAGATACATAGAAACCATCCTACTGGTTTTCACTTATACACCTACAAGAATGTCAGTGGCAGAGATTTTATTCTACAGCTGCGGACCCTGAAGAGACACAAGACATCGTCTGCTCTACATGCATTTGGTAGAACAGGTCCTACGGAAGACGGTGCAGGAGAAAGCTCTGGCAGGAGTTTTCAGGCTCTAGGTGGACCCGCCTGCCAAGCCATCGTCTGATCTCCCCCGGCACAGAATTCCCTGTTCTCAGCTGTCTAATCCCTGTTCTGTGGAATTGGGAATAGTTTCATCTCAGCTGTGTTTGTTTGCCAACAGACTTCAATTCCTGACTCGGAAAGCAATCTGGATCAGAACTGTTTGTCTCGCTGCAGTACAGAGATTTTCTCTGAAGCCAGCTGGGAGCAGGTGGATAAACAGGACACAGAGGTACAGGCAGATTCCATCTCCGTGGCCTTCCTCTCCCTTTCCTTGTATCAGCACATGATACTAATGATGCAGTCCTGCTGTATAGCCCTCTGGTTCTAACACTAGTCTCTGTAAGCTTCCCCATCTCCTTGTCTCTGAAACTTTAAGCATCGCTACCTGTTCCGAAGCGCCCCCTGTTGTTAATTGTCTGTCTCCGGATTCACTGAGCGCTTCTCCTAGACTAACACGTGCAGCACCAATGCACTTGGCTTATGAAATTGTGCCAAGAAGTGGGCAAACTTTGCTATCGTTTTCTGAGGTTGTGAAAACTTAGATTACTCTGCAACGATTCTCTGCTTTTTGGCATCAAAAAACAAAACGCACTGACTCTTCTCTGTAAACTCTAAGGGCACGTTCCTTCCTCAGCTGTTGTTCCTCACCCCCACTTGCCCAAGCTGCGTGGCAGTGCTGTTCCACAGCTCTCTTTTTTCTTCTTTGGTTCGTAGGTGACCCGGTGGCTTCCTGATCACCTGGCTGCGCACTGTTATGGCTGCGATAGCGTGTTCTGGCTTGTCAGCAGGAGACATCATTGCAGGTAACGTGTGCCCCGGGCAGGGAAGCAAGACGGTTGGGGAAGGCTGCTGAAGTCTTTTAAGTGATTAATTGAGAACAAGCTCTGTGGAATGCTGGGGGCTGTTGCTTCTGAGGAAACACCTGAGGCATCATCTCCTTTTCACATGCTCTTACCACAGGAGATCCGAGGGCCATGGAAAGCCTTGTGCTGAGGCAGAACTTGGCCTGTCCAGCCCAGCAGTCAGCACTGCCTGGCAGCCATGGTTCTGCAGCGTTTCAGGCAGGAATTCTTCCAGCCCTGCCTAAAGATTAGGCAGGGGATCAAACCTGAGGCCTTAGGGATGCAGAGCACGTGCTCTACCACCGAGTCACAGTGCCTCGAATCTTGTGTGGATGCATATTGAGCTTTTAGGTTGATGGGCTGGCTCTTGATTTTCCCTTTTGAGCGCCGTGGTGACTGTCACAAGTTCCAGGCTTCCCAGTAGCTTTGCACTGGGGCTTGAGTGAACCCCAGTTTGCCACCAAGGCTCCATTCTGAGTGGAGTGCCAACCCTGGTGCCAACAAGGTGGCAAAAGAGGAGTGGAACAGTCACTGTGCTGTTATCCTCTCGGCCACAACCTGTTGTTGCCTGCAGCAGAAAGTCTCAACAGAATCCCTCTCTGGTTAACCCAGGGCACAGCCCACTGGGATGTACAAAGCTGTGTTGAAATGAATGGGAGCTATGCCAAAGCACAGGACTTGAAGAAACAGGAGACCTTCCCAATTGATTACCCTCTATAAAAAGAAGCACGTGTGTTGTCCCAGGCTACCTAATGACACCCAAAGCCAGCCAGGTGCGGTATTGACATGCCCGATAGAGCTTTGCAGTTGGCCACACAGCAGAGCCACTTGTATCTGGTTGAAGAATGGATGCTATTGTACACTCCCAGAAGCCTGTCCTTGCTAGCACAGGCCTTGCTGCTTCAAATCTATGAAGTGCTAGAAAAACACTAGAAAAACACTACCTATCTGTGTGTGCCAGACGAAGTGGGGCAGGTTGGTTCTCCAGCCTTTGGCAGTTGGCCAGCTTGTCTTGCTTCCCATGAAGCAGAAGCATCAGTACCTTCCCCCCATTTTAAATCTCCCTGGGCTCATTCCGGTAGGGATCTGCCTTACTTGGTGCTTCCATGTATGGCATTCTCCTACTTTGGATTAAAATCTGTTGGAGGGCAAGCTTGGAAGAACACCGGAAGCCTCTCATTTTACTTGCTTGGTCTTCTAAGCGCACAGTCCTGTGCAGGGCTAAATGCGGGGTGGGGAAGCCCTACAGCACCCAGCATTCCTCAGCCAGCCAGGTTGGCCAGAGCATATTGAGAGCTGTAGAACATTTTTAGCTAAGCATGCATCGGATTTCATCCTAAGCGGGTTGACTCTGAGCCACGCTACCTTACTTAGCCAGGAAGGTTTACAAAGAATCACTGTGAGCAAAATCTTCCTGGGGCAGTGTGTCATCTCTCTTCCTACAATATGTATTTTACCTCATTTAATACATTTCACTCCTGGTTTCCTTCCATCACGGGAGTCTCAGGTTGTTCTCTCTTCTGGGCCTGGACTAGATCCAGACTTGGTGGCTGCATCATATGCTATTAGACCAAACTTAAGCCTAACATCACATAATATTGAAACAGGGCTTCCGGAGATGCATTTTCCTTCCAAGAGTGTGTTGGAGTAGAGTAAGAACCAACCATTGTCAGTGGGGGCCGTTTTTCTACATGGTCAGTGTTCTTGGCATCTCTTCTGCCTGGAAAGAGGTGATCTCAGAACGGTTAATCTTGCTGAGATGCAGGAGGCAGCCTCCTTTGTGGATGGGTAATGTAGGCTCATAAGAGCCCTTACCTGAATTTCACATAGGACCCTAACAGTTTTCTCTTAACACACAGCTTGGAAATTAGGTGTAATTTTGTAATATTCAAGCTTGAGGGGAACATCAGCAGTCCTGCCTTGCCTTTTTAAATCTTCTCTGATTTAGTCTCCCCTCTGAGCTCTCTCTCCCCTCCTTGCAGGGACCCTGAACATGTTGATCAGACTTGGTGAGCATTTGCAACAGCCTCTGTTGTCTGTCCGAATTTCTCTGATAACCTCTCCAAACTAACTTTTGACCCCATTCCCTGTGCACCCTTTGCTCAGAATTTGCTAAGCCCAAGGTAAATAACAACAGCCTGTAGGATGTCAAAACCTGTGGGCATCTCTTCTCACATTACATTTAGAACCCAGCCTTTTTGCTTCCTGTTCCATACTGATACATGGGCCATAAGTGGTTTAGTTAAATTGTTTTAGACTTTAAAAAACACTGACTGGAATGAAGATTGACTTGTGTTGGGCAGTTCTTGAGCAGTATGCCAAGAAATGTCTGACCAGCCATCTCAGAAAAAGGTAGAACGGCAAAGCAAACTTTAATTAAGGGTAAAAAGCAGTGACCTTACAGCAAAGAAAAACAGCCTTGGAATCTCTTCTGCTAGCCAGGTGGAGCCATGGGAAGGAATATGGCTGCATAACTCTGGCAGGAGAAAACCCAGCTCCCCCAAGATGGATGGAAGGCTCATTTGGGGACAAAGTCATCCCTTTGCATGAGATCTGAAGAGCTGCACCCAAGTTGAAAATGCCACAAATAGCTCTGCTTTTCAAAATACCCAGGTGTTCCTCTCGAAAAGTAATGTCAGCCTTCTATTTGCAGCAAGATCCTGCTACAAACTGTTAGCCTTTCAAAACCAGAACCACTGAGGGCATTTGAATGACTTTCCATAAAGCTTTCTTTCTTCACTGCCATTAAACTTTCACTCAGGCTGTTTTTTTAACAGCAGCTTTTATTGGAGTCCATGAAAAACACTTCCAAATCTCTTGCCCAAGACTAGCCTGAGTGAATTGCTAGAGCAAGGATTAGAGCTCGATATCTGGAGTTTGCTTTGCCAATCCACAAAGACCAAATCTAGGAGTTGAAAAACGGGGTTTTCCATTGTGGAAAAACTGTATCTCACATTGAAGCTTTAACATCAAGGCTCTGACATGTACCATCAGAGCTGTCTAGCTTGTTTCACATCTCCTCCCATAAGCCAGTGCAGGCACTGGACAGGAGCAGACCCAAGTTTTGCCATGCAAGACATTTCCAGAGCTCAGTATACTTGAAGCATGGTATGAGAGTTCCCAATGTCAGCCTGAGGTTGGAGGTCTGGGATCTCGTCAGTCTAATTGGTTCAGAGCTCAGCTTGGGAACCAGGTGGGAGAACAAAAGGGGGTGGACTCCCACACACACTTCCCCACCCAAGGTGCATGCGCTGCTGTGCCAACTGACACCTGACACACGTGTCGGCTGCTGAACCACTTGCAGCGTGGGGGCTGCATCCTCAGTGGCTGCACACGGTGTGGCTTTGCATGGTCCCCATCGACTCACCTTCTCCGGCTGAAGGATGGTGCTGGTGTAGCTCCCTGGGGCTACGGCTGGCTCCTGACGTTCTTTAAGGTTTGGTTTGCTGTTTTCTTCTCACTGGGAAGCATAGTTCAGTGCTCCGTTGCACCGACACATGGCACAAAAGGAGTCTGTGCTCAAGGGGATCTAGCCCTCTCTCCACCCCTCCAGGCCACCGCTACTGGTTTGGGTGGGCACCACAGCAACGTCGCCTCCACCGTGCAAGCTCTGCCCTTTGGCGGCTAGCTCCAAAGGCTTTCCTATTTTGCAAGCACTAAGTGAAATCATGTACTTTTCTGGTGGGAACTGTCTTTTGCACGCTTGTTCTAATTTCTTCTCTTCCTGTCCCTGACTGAAGGAATTGTGGGAATGTGTTTTGCTCCAGCTGCTGTAACCAGAAGGTTCCGGTCCCCAGCCAGCAGCTTTTTGAACCCAGCCGAGTCTGCAAATCCTGCTACAGCAGCTTGCATCCCAGCAGCTCCAGCCTTGACCTTGAATTGGACAAACCCATTGCTGCCACTTCAAACTGAGACTCCAGCCTGAAAGGAAAGCTGACAAGAGACCATGCTGCCTCTCCTGCTTATGCAGACACGCACAGTCTCAGTGGGCTGAAGCTGGTCGGGCTGGAGAAGCCACGCACTTTGGAGTCTTTGGAGTGGAGAGTACAGATGACTGCTTAGAGGGACCGGATGTTGGGCATATACCAGTGAAGTGCAGAGACCCTTGTTTTCCAGCTGTTACTCCCCAGTTCCTTTTCATCCTCGTAAATTTTGTGTGGATTTTATTGGAAGACTGTGAAAAGGGGGGTCAGGCTGGAATTTGATTTCCTACAGGCGTTTCATCTGCCCTGTTGTTGGAATGTGCTGCAGGCAGAGGGATTGGTCCAGAGACATTGTGAATACTTGTAGCATCAATGCTAGTGCTTTCAGTCACTCCTGATACTTCCTGACAGCAAACTGCTGCTCGGAAGTTGTTGCTGCTAGAAGAAATGGAAGCTGCCTTTTTGATGAACTCTCTCTCTCCCTCTCTGTTCTTAGAGCGGGCTTAGTTTTTCTTGCTGCACAAATGGGATGGGGGAAGTGGCTGCAGATCTCCACACTGGGCAGTTCTTTGCCACTGTTGGTCAACTTGTGGCTCGGAGTGGGAAAGGCCTGGAATGCTTTGGCTAAAGAAAGTGTGTGCTAGTTTGAGGGAAGTGAGAGGAGAAGGGAGCAGACAGGCTGCCTGTTCAGTTGTTTTTAAGCTGGCACTTCAGTGGAAGGTTCTGCACATGCAGCTTGCTACAAAGGAACTGGTATCTGGGCTTGTCAGTAGCTTTTAAAATGTCTAAGGTTGTCCCGTTTTTAAAATAGGTTACTCAGAAGGCAGAGTTGCTTCACTGCAATTGACAGGCTGTTGGCAATGTCAGGCAACAGGATGCTTTTGGCCAGGGTTGCCCATTCTCAAAGAGTGCCCCAAAGCAAATGTGGGGTAGATTTTTTCATGCAAAGAGGGGGCGTCCACTCATCAGTAAGAGCTTGCTGCTGCCTAAAGTAGGGAGAAATTCTCTCCTTCCCCTGCAGAAATCTCTTCTGTAAGAATATGATACAGTCAAAACAAATTCCAAACTTTTCCCTTATATTAAAAAAGTTTTAAAATGTTGGCCTATATAGATGTGAGTCATAGTATCATTTTAGCTTTTATTCCCTCTCCCCACCCCCAGCTTTGAAATATGCTCTGCCTAAAGTTGGAGGAGGATGAATTGCAATTCCTGTTTTATACCATGTGGATACCTAGGCTGAGCTAAAGCAGGTCCTGCCTAACTATCCACCCAAATAGTCCTGGGACTCCATCTTCTGCACACACGTGTTCTGTCCTGAAGACGTTTCCTTCCCTGGACTCCAGCTACCATCACCACCACCACCACCACTGCTGCATGTCTCGTCCATGTCACCAGCCCACGATTTAGGGTTAGTATGCATTCTTGCCACCCATGTTGTTCTCACACACAGTGTCACTGGCTTTCACAGCAGAGCCAAAGACTACCGCAAATGCACAGCATTGGTGTGAATCCTCTCCTTGGCTTGCCAAAGCCTCTCAGAGTGAAGCTGCGTGTGAATTGGAGGGACATGGAGATAGAGACATCATACTGGGGTCATTTCAAGCAGTAGCAGTGGAATAAGTGATCCAGTCTTTTAAAAAAAGAGAGGAAATGTAAAAGCGTTGTCTTCTGAAGCAAATTTTATAAAGCTCTGAGCAACACCTGATAGATCCAGAGAGAAAAGATGTATGTCCGTATTTAGTTTTGGATGCCTGGTTTTTCCATGTTCTTTGTGAAAGGTGCAGGGGTTGGCTTCGAACACAAAAATGCAAAGAAAGAGTGTAGGAATCAAAATCAGGGATCCACGAGGTGTATGTAAGAAGGCTCTCTGGACCTTTAAAGCAGCCAAGGATATGACTTCTTGGCACTCCTTATTTTCTTTCAACAGGGATAAGCAATGCACAAAAATAATTCCAATCCAGTTTTTTAATATGAAATGAAATTGTTTTGGGGAAGTAGGCAGCAGATATAAATAGTATTCCTGTAGAGGTTACAGTACCAGGTATAGTAGAGAAAGTTGGAACAGGAAATGGAAACTGAGCTATACCCATTAAAGTGGGTGAGTAGAGACATGCTTTTGGAAGGAAAACGGTCTTGTGTTAACACACGGTGCCAGTGTGCTTTTATGGTACAAATGGATGGTGAAAGCAAGGTCTAATATTTTGCATAATGACAGGTGCCAAGAGGTTCTGATACGGGTTTGGGGGGTCTGTGATGTACAGTGTGAATAAACGCTTGCAGCTCTTAGTCTTTTCGATGAATGAAGCACTTTTTTATTTTTTCTTTGTATGTAATGCAGGAAACTATCTCCACATAGCTGTGTATATAACTTCCTAAAGAGGAACAGAATTGTTCCTCTTTTCTCCTTTCCTTTCCTTCTTTTTGTCAAAGCAAGACGTAAATACTTTAGAATGATTAAATATATAAATAAAAGTAAAATAAAGTTTAGAGTTTTGCATGGGAGCAATTGCTGACCTACTTCCCACTCTTCATCTGCTCCGTCCTTTACAAATGTAGGCCCAGAAAACCCATCAGGCTTTGGTGATGGAATGTACTCCTGCCACCACCTCCTGCCTTGTCACTTGTCTGACTTGTGGGGAGCGGTGGTTGGACAAGAACCTTGCTGGACTGAGAAGTAACATCACCTTTTCTCATGCAAGAAGCCCTGCCATACATGCTTTTTAAAGCAACTGGGTAAGAACAATCAAGAACCACCCAGTTCTTCAGACATCTCTTTACTTTCGTGACTACTGCATTGAAAAGTAAGTCTATTTGCAGCTTGGTGTGAGGAGTTTTCCCGTGTCCAGGAAAGGCAGGGGTTACATGACCAAAGTCTTTGCCTTAGTGTTGGCACTCTCAGAATACTCTTCAGCCTGTCCCTGTCTTTTTGGATCAAACCAAAAAGGATCCCAAGGTGGCTTACAAAGATGTCTCTTAAGACAGCCCCTGTTCACAGGCAGACAATCTAAAGTGCACAGTGCAAAAGAAAAGCCAGGGTTGGGAGCAGGGAGGAAGAAAGCAAATTCAGGCATTTGATTTTTAGTTGCAAAGTTCTGCCGGTTAGAAGGTGGAGGAAGGAGCTGCTGCTTCCTCTCCATATGACGACCTCAGTCGCAACAGCAGGAAGGAAGTGTATCTGGCTCCAGGCACAATGCAGAAGTAAAGATCCGGTCTTTTTGATCCTCTTATCTTTCCTAAAAGCTTTTTTCTTTCAACTTCTTTTTAAAAAAGGCTTCTACACTCTCTGCCTTAGGTCTTCTCTGTACTCCTCTTTATTACCTGGCTGCTTTATTGCTCTTTCCTTCTGTCTGCACTGCCCATGGTCTGTCCTCAAGGCTATGAAAAAAGTCGGTTTAACCTGTGCCAGGCTGTGGTGGAGCTCTGTGCAGCCTCTGCAAGCAGCTACGCCTCCTGGTGCCACAGCCGCTTCTCCTGATGCAGTTCCTGGCAAGGCAGCGTCCACACCAGCCAGCCACAGTTGCCCCCAGCGTTCTCTGTGTCAGTGCAGCTCAGGCTGACTAGCGATGCTGAGTCTGACGCCACTTCTGGTCTCAGTCTCCCCTGAAACCAGCCACAAGGACACCACAGGCACATTTTGGTCATCCTGGTCACTGGGAGGAGCACAAACTGATTCTTGGGGATATTTCACAGAAATTAGTTCCTGTGGGATTTTAAATGGTGGTTCTTGCCTAACCTGGGCAGATTCTTACCAAAACCAGGCACTACTTTGTGAACAGCACAATTCCTGTAATATTTACTAGTTGCCTTTCTGCCTTTTTACCAAGCTGTGGTATTCAAGAAGTTCAAAATCCACTTTTGAGGTAATGGGGAAGGCAGATTTGGGTCAGTTCCTTCTCTGAAAATCCCTTAGTTTGAAATTGTACTCTTTCCCTGTAGATTCAAAACAATGTAGTATGCACAGGTAGAAAGGTTCTCGTGTGTCTTGTGCTCCCAAAAGGTTTGAGATATTTTTCACTATGTCTGCAGTGGAAGCAGGTGAGTAGGATCTGCATCTTTAAACAACTTTTCCCATACTCCCAGTTTATCTTGTCGTGAGCTTTAGTCCCCTTCTGAAACTGGCTCTCTAAGTAGCCCAGTTAATGTATACTTGAATAAACCTATGGCTTTTCTTCCATCATCTATGTTTTGGCAAGGCTCTCCATGTTTAAAGCGTCCCCTTCTCTTCCTCCTCTGATTCAATACTTTCCAGAAAGTCCTGTTCACCAGTCCCTTCAAATGGACATTTGTGAAAATGGCAAGACTTAAATGGAAGGAGATCCTGTGGCCTGTAGTTCTTGAGGCTGCTGTAATCACACTTCCCTTGGCTCCCAGGCAGTTAATCAGGAGCAAGCAACTTCATCAGAGCTCATTTCCCAATCAGTGAGCCATTTCAGATGCTCTTAAGAAATGGGGTCCTGGCTTTTGGAATTGCAGTCTAGGGTTTGCAAATGGAAACACCGCGTGAGTTGGACTTGGTTTGGTTTGCAGCAGTTACATAGTCAAGGCTCAACCCTCAGAACCAACAAGCTGGGGTGCATTTTTGCATACTGATGCTGACGCACACATGCGCACTGTGCTTTGACACTGAATGCATACGGTAGCCCACTAGGACAACGTCCTTTCTCAAAACTGCCTCAGGATTTTACTTTGTGCCCTTCCCGCTGGATCATACCAATGGTTCAGAGCATCTTGTTTCACTTGATGGGCAGCCAGATGCCTTTGAGAAGCTCAGTAGCACAACATGAAGGCAGATGCTTTTCCCAGCAGCTGATGTTCAGTTCCAGAGTACCTCTGAACTCAGGGGTTACCCACCATGACTAATAGGCACCAGCAGGCTTATCCTCCATGGTTTATCTACCTAGGCCCCTCCAAGTCACTCACCTCTGCTTCAGGGTGATCGTTTCAGGAAAGGAAGCACTCAGCCATGAGTCCCATTTCCAGATTTACGCCCTTGCGTGATGTGTCGTGCTACATCAGGCTAATTACTAGCTACTACTAGGTGGTCCACTAGAAAATGTACACTCAACCATGGTCTTATCACTCCTGCTCAGGTGTGCTTTTTTCTTTACATATGCTTATGCTATCTGGATAATTTCTGCACAACCATCGTCAGTATCGTTTCTGGTCTTGCAGGATTCATAATAACGTACAAACACCACGCTAGGATAATGCAGTCTACCAAAATCAGGAGAGGTATCTCAACTCTGGTGGCAGAAAGGAGAGATGCAATCCATCTGCACACATGCACCATGCAGAAACGTACACACACTTATTTTCAGAACACCACTTCCATCGCTGGAGCAGGTGCTTTTACTGTAGATGCGGTTCTTTGAGTATGCCTGGCTTATTGCAGCCCCCAACTTGTACAATCAAGATGTGCCAAGAGCTGTGTCATGTTGTAATTCATAAGTAGGCTGACTCTTTGTAGATGCAGGACCAGGATAAAGTTTTCCATGTCGTTCCATTGGGAGCACAGCCTTTAAGAAAAGCCTTGATGCTTTCGGGCCAAGTGTTCAGCATCCGACGGCCAGACGGCCTTCTGCAAAACCCTGCTATCCCCTAGTGTCGCCCCCAGGGACTAGTATCTAATGCAGAAGAACACCTCTTTCAGCCCAGGGATCACATTCCATTCTAAGGAGCTGCTTTCCAGGTGGTGGGCAGAGAAAATAATCAAAATACCAGCCTATTATGTAAAATTCTTATTGCTAGTAACAGGCTTAGCGGAAGCACTGCGTCCTCTTGGGAAAGGAGCATGCACAAAAGCTAGAGGCCACCAAATGAATCATGGCTCACGGGGAAAGAGAGACTCCTGGGATACCCCAGGTTCTTCACCCCTTCATCTGAGGGCATCTTACCTCTGAACCTTGAAGTTTGATTTAGCTATAATAACTAACAATCACTGATACCTGTTTAAGCAGTAAAAAAAACTTTTTCCTTTGGGCAAACATTTTGGTCAGGTTTGCTTGTCTACCTTTGAGTTAAATGGTAAAATGGAGCTAAATGTTATTGTTGGCCTAATTCTTTTTTCACAAGAGCAGAGGCAAGGAAGACACAGTTAAAGGAAGCTAGGTTCAGTTCAAAGGCCAGCAGTACCATCATTTAGCACTTAAACCACTGAATCCGGTTAATTACCATAAAACTGGTCACTTGGAACAAAGTTAAAAGGATGAGAGAAGGAACCCGGAGTATAGCCTGGTTTTATTCTAGGGCTAATGGCTTGCCATTGCACCAACATTTATCAAGTTGTGGAGCCCTTACAAAATCAAATTTCTCACCAATGATACAAAACTACAGTGCTCATTTCCACAGAATAAACCATGTTTACTTAGCCATTGCCAAAGCCTCTGTACTAATAACCTAAATATTCATGTTGTGGCAAGAAGCATTTGAGATTTGAATTTATTTGTGGTTTGCCCAGTAAGGAAGTGGCCATCCAGGTGACTAGAAAAATTCCTTTAGCATCGACTTAAAGAGAACTTAAGGCTCACGTTGGCCATAGAACCTGCCAGTTCACTGGCCCAAACTGTCCAGATTTTAGTTTATATCCTTCCCATTCACTACAATGGCACTCAAGGCAACTACATTTCAATATACCCTTCAGTAGCATAACTGGCATATGGCCACATCAGAAGAACTGGGGGAAGGGTTTTCTCATCATTCCCTTATTTCATCTGTTACCATGGCCTACTTAGCATTACCTCTGCCTCCCAGCTTAGTTAGTCCAACATAATGGATGGCACCTCGGTCTGTGCTCAGTTCAGTTCTTCTCCCGAGACTGGATAGCCGTCATAAACTAAAGAGGTATCCAGGGAAACTGCTGCAGCACTGTAAGAGCCAGCTTGGTCTTCTTGGGCTACTGGGCAGAGGTCCTGGTGACACCACCTGTTGAGGGGCAGCAAAGGCTTTTCTGCTTAATACAATTCCAGTTCTCTCTCAATGGCAGGTACTATTTAAAGCAGGTTGAATGTACCTGCGTAACCTCAGGCAAGCATCTCAGGTGACATCACCCACTTGTGCTTTCCTCAGGCCCAGATGGCCATCAGGGGCAAGTTTCCTTACCCCTGATTAAAAGGGACACTGCGGACTGGATGAACATCCAGCCACCATAGTCAGCATCCAGGCCAGTGGAGGTGAACCTATGGCACGTGTGCCGCAGCGGGCATGCGGAGCCCTCTCTGTCGGCACACGAGCCCAGTCACCCCAGCAGCCGAGCATCGGATAACAGCACTCATAGGGGCCACGCGCATGCTCGGAAAGGAGTAGCCGCGCCAGGCAAGGACATCATGATTCGTGACTCATTAGCCACAACTCATCCGAGCTTTCGCTTCGCCAGTCAGTGCGCTGCCAAGGATATATGTGTGTGTGTGTGTGTGTGTGTGTGTGTGTGCGCGCGCGCGCGCGCGCGCGCGCGCGCGTGTGCTTGGACTGGCTGTGAGTTTTAATACATTCATTTTTATTACCACCAGATTTTAGTTTTGAGTTTTCTTATGAAAAATTGAAATTTAATATCTAAGATTTAGCAAATATATTCTAATTAAGAGACTGAGATCCTTTTAATGTTGTGCTGTCTCCCTGGCATATCTGAAGCTGCAGCATCATATTTAGTTGTTTTTTCTAAACTAAAACCTCAGTATTCAGGTTTTATTGCAGTGTTGGCACTTAGAGATAAATAAGTGGGTTCTGGGTTGCAGTTTGGGCACTTAGTCTACTAAAAGGTTCGCCATCACTGATCTAGGCTCTGAAGCTGGAGGACACAATATTGTGGACCTTTTAGGAAATACTGGATCATCTGGTGCCAGAGATTCTGCTGATCATATCTGCCATGTGACATCCAGCTCCCTTCCATTTACTGCAGCACCTGCCCACCAATGTCCCACAGCCCTTTCCTCTTCAGAGGAAGTCAGATGTTATTTTCATGTCCTTGATCTTCTTTCTCCCCCACACCATGCAGCCCTTCTCTTTGTGCATGTCCTAAGGTGTGTTTGTGGCCACCAGACCTCCTTTCCTATCCTTCACAGGAGGTGCACTGACTCTCAATATTCTGTGACTGTTCCTCTAGTACTGGAAGCGTCTGAATAGTCAGTAACCTCTCTATAGGAATTTAGCTTGTTAAATACCTCTGAGCAGCAGAGATGTCTGTGGGTGAGGCATTGGGCCTGGCAGCATGTTCCAGTAAGAGAATTCCTGCATGAAGTAAATACATAAGCCATTAACATTCCTGATTTATCCTTGTACATTATTCTACCAGAATAATCTGGCAGGAGCACCTGAATTATGCTAGCACCTGGGGGCTCCTGTGGTATAGGGGCTAGTTTGCCCCCTAGTTCGTCATTATTTGCCCCTCCATCCACCTAGTACACCAAGGTAGTGAAACAGGCACTCTGAAAATAGGGTGCTCTTCCCCTTACAGGGTGGGTCTCCGGTTAGTAGTTTTCTGCAGAGCAGGATCAGAAAATCATCACAGAACGCACAGAGCTTACAGGCTGCTAGGCATCTTGCTGCAGTTAATAACAAGCTGGCAGAGGGATTCTTTAACAGCTCTTCTCTTACCTCCATAAATTCTTGCGAGAGTGTAGGCAAAGTCTCTTGCAAGAAGCTGCAACTCAGCTTCCCTCTTTAAGCCGATTTCCTTAATGAAATCCCCGAGTTTGTGGAGAGCTTCATGAACCTTTTGCACAGAAGGTCCCATTTCAGGGAAGCCAAGAACCACCTCCAACTTGGCCTGCAATGAAAAGAGCCGTAGAACAAATTGAAGAAAGTTTCTCGAAATCATAGCGTGGCTGACCTACCCAAGCTACCATATCCACCTCCTTGGAAGAAAAGCTGCTATTCTATTTGCTGCACAACACCCCCTCCGGACAGCTGCAAATCTTGGCTATTCTCAGAGTCGGCCTGAAGACCTGGACAGGTAAGCACCTCCACCTCTCCCATCTCGCTACCTGGAGGCACAGTTTCCCAGCCCCCTCCCACTGACCTGGAAATGTGTGCCAAGAACAACGGCCCCTTTCTTTCCCAACAGTTAGCAGCCTTTCCCTCCAGCCCTAGTACAACTCCCATTGGTCTTGCTTGGAATTTGAAATCCAAAACATGCGAAGGACACCCATTTGAGAAGACTAGAATAAGCTTTCCTGGGCTAGAGTCCATTAAATAAATGGAAGTGTTACCATCTGGCAGATATATATGTATATTATTATTATTATTATTATTATTATTATTATTATAACATTTCTATGCCGCCCCTTGCCGAAACCTCGGGGCGGCTTACAACATGATAAAATACATTGAAATACAATAGTACATAATAAATTACCATTAAATATAACAATACAAAAAATACATTGATTTACAAATACAAAATTAAAATTATCAGTATAAAATAAAAATATAGGAGGAGAAAGAGAAGGAAGAAGAAGTTGCCCAGGCCAGATCATATGTTTTAACAATTGAAATGATGTTTAAATAAAAAGGTCTTTACCTGGCGCCGAAAAACCAGTAACGACGGTGCCAGGCGGACCTCTTTGGGGAGTGAATTCCATAGGTTGGGCGCCACCGCAGAGAAAGCCCTCCTCCGGGTACTTACTCTCCTAATTTCTTTCATGGAGGGTTCCCGGAGAAGGGACTCTCCCGCAGATCTCAAAGGGCGGTCGGGCATATACGGACGTAAGCGCTCGTGCAGGTAGCCAGGACCCAAGCCGTTTAGGGCTTTGTAGGTCATAATCAACACCTTGAATTGGGCCCGGGCTTCAATGGGAAGCCAGTGAAGCTGATGGAGGACTGGAGTCATGTGAGCATAACGCCCCGTCCCCGTCAGCAACCTGGCAGCTCTATTTTGCACCAATTGAAGTGTTTGGACTGTCTTCAGGGGAAGCCCCACGTAAAGCGCGTTACAGAAGTCTAGGCGGGAAGTCACCAGCGCGTGTGTCACCGTCGCCAGGCAGTCGTATTCCAGGTAGGGGCGCAGCTGATTAATCAGCCGAAGCTGAAGGAAGGCGTTCCTCGCTACCGCTGTCACCTGAGCTTCCAAAGAAAGCTCCGGGTCGAGGAGTACACCTAAGCTGCGGACCTTATCCCTAAGAGGGAGTGTTGCACCATTCAGGACCAGGTCAAATCCACCCTCTCCGAAACCCGATCCGCCAACCAACAGGACCTCCGTCTTGTCTGGGTTGAGTTTCAGTTTATTGGCCCTCATCCATTCCCTTACCTCGGCCAAGCACCGGTTCAGCACAGCCACTGCCTCACCTGGATTAGTGGAGAATGAGAGGTAAAGCTGGGTATCATCAGCGTATTGATGATTCCGCAGCCCACACCTCCTGATGACCTCTCCCAGCGGTTTCATATAGATGTTAAATAGCAGAGGGGATAGAATGGAGCCCTGTGGTACCCCATGGCATAGCTGCCATGACGTAGAGACATGGTCCCCCAGCACTACCTTCTGGAATCGACCGTCGAGATAGGAGCGGAACCACTGCAAAGCAGTGCCTCCAACCCCCAATCCCGCAAGTCTATCCAGAAGGATACCATGGTCGATGGCATCGAAAGCCGCCGAGAGGTCCAGAAGAACCAACAGGGATGTACTCCCCCTGTCCTTCTCCCTGCACAGGTCGTCGTACAGGGCGACCAAGGCAGATTCAGTACTGTACCCGGGTCTGAAGCCGGACTGAAAAGGATCCAGATAATCAGTTTCCTCCAAGAGTGCTTGGAGTTGTCCCGCCACCACTCGCTCCAGCACCTTGCCCAGAAACGGGATGTTGGCCACAGGTCTATAGTTAGTGGCCATCTCTGGATCCAGTGACGCTTTCTTCAGGACCGGTCGTATTACCGCCTCCTTTAAAGGGGCAGGCACTCGACCCTCCCTCAGAGAAGCGTTAACCACTTCCAAAATCCAGGTCCCAATCCCGTGCTTGGAGTTATTTATTAACCAAGACGGGCAAGGATCCAATAGGCACGTGGTGGGACGTACTCTTCCAAGCACCTTGTCCACATCATTGGGCCGCAATAATTGAAATTCCTCCAGTAATTTTGGACCAGACGGTGGCATTGGCGACTCCTCAGAGACCTCTGATTCATTAGTGGAGTCCAGCTCGTGACGAATCTGAGCGATTTTCTCCCTGAAATGCCTGGCAAAGTCGTCACAGCGGGCCTTTGAGGGTGGCATCGGATCTTCCTTAGGACCCAGGCGAACCAGGCCTTGCACCACTCGAAAAAGCTCCGCTGGACGGCATTGTGAGGAGGCAATGGAAGCAGAAAAAAACTTCTTTTTCGCCGCCTTCACCGCCACAGCATAGGCCCAATAGTGGGCTCTCAAGTGTGTTCGGTCAGATTCATCCCGTGATTTCCTCCACCTACGCTCTAGCCGTCTCCCAACTCGCTTCATCGCCCGTAATTCAGGTGTATACCAAGGGGAAGAGCGGACTCTGCCCGGTGGGAGAGGACGCTTAGGAGCGATTGTGTCCACAGCCCTGGTCATCTCTCCGGTCCACAGTTCGACCAGAGCCTCGACAGGAGCACCAGTCTTGTCAGCCGGAAATTCCCCCAGGGCCCCCAGGAATCCATCCGGATCCATCCGGCTCCGGGGGCGGGCCCATACAATCGGGTCCGCACTCTTATAGAGGGAGAGGCCGCTCTCGAGCACAAACCTCACCAGGAGGTGATCTGACCATGACAGGGGAGTCAAACATAAGTTCTTCACCCTCAGGTCATCCTCTACCTGCCCCGTCGTGAATACCAGGTCCAGAGTGTGTCCACGTTCATGGGTAGGGCCAGTGACGTGTTGAGACAGGCCCATGGCCATCATAGAGGCCATGAAGTCCTGAGCCGCCCCGGTCAGTCCAGACTCGGCATGGAGATTGAAGTCCCCCAGGACCAACATCCTGGGGGTCCTCAACACCAGGTCCGAGACGGTCTCTGTCAGCTCAGATAGGGAGACTGCTGGGCAGAAAGGTGCACGGTACACCAATAGAATCCCCAATCTGTCTCGTTCGCCCAACACCAAGTAGAGGCACTCCAGCCCTGGTCTCAAAGGGACCGGAAGACCCGTGAGAGAGATGGAGGCTCTGTAAACCAACGCGACTCCCCCTCCCCTCCCTTCTGGGCGTGAACAGTGTTGAACCAGATACCCGGGTGGGCACAACTGGGAGAGGGCAACATCCCCTCCCTCTCCCGCCCAGGTCTCCGTTATGCAAGCCAGGTCAGCCCCCTCATCCACAATCAAGTCATGGATGAGGGAAGATTTATTATTGATCGACCTGGCATTGAGCAGCAGCACTGTCAGACCCGAGGGGTGGTTGACAAGGCTACCTGGCGCCCTCTGGTTGGGGGGCAGGATCAGAAGGAGGGACAGGTGTCAGCCATCTGTCCATCCTTCTTCTACGTGGACACGTTAAGCCCCTATTGTTGTAACGACCATTGCCCGTGACCACGCCAATAGCAGCCCCCGTGGGTTCCCCAGGATATATAAACGTCGACATGGCCAGGAATGACTCAAAGCACTAATTAAAGCAGGGTAAGATTATAAAGTAGGTCGGAGGAGGAGAAAAAGAACGATAAAAAGAAAAAAAAAGAAAAAAGGGGATCCTTCCTCTTCCCTGAGAATCAGCAGTAGGCAAGCCTATTTCAACAAGAGTCCATGGCCAGCCCAGCCCCCCTCTCGTCCCCCCGAACGGCACCCCAAACGGCGGCGACCCCTTTGGTCGCCGCCCTTCGGCCGCCGGCCCGAGGCCGCCGGCCCCGGCCATTGCCGCGGCTTTGACTCCGCAGGGCGCCTCCGAGACCCGCCCCGTCGCGCACCGCGCGCGCCCGATCACCTGGGCTGGCGGGCGGCGCTCTCCGGCGCCGCGTGCGGCCGCGCTGGCCGGTGGAGCTGGCTGCCGTCGAGGTCGCAGCCGCGTGCGTCTGCCTGCATTCGCTTGCCCGGGAGCGGCGTGATGCTGGGGGTGGGCGGAAGCGTCTCTTGCAGCGCGGGGTCGGTGTTTCCTGCCTGGGGGGCCGTTCCCTCCTGGCCGTTGCCGCGGCTTTGACTCCGCAGGGCGCCTCCGAGACCCGCACCGCGCGCGCCCGATCACCTGGGCTGGCGGGCGGCACTCTCCGGCGCCGCGTGCGGCCGCGCTGGCCGGTGGAGCTGGCTGCCGTCGAGGTGCAAAGTGGGATAAACATATTTGTTACACTTAACCTGCCATATTTGTTATATATGGGTGCAAAGTGGGATAAACATATTTGTTACACTTAACCTGCCCATTTTTGTGTCTCAAGCAGCCCATAATCCTCCTCTTCCTCCTATTTTATCTTTGTAAGAACCCTGTGACTGGGGGACCCCGGCACACTGCCTCTGATATGGGAAGGAACACGTAGCTACCAGGACTAGTACCCATCGATGGCCTTCTCTTCCACGAATTTGTCCAATCTTCTTTTTAAGCTATCCAAATTAGTAGCAATCTCTACATCTCACGGAAGGGAACTGCCTAGTTTAACCATGCACTGTGTAACAAAGTTCCTCCTTTTCTCTGCCCTGAATTTTCCACCAGTTTGCTCCAGGGACTGAGCCTGCTGGGTTCTAGTGGTATGGGAGAGGGGGAAATGCCCTCCTCTGCTTTCTCCACACCAGGCATGTATGGGCTCGCTTCCATCACATCTCCCTTTCCTCACCGTTTTACTAAGCTACACCATCTTAGCTGCTGTAACTTTTCTTCATAGGAGAGTTACGCCTTGGTCATGTTAGCTGCCCATTTCTACATGTTTAAAAACTCCTTTTTAAGGTGCAGCCATCAGAGCTGACCGGAGCATCGAGGTGCAGTCATCCCACAGCTCTGGAAAAGGGCAATGGGATACTGGCGGTTTCCCTTAAGTTCCTTTTCTAATTATGCCTAACCTGGAGTTGGCCTTTTTTCACAGTGGTTTGATACAGCAAAGCCCGTTCTTAGGATAAGTAACCTTCCGTAAGGGTCATATATGAATTCACTAAAGAAGTAGTTGGTCATTACGTATAATGCCTTTGCAGACAAAGGCTCTATTTGCATATCATGGTGAATGGCCACTAATTAGCATCAATTAATTATTAAATGGCATATTTTAGTGCAACGAAGAGTGAAAAAGGTCAAATTTTGCTTGAGAACAAGCTAAGCATAGCCCTTTAGGAATATGGAGCTGTTCTGCAGTATGTTTCAGTGGAGGTACACAAGATTTTTTGTTTCTACACTCTGCCCAGGGGTAAAAAACGGTCCCCAGACCTGCCCACCCTTGCAGTAAGGCAAAGCCAAATAAGGTGCTTTTGGAGAGCTCACCTGGGCAGTAGAGAAAAACGCCTCCAATACTCTTCCATGGCTTTTGTCAAGGGTGCGCAGAACATCCAGGGAGAGGATATTTGTTGTCCCTTCCCAGATTGGTAGCACCTGTTTGGGAAAGAGGTACAGAGCCAGACTAATTCAAGTCAAGGAAGAGTGGGATTCCCACCCAAGGACAGCAGAGTGGAAGCCCATGTGGAAGAGGGTGAAAGAAGCCGCTGGGCAAACGAGTCGGGACCACTACAGGACCCTCCCAACAAAATGTCTTTCTCTCACAGGGCTCTTTCCTGATATTAGAGCTGGCCCACCTAAGAAGCTGAGAGAGGCAACCAAAGCAAGCAGCAGAGTGGAAGGAGCCGTGAGTTGTGCTGCTCTCCTCAGCCCCACCAGGAGAACCTGCCACCACTGCCCACCTCCAGTGGGTCTTCTGGAAAGCCTCTCTCCTGCTGGGGTAAGAAAGCAGCCTGCAAGGCTCTCTGCTCCGTTTCCTTTGCGCATCCCCTCACGCTGGCCGCAAATGCCACGGCAGCTCCGTGGGGAGCCACGTGGCCAGAAGTAGCTGTGCAACTCGACTGTGCACCTGGGACACTCTGATGGGAGAAGCAGCAGCTGAGTGGCTCTGGCCAGTCAGGAGATCTTTCGCAAGAGCTCCTCCGCCACTTCTGGCCCCTTCTCATCACAAAGCACACCAGGGCTGGGTTCTACATGCAGGGGAGGGAGTAGCTTCGTCATTACAGTCCCAAAGCCATGCCTCCCAAAGAGGCTCTGGTTGTGTGTGCAAATTGTTGTTGCTGGGAAAATGTATTTCCCGCCCCCAGACCAGTGAATGGAAAGCAGCTACGCTCAGTGGGAGAAAGGACGTTTGGGGAGGGACTGCAAATGAAGGCCATTCCTGCTATTCAAAAGGCGCAGGTCTTTGACTCCGTGAGCCACTGATGTGACACACTCCTGTCCCTTCTTCGATGAAATGTGCGCACCCATGAATGTGCCCCGCAATGGGGATGGGGCATCAGGTAGTGCTCCCTGTAACTGAGAATCTCTATCTTCAGCATTTTGCCCGCTGGAACCTCTGCAGTTCAGAAACTTAGGTTCTCCATCTTTCACAAAAAGACAACCATCAGAGACCAAAAGAGACCAGTTGTGTAGATCTTTCACAAGAATTCAGACAGCAATATTATGGTTCCCAGGAAAGTATCTCAGGGACCAATGGATGGCACAGAAGTTCCCTGCTGAGACTGGTGACAGTGCAATGTGATCTTGGAGTGAGGAGTCAGACGTCTGACACCCCTTCTCTGCTTCCTTACAGCCCGGAGGGTTAGAAAAGAACCAAACCAGCTGGAAAATCAGCCTTGGAGGAGAAGGAAAGGGGGCATTCCGACGAGTGGGGGTGGGAAAAAACCAGAATGGCCAGGATAAGAGTCATCCTGAGCCTCCTCCAGCTCCTTTTCTCCCTTTCCAAAGCAAACCTGCAGGAGATTGGAGGACAGTGATGTCAGGAATGATGGTGCCATTCTTCTTGGACTATTAACTTTGACTTGGCAAGGCATAATATCAGAAGCCTCCAGGTTCAGAGACTTCCAACAATCTAACAGCTGTCAGTACTATATATCTTCTTGGAAACAGCAGCTCCAAAGTGTTTCCTTAGTCTGTAACTGGATTTACTCTTGAAATAACTGGGACCAGGTTCAAGACAGCAGATCAGATATAATCTGCATTGCTCATGGTACTTTTTTTCAAAGACAAATACTTATTGCAAGTCCATTAGCCTTTAAGTGCCTTAAGCCTTTTCTCTTTCTATTGCTTGCTGGGGAATACTGGAAGTTGTAGGACATTTTTCTGTCTAAGCATGCACTGGATTGCACCCTAACGCAATTGGGCCTCTGACACCTAAACGGATGAAAAGAATGGAGCCCCAGTGCAGACCCACTTTTCTCCCCACTAGTACCAAAAACGAGAGAAAGCACTACTTGAGGGATTCCTTACTTGTGCATCCCGTAGAAAAACTGCCAGGCCGGTGTCTTCCATGAAGCCCTGTGCTCCGAAACACTCCAGCCCTTCTGAGGCAACCGCAACAGCCTGCAACATACAACTACGTGGTGAGTTTGCTCCCACTGAACATGCATCAATCGTGTGGCTGGTGCCCAGGATGTCTGGCAGGCACCAGGTGGGAAAACCTCTTCTACCTTGAAACACTACCTGTTTCCCAGTGTAAAGTTTTACAACGGATGTCAGCAGTCTAAGCATGTGCTGGTCTTGTTCGGTGGCCATCTCAGTTTCTTCCAGGCCAAGCAGCCTCCCCACTTCCATCACCAGAAGGAATGCTCCTCGGGCTTCCACCTGAGCAAGCAAGAAAGCCGCGAGCAATTGTGTCCATGCGTACAGTATTTCTACAATGATTAGGAATAGACTAAAAAACCAAGCAGGACCATCTAGGTCCAGGTCCCAAGGCTGTAACTATAAATATGGTAACCACTGCATTTTTTGACCCGTGACTGCCACATTAATAAAAGGAGAGGGATTTCTACCCTGGCATCAAAAGAGAACCCTAACCTTTTCCCTCAAACCTTCTGAATTGCTCTGCTTTTCTGTGTGGCTATTGGTACATTCAACATCAGCCCTTTTCCTATAAACGTTTAGCCCTTAAGTATATTCATAGTGGAGTAAGATTCCAAATATTTCACAGGGTTTCACAGGTCTTGCATTCTTAGCTTCCTCACCATCCATCTCATGGCCAAGTTCATTGTCCTTTCAAAACAGTCCGGCTGCCTTTATAAAGGATAGGTCCTTAGGAGAGTCTCTTATGTGGCAGAAACTTTCTACATCCACCTGAGGAAAGGATGTGTGTGTGTTGTGCAAAGGTTTGTACTTCTGCTGCACATGCATCACTTTTTCATGCTGAAAGAACTGGGGGGAAACAATGGTGTAAAAAGGCGCACTGTCGGAGTTGGGTTGGGGGGAGGAATCTACAGTAGGGATTTTTATGGGTGTGGTAATGCCTGACTCACTGGCAAGTCACAAGAGACAAATCCGAACCGACGTTCTCACACAATTTTCGTCATTATAGTCCAGATTTCTTCACATTTCTTTTATACCCTGTATTTTTCTGCAGAATATATTTCAGTCTGTTCAGGAGTATGTGCCTCCTCCCCCAGTGTACCCCCCACAACAAGCTTGCCCCTCTCCCTTGCCCAGTAAACTGGAAAGCAACTGCAGTGATTCTTCACTCCTCACCTCCATCATACTTTGAAACAATAAAACCGGGAATCTCTTTTCAAACCTTTCCAAATCTTCTCCTTTGCCCTTTTTGTTCTTTTGCCACAAGAAACAGCCAGCTGAAATCCCACCACAGAGATGCCTGCTCAGAAGCAAGCACATCTGCTTCAAAGGCAAAGGTCAGCAAAGGAGGGGCTTGCAGTGGCTTTCAGGAATGATGCAGTAGAAAAGGAGCTGGCAGCACTTGCAGCAGCTCAGCAGGTGGCAGCCCTTCAAAGCGTTGCTCCTTTGGATATTTGGGCCACTTTTGTTGAAACCAATGTATAATTCCTAGAAAGCTGTTTGCATTTCATACAAATCCATATGTGTGTGTAATTAAAAAGTATAACATTACAATAATGTTTGGAGTCCCTGTAGGCATCGCCCTGAAAATTCCCTCTGTGTCGGTGGAGGTGCCTGTGGGCATCACAAAGCCTGTGGGCACCGCCTTGCACAGCTGTGCTGTATTTTGCCTGCAGCATATTCCATCTACAGTCTCATCTGCTATTTTGGCTGACTTGAGTGCCATTTTCTCGGCTAAGACAGAGGGCACACATCAAATAAGTAATAAATAAAAGAATTCTGATTCCTAACAACAGTGAGAGAAGTGCTGGAGTCTTTGCCAGACGGTTCAATCATCGGAGCCAGACTTGGCTATTCTCACCTCCATACGTGCCAAAGTTTGCATATGCACAGGGTACTCCTTAAGGGTCTTGCCAAAGGCCCGCCTCTTGGTTGCATAATCCCGTGCCATGCTGATCATTCTGGGAATGGAAGCACAACCAATCCACAAGGATAAATTTGGTATTTTCAGAGACTTAAATACACCTGTGCATGCTTTCCATGCTCTTATGACATGGCTTAGGCATACATTATGCTATTTGTTGTCTGTGATAAGAGTTGATCTACAATATCCTCCAGCAGAGAGATGCAGAATTCACTGCCCATGTACCTGCTCTACTAGAAGCATCCTGCCCTGCAAATCTGCCAAGAGTCCAGACTGCAGCAGACCTCACTGGCTGGATGGTCCCCTGAAGCCATTCCTCTTTTTCGCCACTTGTAACCACCTGCTTATTCCCTTGTAACCTGCTTATTCCTTTTCCTTGTGCTCTGGCCCAGACAGTGGTGGTGGTGACAAAGAGGAGGAGGTGAAGCTGCGGCCTCCTTGTTCCCCTCCGGTTAAGCCAGCAACGGTCACATTGAGAAAGAGGAAGATGAGCAAAAACAGCGGGTGACCATGGTGCTGAGAAGGTAGAGGACCCATTGGTGGTGTCTTGCCCAATGGCCTCCACAACCAGCCAGCACCGGACAGGAACAATTGTAGAAGTTACAAAGGCTGTGTTTTAAACAAGCAGTTATAAAATAATTTCTCAAGTGTTTAGAATTTAAAAGGCAGGAGGTCCTACGCTGCTTTTTTTTTTTCCCAAAACTAACTTCATTTTGCTTAAAAGCTCTCCCAGATAACAGCATAACTGAAATCATTCTAACTGTACCAAGGGGGTCCTTGGATCCTGCCCACAGAGTGGGAATCACCTTCTCATGTTGGCAGCTGCAGAGATGGCATTATGGATCCTAGTAATGGTCAGCATTTTGGCAATGGAGGCCACACCCCGGCCCACTGGAGAGATCTGGAAATGCCGAGAAGCAATAACAAGAGTGAAATCTGAAAACTCCAACATGGATTGTATTGATATGCAATTCACACAGGGAGAAGTTTGTGATTGGGCAGAATAAAAATGCAGTTAACTTGTAACTAGTAGGTAAGTAACTGGAACTCACTTTGCTTCCTCTCTTCTTCGGGCAGCCTTCCCTTACCTGGTACCCTTCAGATGTTTTGGCCTTCAACTCCCATTAGCCTTGGACGGCATGAACAAGGATAAAGAATTCTGGGACTTGTAGTCTAAAACTGCAGGGTGCAAGACTGAGTGCTCCACTAATTGGTCGCATTCCAGAAAGGGCTGTTTTCGCTAGTGTTCCATTGATCTAGTAGTCTTTGCCTGCACTGACTCCCTTGAACTAGAAAATGGGACTATACAAGTGCTTTTAATGATCAACAGCAACTTACTATGAACTAAAAATAAAATAAACTGTTAATGAAAAGAATTATCTGACAAATGCTCAAGTAACAAGCTGGAACAGCATGAAAGCTGAAAAGATAGGTAAAACAGCAGGTTCCAGAGAGCACAGGTGGTGGGGGCAGCCCAAGCGGGGGGGGGGGTGCTGAAGCCACACTGCAGCAACCCGGCACACCCAAGGGGCCTGTTCGGCCTGCCTCTCATTTTCAGAGGGTTTCACTGGGCACTGCTCGCAAGTTTGACAAAACAGTGTCGGGACACTCCAATACTCGTGGATGCTGCACTGGCCACTAGATGTCAGCTCCAGCATGGCTTTTCCACTTACATACGAAATTTAAATACCTGCATTTTCCTTGCCTAGTGAGCAGAAATTGAGCCTTGAGACCCAATATCCTGCAAGTGTTATTCTTTATTTGTGGTAGCTATAATCCCAAGAATCCCGAGAAGCCCAAGGCAGCCTGCATCCTCTTCCACCTCCTCCTCTTCTCCATTTGACTTTCACAGCAACCTACTGTCGCATGGTCGGCGGAGAGCCAGTGGCTGCCCCAGCATCACCCCGTGAGCCTCACTGCTGGTAAACGGAGATGTGAGCACAGGCCTCCCCCGTCCCAGTACAGCACTAACTGCCACACCACATTTATGGTCCTCCATGCCTCGTTTCACTTACCCGGTGTGCCCTTGCTCCAGCTAGAAGCAGTTCGGCCGTTGGCAGCTGCCTTGTGCCCAGCTTCTCTTTCAGCCGCTGAATCTCAATCCCATTCAAGTTCCCTTCCTCGTCACGTATTTTCAGGTAGAACAGAGACAGACCTTTGGAGCCCTGCAGCCAGAAGGATGCTCACATGAGAAATACCGACTGACAGTATCAACAACAACAAGGAGAAAGGGACTGGGATGCACGGCTGCTTGCTTGCTGCCGCTTCCCCTCCCCTGCCTCTGCTGGGAATCTGACCTGCTCGATTTGCCCGTCAGCAGTCCTGATCCTTGCCAGTGTCAGAGTTATATCTGAATCGATGGCTGACGCGAACCATTTCAAGCCATGGAGGCTGTAGGTGCCATCATGGAGCTCTTGTGCCACCGTCTCTGTGCCACTAGCTGCAAGAAAAAAACACAGGGTCACGGCTGCTGGGAATCTCCCTAGTTGGCTCCCCACTCAAGAAGCAACACCAGCTATGGAGAGACATCTGGGAGAGGAAGACTGATTTTCCCACCCTTGGGCACTTACCAACATCAGAGCCCCCTTTGCGTTCAGTCATCCACTGGCCAGAGGTCCAGAACCTTCTGGGGTCACGTGATACCAGGTGTGCAAAGGCTTCTTCCAGAGGCTTGGGGAAGCCCAGGGACTGTTGGGGTTGCAGCAAAGCCACAGGAGGAGAAAAAGCAAGATCTTCTTAGAAGTAGAAAATAACAGAAATAAAAACCCTGCTACAGGTGTCAGGGCCAAATGAGATGACTGTTTTCAAGGGCTTGTGATATGGAAGAATATAAGTAACAGACAGAAGGAAGGACTCCTTCACACAAGCGAAGGTCTAGTGATGGCCACCAGTTTGGATGGCTTGAAAGGGGGATTTGGGAAAATCCCTGGCAGAGAAGGCTTTCAAGGGCTAGTAGTCCTGATGGGTATATGCCACCTTCTGTACAAGAAGCAGCGCTCTGATGTGCACCAGTGTTTAAAGAAAATGAATGAGAAGGTGCCATTGCACTTTTATTCTGCTTGTGTTCCTCCCTCAAGTCACTAAAAGCTACTGTGGGAACAGAATGCAAGACTAACTTCATCTGATCCAGAGTGGCTTTTTTTAAAGTCCTGCATGGAGGACACAGACCAGTCTGGAAAATGCCTGGGAAGCAAGAGAAGGGGCTTGATCAGAAGCCTGGGACCAACTTGGGATCTGTCCAGCAGAGTGTGGGCAGAGGTACCTAGGGCGCCAGGCCAGGGCCAGGCTAGCAAATTGCAAGTAAGGAGCTGACGGGTTTTGACATGGAGCTGGCTGCTCTGTCCCATCCCTGATCCAGAGATTGCATCACGGCTGGCCTCCTCCCGAAGAGGGCTGGCTAAGGAAAGGCCTTTGGCCGCATTGCTACCGCAATGCAGGCCCATCCCCTTCACTTCGTCTGAGGTTCTATGGGTGGTCTGGAGCTAGGGCAGAATCCCAGTGGGGCACTGCACCTGTTGACATTGCAGCCCCCTTGAGCACAATTGAGGCAGACTCTGGCGGTCCTCAGTGGTGTGATGGGTCCCTGTGGTTCCAGCCAGGACTAACTGGCATAGTAGAGGCCTTCTCTACTGGAAGTCTCCTGAGAAGTAAGCTCCAGGAACCCACAGGACCTGACACAGGGCTGGTCCACTGGTTGCTCAGCACTGCCGTAAAACTGAAATTAATTTCAAAAATGTTTTCTTACTCCCGGAAAGCTATTGCTGATCTGAGGGGGTATTCTCATCTCACTAAAATATGGTCCCCAGGTTTTTTTGGGCAGGGGTGGGGGCAGGGAGGAGGTATGGCAGTTAAACCGATCTAGTTTTGCAGTGAAGGCTTCTAATCTTCAATTAGAAGATGGTGGAAACAGGGAGCTGCATAAAGAAGGGGATGGAAATGATTCAAGCTTTTCACAGCTACAATTAAGAATACTTTTTCATGCCTCCAAAACTGAGGAGGGGCTTCTGCATGCATTACATGAGGAAGGTCCCATATTCAACCCCTAGCCTCACCAGGTAGGTTTGGGAAAGACTGAAACTCTGGAGAACCACTGCTAGTCAATATGGCAATACCAGGCTAGATGGACAACAATCTGACTTTCTAGGCAGCTTTCTAAGTTCCTAACCAAATCTCAGTTTTAGCCTAGGAGATTTTACAGTGAATTCAACAGGAATACAGTGCAACAACCTGTTTATCAAGCAATGGAGTCTCACCTGAATTACTTTTGCTGCTCCATCAGTCATGGCCAAAGGACATGTGAATATAGCAGCAGAAGGTGCATACAGGTACAGTTTGGCAATCTGGTGAATACGGCTGTAGAGAGAGAAACACAGAACACCTTGCTAAATTTAGTCACACCAAATGATAAGATCTTTGTTGAAGAGAAAGTCAGCAAAAAAACCGCCAGCAAAATGGTCAGCTCACTGAAGCTCACATCTGATTTGGAATTGTGCTGAAGATACATGGCATGTTGTTGTTGTTGTTGTTGTTGTTATAACATTTCCATGCCGCCCCTTGCCGAAGCCTCGGGGCGGCTTACAACACAATAAAATACATTGAAATACAATGGAACATAATAAATTACCACTAAATACAAAAATACAAAACTAGCCCTGAAGTCCAGCTAACTGTGAGACTTCAGATGCCAAAAGTTAATATATTTACCTCCAGTTGGAGTATCTCCTCTCATAAGCCTCAGCAACCATCCCCTCCTCAGCTGAGATCTCCTTCATCCTCTTCCATGCCGGGCAAGTGATGATTTGGTCCACACGCCTTCCCCAAGCATCAAACTGTTGTAGCCTGGGAGGATTTAACTCACATTCACCTCCAAGGAAGTCAATTTCATCCTTCACACGAGCCCCAAACCTCTGAAGGTCCACACTCACCTCAGCAAACACCTACAATGAAAGAGAGGACGTTAAAAACCCAAGATGACATAGCTGAAATGACTATGACTTTGACATGACTGAAAGTATAGGCTATATTTGTTTAAAATTCCCTTTGTTCACTTTAGTTTCTTCTGTTTATATTAGGTTTTGTTTTTTTGCATTTTCCTTTATGTATTTATTAAGAAAATTAAGTCCCATAAAAATTAATTTAATTTTTAAAAACCCTAAGATGACCCATGCTAGATGAGACTAAAGGTTCATTTAGTCAAGCACTCTTCACACAGCAGATGACCTATGGGCAACGCAGAAGCAGAGCAACTGGTGTCCACAGGCACACTGCCTCAGATGCTGAAGGCAGCATGGGCCACCAGGAATAGCACCACGGATACCCCCCCCCCGACAGGAATTTCTCTACCCTTCTTTTGAAACCATCCAAGTTGGTGTTCATTGCTACACCTTGTGGTAGCAAATTCCATAGTTTATGCACAAAGAGGAAGAAATCCTTCTTCTTATCCGTATCTTCTGAAAATCCCACCAATTAGCCTCATTTTCAATGTAGGGATAAGAAAATGAGGCAGGAACCAAAACTAATCTTTGGAAGTGACAAAGACAACTTTGTTCAATGGCCTATGGAATTCTTCCTTGTTTGCTCTGCAACATCTGTCTAGTCCTAGTTCTTGTTAGGTTTTGAAGACCTTTCCTAAGACTAGCTTCCAGGAGTGTGTGCTTGAATCTGGTTTGAGGGGCTGGTACTTATGTCTTCCACCATATTCATAATCTGCTTTTTTAATTAAGTCCAAACTATATAGGAACATGATGTTCCATCAAAATATAGCAATAAAATAACAATAAAGCCAGAATTTAGTATTAACCAAAATTGTGGGCTCCCTTTAAATGTCTCACTCCACTGACTAGATGCCTGGTAGAGCTGACCATATTAGCAAAAAGGAAGATTTTGCACTTTATTGTGTATTCTGGCCTATTTCCCACTCCCCTTCCTCTGCCACCTTTCTTTCAGAAGCTGCTTAACTGAGAGGTGCCACAGGTAAATCCTTCCAGAACTCTTAGGCTCAGAATTAGAAGCCCTTCTCCCAAGAGGAGGCTGGAGTTAAGAAATCTTATTTATTTATTTATTTATTTTTCTATACCACCCCACTAGCTGAAGCTCTCTGGGCAGTTCACAACAATTAATCAAATACAAAAGATAGAATAAAAATGCAAATATAATAAAACATAGTACAAAATTCCAATCCCCTCCAATCACAATAGTCATTTTTGTGCAGTCCTTCTAGATGATAATGGCAACTTAGAAAATGGAAGGCAAATTCTACAAAATGGCTTTTGTTCTTACATGGTCAAGAACTTCCCAGACTCACCTGGAGCATACACTATGATTTTTCTGCATATTTCTTAAATCTTGGTGCCCAGAACAGGACACAATATTCCAGATAACATCTCACTAGTGAGGCGTATAGGGAAACTACTACTACTCATGATTTGGAAGTAATACTTTTATTAATGCATCCCAAAATAGCATTTGCCTTTTTTGCAGCTGTATCGGATTACTGGCTCATATTTAGCCTGTTTCCATAATTACTCCAAGGTCTTTTTCTTTTTCAGTTCTGCTGAACCATGTATTCCCCATCTTCTATCAATGCATTTGGTTTCTTCTTCCTAGGTGGAGGACTTGGCACTTATCCCTACTGAATCTCATTCTTTTGTTTTCAGCCCAACATTCAAGTTTATCAAGATTGCCCTGAGTCTTCATTCTGTCTTCTAGGGTGTTTGCTATTCCACCCAGCTTATACTGTATTTCATGGCTTTGATTGTTGTGAACTGCCCAGAAAACTTTGAATAGTAACAGTTTAGAAATATAATAAAATTCCACATGCTACAGCTAGGAAGGTCTAAAAAATAAACACACCCTTACCAACAGGCTGTATAGACCAATTGTGTGTCTCTTACATAACTAAACACCCTTTGGGCTTTGTTTGCAACAAAGTGTAAAAACAATAAAATACCATAGATAAAAACATTAAGAATTAAAATTAACACACAATAACATTAAAAACAATTTTAAAAGACAATTTCCAAGAGAAAAAGAAAGGCACCTGGCTAATTGTATCAGGCCCCTCAACGACCAGGGAGGTCTTTAAAGGCCTCTGCAAAAAGTGCTGTCCTAAACTGGCACCATAAATAAATAAAATATAATTCCCAAAAAGCCTAGTGCAGCCATTCTTTTTGCAGCAGCAAGTTATTTTCGGGTCATGTTGTCAAACAAATGATGGATTTTATTTCAAAAGGTATGTGCATCACAATTGGCTAAATGAACATGATATGACTTCACAAGCAAGACCATTTTTCAAAGGCTCTTTGGAAGGATGTTTTCTATTTGAATGCTTAAACTTTCTGGCCAATAGCTCCAGTTAATTTTAGGTTAACTAATGAGAAACTAACAAGAAGCTTTCCCTCACTCAAGCAAGGAGAAATCGACAGATACTATTTTGGTAAGAGCTTTGAAGACAGATTGTTGGCAACAGCACAATTTAAACAGGGCCATAAGAGCCAAAGCTTCTGCCCCCAGTGATTTTTCTTAAACCCAGGTATCTTCCCTGCAGGGATAGGAAAGGAAATCTGGACAGACTCATGTTATTAAACCTGTTTGAACGTTATCATACCTCCTCTGCTTTTACTAATGTGCTTGATTGAATTACAGGTTTAACTCTGAACTTCGGCAGATGAAAGCTTCTGTGAAAACTTAACTCTATGCATTTAGGTTTCTTTTATGTGTGGTGGAAATAGAAAATAACTGCACTGTTTAGGTTAACCTTGAATTTTCCCTCTCCTATTTCTATGAAGGCAATTCATAAAAGTATTGCATTCTTGCACTGGTACAGGACTTTACAGTGCAAGCCAAACTAAAATCCTTTACATGCAGGTTCTTATCTGCTTTTCCATCTCATCCCTTGCATTATTTGGGCAGAAACAATAAAACAACGGCAATGACAATATTCCGCCTAACAGTACTCAGCACAATATACAGAAAACAGGCCTTGGCAGGCAGCACTGCTTTCAGGTAACGCTGAAGAAAAGCGTCTTCCAGGTATGGGTTTCCAATACGGGGCGGTTCTTGACAAAAGACTCCAGTTTCTGTCCTTGCCAAAGGTGTTCCCGGGGGTCGGGAGGAGCTCGTAGCCACTGCCTGGGCTACGTGGCACTGCCTTTTAGAAAAAGCGCCCAAAGAAAAGCCCCGGACCAAACTGCGCGGCCTCATTTTCAGGAATCTCATCTGGAAAAGCGCACGAGAGGCCACTGAAGCGCCCCCGAGGGGGAAAAAACTAGCCCAACGCGTCCGGCGGAGACAGACCCGCAAGGAAGTTCTGCAGGAACCCGGAAAGAAGCCTGGCGGAAGTCACGTGGCTCCCAACTTCAAAGGGCCAGGGCTGCATGGGCAGCGTCCCTTCGCGGGGCGGCGAAGCCGTAGGGCAAGTGAGCGTGCGCGCCCGGAAACAGGAGGAAATCTCCCCTCTTTTTAAGGGGGGATTATTTCTCTTTGGGGACCCTGGACAACAGGCCAGGACAACAACGGAAAAGCTGGGCATTTATTTATTTAAAATTTTCCCACCGTCCCTTACCTTGGTCTCAGGACAGTTTAACAATAAGACAAAATAGAATAAAACACAGCATCCTAGTCAAAAATTTCCAGTCAACAATAAAACCCCATAATAAAATAACCCTCAAACAATCAAGTCTTAAAACATTGGGAAAATAAAAAGGGTTTAGAATATAGTGAGGGCATCAGGCAAACCTCTCTGGGGAGCAAATTCGACAATCGGGGCACCATCAGAGAGAAGGCCCTTCTCTGGGTAGTCACCCTCCTAATCTCCTTTAAAGAGGGCTCCCAGAGAAGGGTCTCTGCCCCAGATCTTAAGGGGCGGGCAGGCATATACGGAAGAGATGCTCCTTCAGGTAACCAGGCACTGTGAGGGCTTTTCTAGCAGGGCTTTTTCCGTGTATGCCCTATAAACCTGTATCACGTTTCTGTGTAATCTCAGAAAGTTAGAACATTGCAAAACGTTTATTTACTGGTACAACAAGAAGCTTTGCAAGGAGCTCAGCAGTTGGCCAAAGGAAAACAAAATAATGCACAGCGGTAGAAATGCAAAAGAGTCCAATGTGAGCTTCTTTAGTTCCACAGAGCGGTATGAGGGAGGACAATGCGTCTCGCCTCCTTCCCAAGGTGCTGCTCTTCTTTTCCAGTAAATACGGCATGCTTGTGCACAGGCTTACTCAATGCACCCGTGTGTTCTATGGCTTGGATTCACTGCTTTTCAACCAAGACTGGCTCCCACAGCAACTTCCAAATAATATGCACAGTATAATGGGGACAGAGATGAACACGTATGCAGAGATTTCTGGGCCTGTGAGCTGATGCTCTAGTCGAGAAGCTCTTCCTTCCATGCAGGAGAGGCAGCCGAAGCACGGGGGCCTGGTGGACACTAAATGCATCAGCATGCAAAAGCAGCCCCTCAGTCGTGGGTCCCATCTGTGGAACAGCCTTCCCAGAGCAGTTTGCCTAGCGCCATCATTGCAATCTTTTCAGTGCCAGGCAAAACCAATCTATTCTCCAGACATTTTAATAACTGATTTTAATGTAATGGTACTGTTCTATATTGTTCTTAAATTTAATATACTGCTTTAATATATATCTGACCCTACAGCAGCATATTGTGACAGTCATATGTTTAGATGTTTTATTAGGAGATGTTTTGCTTGGTATTTTTGTAATCCGCTTAGCGAGTCCTTGGGACTAATTGTGGGATATAAGTTGAATAAATAAATATAGTCATGGGTAAGGTATTTCGGAGCCTTTCATTCATAGGGTCTGCATGAATCAGAGGTGACTTGGGCCACAGAACAGGCACCCTGCTTCCCGGAGACTGGCACACGGTGTGCCAGATGTGCAAAAGGGCGCCGGCGCTGACCTTTGCACACCTCATGGAGAAACAGCGGCCCGTCTCCCAAAACCACCTGGTGGGGAAGACCATCGGTGCCACACTGGCCACCACGCTAGGTCCAGACCACCTTCAGGAAGCTGCCCTACCTGGAAATGACCCATGGATGTCACAGCTTTGCAGAAGCCACAAGCCTCCCCATTGAGCCTCCCGCATCCCAGACTTCTGCCGGCTCGCTGAGTCGGCTAATAGCAGGCTGCCCCTTTTTACCTGCTTTACTGCTGGCTCCATTTCTACAGAGCCCTTAGCTGAAGTTCTCTGAAAGGTTCATGTAAAAAAACCCCTTAAAATCAGAGAATAGAACACAAAAATAAAGTAGAACATAACATTAACGAGCGGGGGTGGGGTTGTGTTGACTGTGTTTTCCTAGCCAATCTGTGCTGGTGTGTATGTGGGGTTAGTTGTATCTCATTATGAATGTTACTGTATTACATAACTTTGTTCAGTTTTGTATTGGAAGCTTTTATGTGTCGCCCCAGGTACCGTTCAAACCAATTATACTGTTCACTGGATGTGGAGCTGTACAGAAATACTATAAAGGAATAAAATAAAATGAATGGTTTTACTCGCAAATTACTACACTGCAACTCCCAAATTAAAAGCATAAATCTAGGAATGTTTTGATTGAATTTGTAGGATTTTCTCCTGTCTAAATGCTTAGGATTGCACCCAAAGAATCCTAAAAATGGAGCTCAGGGGACCTGAAGAGGCTTTTAGGCATTTGCATGTTTCTCTCTTTGTGCTATGTTTATGTATTTGTATCTACATGGTTCTTACATTGTATTTTTCAGGTCTGTAAACATCAGCTACTCAGAGGTGGAGAAACATAATAAATGACTTCAGTCATTCATTCATTTCAAGTTGTCCATCAAGGGTGGCACCAAGTCAAGCCACCTGGCCGTCAATTGTAGTGAGATAAATTGAATTTTTTTTCAACTGAAGGGCTAGTTAGTATTTCCAAATGTCTGTCTAGAGATATAAAATCAGCATGCAAAAATTATATTTGGGCTTGTTTTGGTGAAATGCTTTATGAGGGGAAGGACAGGGTTGAGGGAAGGAGCAGGCCCAAGTCAAGCTAAAAGTGGGCCAAGAAAAGTAGTGGGGTCAAGGGCGTTTTCTCATGACAAAATCGTGAACTGACTTTTAATTATTGTTGTTTATTGTCTTATTGGTTCTATAGTGTTTATTTCCCCCTGTTGCATTCATAAGATTGTATTTATATTGTAGCTTCATTCTATTATGCTTTCTGGTTTTAGTTATTATTGATATTTATTTTTATCTCTATTTTTATGATTGCGCCGTGAGCCGCCCAGAGTGCCTCTGGTGATGGGGCGGCATACAAATGCAATAAGTAAAGAAAGAAAGAAAGAAACATTTGTTTTTAGAACAAAACAGGGGGTTTTGGTGATTCATAAATCGATGAAAATTGAGCTGGGGCCATGCCCCCTCGGCCTGTCCTTGGCTGCAGGCCTGGGACAGAGGGAAGCTATGGGGTCCGCTGGAGGAGAGACGGTGAGGAAGGGTGGCCAAATTCAGATTCTCCCACTGGCGGCTCCTCTGGGTGGCCTAGCTTACAGAGGACAGTCCTCCCTCTGAAAGGCTGTGAGGGACAGTTCTCGTTTGAAGGTGCCCGGTTTTGAAGGTCTGCCCCATCCATGTCTGACTGAAAGACTGAGGGCAAGGGTGGAATTAAAGGGGTCTGGAGGTTTCCTCCTCAGGGCAGAGGCATCTCTCCTCGTGTTTGAGAATCCCGCCGTTCCCGCCAAAATCAAAGGCTGCCTTCCGGCCTGAGGATGAGCGGCGCTTGGTGCCGTTTCCCTCAGAGCATTTCCCTCAGGCTCACAGAACCCTGCTCCTTCTTTTTTATTTATTCATTTTAAATTCAGCTTTTTCAGGTAGACTAACTGCCACACCCCTTGGCTTAGAAGTCCCATCTGCTTTGGCATAAATGTTCGACCGCTGCTGCCCCTTCTTGCCACAGGCGCACAGCCATCAGTGCCACAGACTGGGATTGGCACTTGGGGATATCCCACCCTTCCTGCCCACCTCGTCCCAGAGAGACGAGAACAAGACAGGGAGAAAGTATGTTTGTAGTATGTTTTCATTTAAATAAAAAATTTCAACATTAAAAAAAAAATTCAACAAGAGAGGGAGAAAACTCTCTTTTCCACTTGGAGGCACCCACACAATCCCTGTGATCAGAGCCTCCTGCCTTCCCAGAAAAACCTTCTCCCCCTGTTCTGGTTTCCTCAAAGAAAAGACATTTGCCCTGCAGAGTTGCAGCCCCTCATCTCCCGAAGACGCACTCCCTTCCATCCCTGAGGTGAGGGGAGTTTCACTAATGGAAATGCACTCTGCACATTTTCAGGGACACCTTTCACGGGTTCTCTGCTATTTGAGATTTAAGCCCTGGCAGGAAAAAATGGAATGTTTGCCCAACACTGCTGAAATCATTGCTGAGGGAGCAGAAATGGGTTCCTGTCTCACCAAATTTAGGAACAGGAGAACATTGTCCTTCTTGTCTTATTTATGATTATATCCAGACTGGAGCTCTCAAGCCAACCTCAAACATTTACTGCCTGAGATGCAGCATCATTTGCTGCCCCATCAGGGTGCCATTGATCCAAACTCCACCAGGCTATTTTGGCACCTGAAGCAAGCAGTAAAATCCACACATGTCCCTCTGATTTCCTGGGGTTAAAATCCAGCAATAATAAATAGCGACCAAATTTTCCAGCCTTTTCTGACTCATCCAAATCACCTGCTTAAGGCAGCTGCCTTATTCTACCTTTTGAAGAAGGCAAAACTTAAAAGAACTGAGCCTGTGATTTTGCTGAGGAATTTATGATACATGGCTAAATTCTTCCTGCACATGGGACCATTCAGCCTGCAGTACAAATCTGTCTCGAGCAGAATTCAGAACTGCCCCATCAGTAACTGTACTGATGTGGGAACCACTGTAGCTCAGCCTTGAACTTCCAGCTCTGCCAGCCACCAAAAACAGAACAAATATTTGCAAAGATAAGATTGCTGGTTCAAACATGCTTATGCTGGGATCATTTGACAGTGGGATCTAAAGTTTGGAGACAGGGTAAAAACCTCAGTCATTAGAACTGATTCCTGCTTAATGCTGGTGACCAGCCTAAAAGTCAGTCACAAGCTTGTCACAAGATGGTCACAAGCTGATAAAGTGTATTTAGCTGTTGTAGGTCTCAAGTAACTAAAGTATTTTGGATTTTTCCAGGTTCCAGCCACATGAGGAAAACAGCTAACTGAAGTAATATGGCTACCACTCAGGTCTTGCACATTGGGCAGAAACATAAAACCTTGAAGGTACAAAATATGGGACTAGCAGTTGTGGCTGTTTAGACAGGAAAAAGTCCTACAACTCCCAGCATTGTCTAGCTGACATGGCTGCCTGGGGTATTCTGGGAATTACTAGAGTTTGTCCTGTCTAAACATGCATAGGATTGCAAGCTAACTGCAATATATATGCTTTCTAAAACCAACAGGAAATGTGTCTCTTCTTTTTTAGGAAACGATTCTGTTTCCCAACAGAGTTGCATCTGAGCAACAGTCTATGTTTTTGATGAAAAGACTGCTGGCAATTTCCATTTCCTGTATAACATATCTGCGAGGGCTCTTTCCAGAAAGCTCTTATGGAACTCGCTATTTAGATGGTAACGACATTTCCCTTCTGCTAGCCTCCTGTTTAACCGAGGCTACTCTGGAATTAGTGTCTATCACCAGGTCTCTCATAGTAAAAAGGATGAACACTGTGATGAATTGGTTCATGTGTTAGACTGGGTCTTGGGAGATCTGGGTTCTGGTTGCCACTCAGGTAGGAACTCCCTGACTAACTTTGATCCTGTCACTAACTCTCAGCCTAATCTACCTCATAGTGTTGTTGTGAGGATATAATGGAGCGGATAAAGATCATGAAAGTTCTCCTGGGCTCCTTTTAAGAAGAAAAAAGGAAGGATATAAATGTGATAATAAATGCAAAGTAATAAATAGTCTCCATGGAAAAACATGCTGAATGGATTTCAGTGCAGAGTTTGCAGCTTGGCCATGTTGCTTAGCCCATGCACAGGCTTACTGAATGCTACAGTTCAGAGTGGAATCATGTGGTGGAATAGAGCAAGCTTTTGGAAGAGTGTGAAGACTAGAAAGAGGCAGATATCACAGTTCCTAGCAGCTGTTAAATGGAGAGGAAGAACATCTGCCCTACAGGCACAATGTGTCATGAGGCTGCTCTGAAAACAGGTGCTGTGTTGTTATTTCACTCTTGTTTTTCATGGTGTCAGGAGCACATCTCCCCACCCTCACCTGCTTGCTTTTTCCTCTCCAGCTGACTTTGAGGAAACTTAGAAGCACAGTCCTTTATCACAGCCTTATCATGCTTCAAAACAGCATTAATCAAAGAAATACACTTTTTGAGATGTGGTTGAAGCATCTGTCCGTGTGGACAGTTGAATCCAAACTGGAACATCCACTCCTTTCCTTGCTTTCAGAAAGTTTCTGACATCATCCTCAGGGTGGCTCCTGCATGGAGTGCTAAAAGGCAGGAATGTCGGGCATTTCTTAACTGGTCAATTTGAGTCCGTCATCTCCTTACAGGGTCAAGGAACTTGCCCTCAATCTCCACCCCTCCCTGCTCTGAAATATCTTCCTCCTTTTCCAAAGCAGGCTGGCCCTCGCACTCAGCCTGAGTATATTCACTTTATAACCTTGAAACTGCCAACTCTGCCCTTTTATCTCCTCCTCTAAATCTGAAGAATCCATCTGAAGAGATTGTCCTTTATCAATAAAAGATTTCAGGATGCTCTGCATCACTAAGGTTAGTTGATCCTTATCACCTTCCCCTGTCTATTCAGGGTAGTTAAATGAGCAACTGGACATTCTTTCTCTCTTTTCTTCCTTTATCAGAAACTACCACTTTTTTCTTTTTCTCTTTTTCTCTTTCTTTCTTTTGTTTTGTGATGATGGGAAATAGAAACTTGGTTCTTCAACATAAAAGCTGAGAGTTACAGGTACCGTTAGATGCCCTTGTCATTCATATGACTTGGCTGGTAAAAAGTTTTTCCTTGCTTTTCAAAGATGCTTATATAGCTTGTATGGTTATGATTTTCGAATTACTGTAGAGAGTGGTATTATTATGTTATATATCATGCTTCAATAGACACATAGCCCATTTGTACATCCATGTTAATACCATGGGAAACATCCTCTAGATTTTAAGATGATAAAACTATTTTGGACCCTCTGATCTGTTGTTGAAAACTCTCACTTGTATGCAAGTGTTTAAAAGTATTCATGGCATTTATAAAATGAAGTAGATTTAATCTTGGAGGTGCCTGGGAATCCACTTAGTAAGCATTATTTAACATTAGATATTGTGGATTTTTTTTTTCCAGACATGTGTCTGAAAATCCTTCGAGAAGATAACAGCTGCCAGGGTTCACTACAGATAGTTAAGTGGTAAGAAAGTGCTAATCTGAAGGATCAAGAATACAGAGGAATAGGTATTGCACTGGTGCCTAACCGTAGAACCACACCCAACCATATTGTGTAGAATTCAGAGATTCAGATTCGTCATGAGCTGGACTCCACTAGTGATTCAGATCCTCTAGGGGAGGTGCCAATGACTCCGTCTGGTCAGATAATATTGGATGAATTTCAGTTATTGTGGCCTGATGATGTGGACAAGGTGCTTAGACAAATACATCCTACTACCTCTTTACTTGACCCTTGCCCGTCGTGGCTGCTGACCAAAGCCAAACACAGGATTGGTGCTTGGATCCTGTAGGTCATTAACGTCTCTCTGAGGAACGGCTGGGTGCCTGCTTCTCTAAAGGAGGCGGTAGTCAGACCGGTCCTAAAGAAGGCGTCCCTGGATCCAGAGATGGCCGCCAATTATAGACCGGTGGCGAACATCCCGTTTTTAGGCAAGGTGTTGGAATGGGTGGTGGCGGGACAATTCCAAGCACTCTTGGATGAGACTGACTATCTGGACCCATTTCAGTCTGGCTTCAGACCCGGGTACGGTACTGAATCTGCCTTGGTCGCCCTGTATGATGGCCTCCTGGACCTCTCAGCGGCTTTCGATACCATTGACCATGGTATCCTTCTGGATAGGCTAGCAGGTCTGGGGGTCAGAGGCACTGCTTGGCAGTGGTTCCCCTCCTACCTCGACGGCCAATTCCAGAAGGTGGTGCTGGGGGACTTTGGCTCTGTGCCATGGCAGCTTTGCCATGGAGTACTGCAGGGGTCCATTTTGTCTCCCTTGCTATTCAACATCTACATGAAACTGCTGGAAGAGGTCATCAGGAGGTTTGAGCTGCAGATCATCAGTATGCTGATGATACCCAGCTCTACCTCTCTTTTTCAACCGATCCAGGTGAGGCAGTGACTGTACTGAACCGGTGCCTGGCCGAGGTAATGGGCTGGATGAGGGCCAATAAACTGAAACTCATCCAGACAAGACAGAGGTCCTGTTGGTAGGTGGTTCGAGCTCCTGGGTAGGTGAGTTGGACCTTGCCCTGAATGGGGTTGCACTCCCTCTAAAGGACAGGGTCCGCAGCTTGGGAGTGTTCCTTGACCCAGAGCTGTCCCTGGAAGCTCAGGTGACTGTGGTGGCAAGGAGCGCTTTCCTTCAGCTTCGGTTAATCCATCATCTGCGTCCCTACCTGGAGGAAGATTGCCTAGCGACAGTGACACATGCATTGGTTACTTCCCGGTTGGATTTCTGTAATGCGCTCTACATGGGGCTGCCCTTGAAGACAGTCTGGATACTTCAGATGGTGCAAAATAAAGCAGCCAGGTTGCTGACAGGGACTGGATGTTACTCTCATATAACCCCAGTCCTCTACCAGATTCATTGGCTCCCCATTGAAGTCCAGGCTCGATTCAAGGTGTTGGTTATTACCTATAAAGCCCTTAACGGCTTGGGACCTGGATACCTAAAGGAACGCCTTCGTCCGTATTTGCCCTCCTGCTCCCTGAGATTGGCAGCAGAGGCCCTCCTCCGCAAACCCTCCGTGAAAGACATTAGGAGGCAAAGTACCCGGAGGAGGGCTTTCTCTGCGGTGGCGCCCTGCCTATGGAATGCACTCCCCAGAGAGATCCGCCTGGCGCCGTCGTTATTTGTTTTTCGGCACCAGGCTAAGACCTTTTTATTTCAACAATATTTTAATAACTTTTAATATCAGCTATATAGGTTTTAATCTGCAGCCAGGGTGGATCTGGATTTTATTTGTACTATGTTTTATTTTATTTTTCTTATTTGTGTAAGCTGTCCTGAGGCTATGCGATGGGACGGCATACAAATACGATAGATAGATAGATAGATAGATAGATAGATAGATAGATAGATACTTACTACTGATTAATTTGATGCATTCTAAAGCACTTCACTTTGTTAGCTGCAAACTTTAAACTCCATTTGGCAGCTTAGAATTTTCTGCTTTTACACATTTTCTGATGATTGTATACTCATTGATATTTCTGTTATGATAGGATTCAGGGATGCTTTGATGCATTGGAAAAGAACTATGTAAGTTTTAATTTAATTAATGCTAAAATGAGTTTTAAATATCATACCATCTTAGAAACATAGAAACAGAGCGAGTCAGAAGGGGTCTCCCGGGCCATCTAGTCTGACCTCCAGCATCTTATTCTCTCTCTTATTTTATTTGGAGGTGGGGAAAATTATCTGCAGGGATTGTCTATTCTTTACTTTTTGCCTTGAATGATCATACAAAAGAAAAGCTGTATGCTAATCCCACAAATTCTTCACCTTGAAATTCTGTAACTGGAGCAACCATGAAAATGTCAATCAACCAAATTAATTTGCATACTATTTTGGTTGCATATTGTGGCTTCAACAATGGCTTGACAGGCAAAAATTAATTAGATAAGTTTTTCAAATCATGTCAGTTCTTAATACATGTTATGACAATATAGAATTAAATGGTCCCATGATTATTAGAATGTTTCAGCTGAGGCACTGCACAGTTTGCAGATATTATACAAATGCAGTTTTTCTTCCAGCATACACTGACAGGAAATGTCACACCTGCAAAAACAGCTATTAAAAATACAGTACCTACATCATTACTACTGGATTCTATTTTTGTTTAGTGCTGGGTTTTGAATGCTTGATCTGGAAATTGTTGTGCCAATTGTTTTCTACATATTAATGGTCAACCTGACTGGCTCTCCTAACCTGCTTTGACCTTAAAACAGCCACAGGAGATTCTGATTTTGATCAGAGCAGTAGTGTTGGAGGATGGGGTATTTCACCCTTTTCCATAATGCCATCCCTCCTGCCTTGTCCCCCTTGAAAAAAACCTGCTATTAAATCTGCAGAAGAGATGAAACCAGGTACATCACACATATGTGCGCTTTTTATCTGGAGTAATAAGAGCTGTGGTGGGGTGGGTAGAGCATTTCTGTATGTGAGGTCAGGTGAGATTCACTAGTACTATGTTGCAGAATGGCCACTGTATCCTGTTCCACAGAGCTGGGGAACTCATGCCCACCCTCCATCCGTGGATGTGGCTGAACTACTCTTCCAGGCATTCCTTACCATTGTCCAGGCCAGCTGTAGCTGATAGGAATTGGAGTCCATCAACATCTAGTTCCTCAGGTCAGCTGTATGCCATGCTCAGGATGGGTAGGCATAGTACAGAACACAAAAAATCTCACAACGGCATAAAAATGGCCCATAGCATTCCTGCTAAACCTCACCTGTCATAAGCAGTGTGGCAATGCAATGGAGAAGAACTGGTGAAATTGCAGCCAGGCACCAGAGAAGGCACACCACTCACAAAAACAGAGAGACACACGCTCATTATATCCTCCCACCCCATATACAATTTGCTGCAGCACTATCCACATGTGAGGCAACGTAGCACAGGCAGGAAGGTGTGAGCAACATACATAGACATACAGAATGTCTATATATGTCAGTTGCTGGTGAAGACAGGTGATGGGTGGAAGGGTGCTGTTGTACCTTTGGGCAGCTATTTGGCAGCTGTGAACAGAATGATCATCTAGATGGACCCTTGATCTTAAGAGCATGGTTCTTACTAAGTTGTGTGGTGCTCCTTTAGCAAAAGGCAGGACTCTGGTGAAAGGAACTGTGGAAAAAGAGCACTTTGTACAAAGCAGGCTGGCTTCATGAAAAGCTGAGTACAATTCTAACATTTCTTTGCCTAGAACCCTAGAACCCTATCTTGCTTTCAGTTGATTTTAATTACATTTTCATCTTGTACTGCACCCTGGATGACACCAGTTAGTATTACATCCAGGGTTGTTTCCCCTCTGATGGTTCTAGGACACAGCCATTTAGGGCATTGTAAAATGTATAGAAAAGTACCCTCTGTGGAGCATACATTTATCCAGCCAGTGTAGGAGTAATTGAAGTCACCTGATATTGCAATACTTGTTTTCCATCGGAGGATCAACTTGAGTGATTTGGTTTGCAGGACAATCACATGTTCCTTGTGCTAAATTAGTTTTGGAGCCTGGTAGTGTCACCCACAGCACTTCTGTGAAAGAGTCTGCCCCTTTTAGGAATTCTAGTTTGCTGATGCCTTCTATGATATAAAAAGCAGTTTCTTCTCCAAAGCACTCTTTCCTGTTCTTCCTGTAGCATTATATCCAGAGATGACTCGACTCTACTGGTTTTTTCAATTGCATCAGATTTCTGTAATGCCCACTATATTTAGGTTCTCTTTTAAAACCAGGCTCTCCAATTCTCCCATCTTGATCTGGGGGCTTATAGCACTTACAATGCAAAATCTAGACATAGTGTCCGTCCCCAGATTTCTCTGGGAGTTTGCATCTTCTTCTATAGTTTATATAATTCACTTATGTTTCTTTGATTGGCTATTGCATTTCACTACATGCTTGTGTCCTGTTTTCTTCCTTTCTACATGTTAGGAATGATATAGCTATATGCCCTATTGTCTGATTCATGGTCACCCTGTGTGGGGTTTATATACTGGTATTGATATACTGTGATTAGGTACTGCATTACTTCATATATATGCTCTGTTATAACAACACATTATACTTCTCCTCTCATTCCCACTGAAGTCAGTGAAAAAGAAATCCCTTTGAGTGAGTCTGAGGCATTTAGAATCATAGAGATGGCTTTCCAGCTGCATCATGAATGCCTCCAGCATGGGAGAGCCCATGACCTTCCTAGGAAATTGGTTCTGTTGTATTGCTCTAACACTCAAGAAATTTTTCCTGCAGTTCCACTGGAATCTGGCTTCCTCTAACTTGAGCCCTTTATTCCATGTCCTGTACACTGGGATGATCGAGAAGAGATCCTAGGCCCAGTCTCTGTGACAATCTTTCAAGTACTTGAAAAGTGCTATCATAGCTTCCCTCAGTCTTCTGCTCTCATGCAAAGATCCATCTTCAGTGGAGGCATGGACATAAATAAAATATTTTCCTCTCCCGCGCCATCCATGACTCCATCTGATTTTAGCCATTATAATGGCATGTTTTGCCAATGGGACACCTTCAACGGTGGAATGTTCCAGCCATGTAGCAGCACTCTGCTGTCATTCAGCTGACAGCATAGCATTTAGATCCATAAAATGGCACAGGGCAAATGCTTTACACTTTTTCTTCCAGTGCTACTGCATTCATTGAAATCAGAATGATTTCACTACTATGGCTCACTACAACCACTACTATGTTAAAGTACAGTTTTTAAGAAGTTGACCCCAAGAAGGACTAGTTGAAATCAGTGGATGCTGGTGGCTCCAATGTCAGTGCCCACTCTGAGCGTCAGTCTTTGCTTTCAAAGAGCTATCCATGGTACGGCTCACAAAATAATAGGTTCCACCCCATGGATAACCCCTTTACAGATCAGACTGAAATCCAAAGTGGATGCACTGCTGGGTTGACATTGGAGCCACCAGCCACAACTGGTTGAAATAGCAGAATTTGGGTTAAAATTGCCACTTTTCTGGCTGCAGCCTGTAACATCTGCATAATGTGTGGTACAAAAGGGGTTGCATAGCATTTAATCAAAGGAAAAAGCAGCTAGAAAAAAATTATTAAGCATGGATATGATCATTGGAATAAACTGAGATTTTGGGATATTTCTGTGCAATTAATCCAAATGTCCACAAGGTGTCAATGATGTTGTTTGCAAACATATCTGAATTACTGAGACACTGCTTAGGAAAAATTATTGATTCCCCCCACCCTCAGCATGATGTGATACTAATATTAGTTAGGACATACCACAATAGCTGCCAGTCTCTCTCTCTCTCTCTCTCTCTCTCTCTCTCTCTCTCTCTGTGAAACATTAAACCATGTGTATATAATCATGTCTGACTCTCACATATTTAGCCTTGTTCAGTAGACAAATGAAAAAAAAACCAAGATAGTGCTCTGGGAATTAACAACTTAAGAGAAGTGATGGAATGAAATGCAGATTGCTGACAATTCCTTTGGTTTTGTTTTCCAGCTGCATATGGCTGTCTTGGCAGTAAGTAAATCAAAGGCAGCTTGCTTGCTTTCAAACTTACTTCCCCCTCCTGTTGACTCCAGTGATAGCAGGGGGAGGACTTACCGTTCCTGTCCCCAGACTGAAGTAGCTCCAGGTTGCTGTTGAGGAATAAGAGCTTCAGAATCCTGCAGATCCACAGCTTCCCTGACACACCCATGGAAAGCCCCATTTCTTGCCCACAGTGATGGTACAATGGCAAGGGGTGTGGCTTTCTGCCATTGCACGCAGGGGGATTCTGGATGCAGGCCTTCCTATCCACAGGTGGACAGGGAGGACTGCAGTATCCTGTCCTAGGGCTCTTCGGCCATAGTCCTAGGGAGTATCGTAGTCTGATCTGCTTCTTTGCAAATAACTGGAATGATGGATTGTAACGAGGGCTTCTTGTTGCAGTATGCTGCCCACTTAGTTGTGACTGTCCCTGGCAGAAAGAAGGCACCTTCTTCACTTTGCATGATAGAAAGTCGTAATTGTTACACAGTCTTTTGACAGACACCTGAAACCAGACTTATAGCCTGTTATGTTCCTGCTTAATTTAATGGCTCTGTTATTATGAAAGTTATTTCAAAGTGGTTATAATCTACTTTGAAGTATTAAAACTTATTTATTTATTTATTAGCTTTTTTAGCCTGCCCCATTAGCCACATGGCTCCCTGGATGGGTTACAGACATATGTATTGGGTAGTTTGATTAACTTACCACAAGTATCTATGTGAGTGATGCTGCTTCTCTGAATAAGAGTTGGGGTTATGGGAAATCTTTCTCGATCATTCCAAAGATAGATATTGATATAAATTTCCCATAGTTAAGAATTTGCTCACTTTGTGTGACTAATTACAGATGAAGGAAAGATAAGAATATTTCCCTGCATCAACATTTGTAGTCTGTCTGTGACCACATAAAATTGTTTTTTGCATTCTCTTACTATGACTGTTTATAGAAGAACAATACTAATTCTTCCTGTTCTTTTAAAACAGATCTATACCAATCCCAAAGAGCCTGAGGTAAGAGTGTTCAATAAAATATAACCTGCAAATCATGTAGACACAGCAGTTGACTCTGTGTCAAAGTAAGACAAAATTCATTTTCTTATCCCATTTGATTGTTTAAAGGAAATTTATGATGTAGATCATGGGTCTCCAACTCAACTTACCTGGGGGCCGCTGGAAGTAGAGGCTGGGTGAGGCTGGGCCGCATCAAGTATTCCACCACCGCAGTGGTGGTGGGCTGCTCATCCCGCGGCCGGCCCGGGTGCCGCCGGCGCTTTGAAGGCCGCAGGGCCCCTCCCCCATGCCCCGCCCTGCGGAGGGGCCCCACGGGCCACGAGTTTGAGACCCCTGATGTAGATAAAAGCAATAATTACATTCTTGTACCATCACTGCATCCCTCACCCATTCACCACTCCTGGTTAGTAAATACATCTTTGTTTACTTCAGTAAAAGCATACATTTTCTTCCCTCCTTCAATCAATTTCTTTGCTTGTGTTTTTGCTTACACTCAACATGTTACATAGTGTAGTCTAGCACTACTGAAGCAGTAGATGGTCCTGTCAGATGGCATTAATATACTGTAATACATGGTGTGACAAAGTCTGGAAGAACATGTCTTTGGGCAAACACAGGGATTCCTGTCTAACACATGAAAAACACAATCACTTCATAAAACATGAAACTGTCCCTAATAAGGGTATCTTAGAAGAAAGTAATAAATTGAAAGAGGGAGAAAAATGCCAAGAGGCACCCATGCATTTTTATACCAAAAGACTGTGAATCACCTTCTTAGAAAGCACGTGGGAATTCTTTTGTGGTCAGAAGAACCCATCTTGATGGCCAGAAGCATCTCCCTTCCAATAACATCTTCTAATTATTATCTTCCTTTCCCTTTCAATTGCTAGCGCATGACAGAATTCTACCGGTTCAAGTTCAAATATTCAAAGGATGGACCTCAGATGGACTTTGCTAGGTATATCCCTCATTACTTAATTTCTGGAAAATATACACTGAAGGAGACGCTTGTTTAAAAATATTTTATTAGAAGAGGCTAGTGTTATGTGCACAGACATCTATTTTATTATTTATTTCAAATACAAACTATTTTACATTTCCAAAAACATCCTATGAATGTATTCATTAGAACACCCTTGTTTACAGAATTAAGTTTGCAATCATGGTAACAGATGAACTAACTGAATTTCAAATGGTTTATTTCCCCATCAGGGGTCATTAAAGGAATCCCTAAGATAATACAGTGGTGGTTCCAGGTTCTTAAGGGGCCTTGGGCAAGATGTTATCAGTGGGCCCATGTCTCTGTGACTCAACGTTTCACCACCGTTGTCTCTAGGTGCTATTGCTGCCCAGCCTCATTTTCATCATTGCTACGACTTGTTTGCCTGAAGGTCAGAGAGCCAATGAGGACGTAGGCAATGAAATCACCTGCTTCTCTTCCTCACCACCAGCAGTGTCTAGGCTAGAGCAAGAGGCAGGAGAACAAGCAAGTTGCAGAGATGATGAGGAGGAGCAACTCCAGGGAACTCTTAGTGGGCCCCTGCTCAGGAGTGGCACTTGGGCAGGTGCCTGACCCTGCCTATCTTTGATGCTTACCCTGCATCTATACCATCTAGCCAAGATATCATGAGCAACCAGGAATTAGATTCAAAACAAAACCAATCAAAACATTAGACACAGTGTATTTGTAGGGAGGTACTCTGTGGAGGAGAAATAGTTATATGATTTGATGCTTTTAATTATTCTCTTGGATACCCCACTCTTCAGTATGTACCTAGTCTCCTCACTAAGTGAGCTGCTGCTGGATGCCATGATCTGTTTTATCAGCCATTCAATCTATTTCAAATGGAGCACATTATCTCTGTTGGTAATCTAGTATTTCTGCATTGTTCCTTTATTTCACAGATGGGGGTGAGATTCGTAGAGATGAGGGCTCAACAAATGAGTATTCATAACCCATTTTAGGTTGGGTGATGTGTCATTGTGTCAGTCCATCATTAATGACACATTTTGTAATTCTAGGCAATTGCCACTGAAAATCTGTCTTCCTTCCCTATTTATTTTGGTTACAGTGATGAAAAAGCAGACATTTTTATGGTATTCCAGTAAACTGTGTCAGTGGGTGTTCTATATTTGCCATAGAGGGCATGGGTGATAGTGCTAGATAGCTACTGAACATCATATCCTTGCTATTTTGGTTTCTATTGGGGTTAAGATGTCACTAGTTCAATCCTGTAGAATGTCTGGTTGCTGTAACCAACGCATACATACACAGGCTTATTGTTCTGTGCGTAGTAAGTAGGCTGTCAGTTGCAATCTCATCACAGCACTGTGCTCTAGTGTTTCTATTCAGGGGTTTAAAGTTGCCCTAACGTCGATAGCTCTAAGATGATAAAAATGTCTTCAGACAACACATACCTCTATCCCTGTCCTCAAGCATCTTGTTGTAGCTCCTTACAACCCATCTAAAGGTGGCATAACGATATAGCATAATCTCAGAGTTAGTTTCATATTCCAGTGGTTGCTGACTTCCACAAGCCTACTCAAGAGAGCACTGTAATGTTAGAACTGTGAACTTATGCAAGATCAAGACTCTAACTCCATGGGGCTCAAAAAAGTAGCACATTCCCAGGTGTTGCACATTATTATTTATTATTTAGGAAACTTAGAATTAGAATTGAAACATTAGAATTGCAACATGTGAGACCAAAGCTTTCACATCACACTGTTCAGACAAGCAGACTGTTTACATGGGCAGTTTATTCATGAGCTGGCTGTGACAATATTGCAGCTGACAGCTGTTATTGTTAGTGCAAAGTTCTAGGGCATGCTATTCTGGCACAATATCCTTTGCATCTGGTCCTGCAATAGCTTATAGAATTACATTGGACTTCAGCATCCCTGTTCAGTTGCTCCTTGGCACATGTTTCCTCTTTAGTTTGTTTTAGCACTTAGCATATGGTTTGGGATGGGCTTTGACATCTGTCTTGTTTTGATGGTAGCACTCACATGACCTTTGCAAATGAGGGAACCAGTGAAGAAATTAAGAAAGCCAGTATCCTGCTGATCCGCAGACTGTATGTCTTAATGCAGAATCTTGGGCCACTGCCTAATGACATTACATTAAGCATGAAGCTGTTCTACTACAATGATGGTAGGTGGTGAGACTTCCTTCCCATCCCAGCTTTCCCTCATTTATTTCTCAGGACAAACATCCAGCCAAGGAAAGTGGGAAGCTGTTATTCAAATGTATGTCAAAACTGAGTGTCTGGAACCAAAATGGAGGACAAAGTGGGAGGGACGGCAGGACACTGTAAGCAAGTGCTTGTGCAACATGAGGGTCAGAATGACGAGTTAGGCCACATTCAGTAATTTTCAGTGGCAGCAGGGAGATCAGCAGCTCATTCCTCAGGCAAGTTACTATGATAGTGCAAGGTATGGCAGCTGGTTCAAACTGAAAAAAAAAAAAAAAATCCTGCCTTGAGATGGGAAGCAGAGCTGTCAGTTCTGCTGAGAGACCAGCTTCTTTGGTAATTCCTTTCCCTGGACCTTTTACATTTAAGGTAAAGAGCACAAGAGCTTTGTAACTTCAAGAACAGATATCTAAATTCACTAGTTCCTTTCTCTTCCTTATTTCCCCTTGTATCATGTCTTTTAGATAGTAAGCCTGTAGCAAGTAATGTCTTGCTTGTTACTAAGTTTATGTAAGCCACTCTGGGAACCTTTTTCATGTTTTCAATAAACACACGTGGCCTAAAGATAAACAACACCATGGGCTACCTTATTCAACAATACCACCTAAAAAACTGAACATTGTGGTTAGAATTTGCTTTCTTTTCAGCCACTAACCCCTGCTTCTTGTGCTAGGCACTGCACTGGGCTTCTGTTGCAAACCCTGTAACTTTTGCATGTCTTTCCTTTGCAGTCACACCCAGTGACTACCAGCCACCTGGCTTTAAGGAGGGCAACAGCTCTGATGGTCTGCTTTTTGATGGTGAACCTGTGAACCTAAAAGTAGGCTCAGTCTCCACTGGGTTCCATGTGCTGAAAGTGAGAGTAACCACAGAAAGCAAAAGGATGGGGATGCTGGAGAGCAGTCTGGTTGAGGAGAACGATCACACAGAGATCTCCCATCAAGGGCTAGACTGTGATGAGGAAGAAGAGGAGGGCAGCCTTAAAGTACAGGAACAGGTTATATGCACTGCGATTTTTTTGAAACCATTATGTGTAGAGTGGCTGGTGCGAGAGTGGCTGGGGGAAGAGATCTATTACATAAAACTTTTTAATTTTAAAGGGATAATATAGTTTTCTCTTAAACACAGGCCATCCTATTTAAACCATCTATGGCAGATGTTTGTTTAATCTCACCCCAACTCCCCACATACACATGCATTTTATTTTGGTGGTCACAGACCAGGAATAAAAAAACAAATCATAAAAGAAAATGCATAATCCATAAAACCCAGACCCATAAGCAATCATAAAAATCCTTAAGTACTTAAATTAAGATAAAATCCATAAGTGCACCAAAAAAAACCCTTAAAATTAAATTGTTACAATTTGTTAATGCCCACTAACCTCAGTTTATGTACATTCATAGCACTTTTCTAGCTTGGCACTTTTATGACCTTTGAATCATGATCTGACAGTAAATGTACTAGCTGTTTTTCATCTGCTTTCATCTGCGGAAACCATTGTATAATAGGAAATATAACTGTATGCCACAGGTCTGATAAAAGATACAGAACAGAAAGATATGCAGTACCATTTCCATTTCTGCACTCCCTCAGGGTCATTTACCTGTTCTTCATATTGTTTCTTTTTAAAGCTTCCAGTAGGTCAGAGGGTAGCACATTAAATCTTGCCGTAACTAAAGTTTTCCTCAATTTAGGGATAGGTAAAACAGACAACTATTTTGCAGGTAAAATGCCCTTTATCATGTTTATATTCAGGATGTTATAAAGCCTTCCTTAAATGATTTTGTAACTCCACATCCCAAATACACAGTTGAGTTATCATTTTAGTTGGTTCATACAATAACCCTGAATATAAATCCAAAATCAATTTTTCATTAAACATAATATCCCATTTCAACTGACAAATATGATTAAGTTCAATAAGATGAAGCGCATTGAGGGGAAAAAATCAACCTTTGCCAATACTGGATTCTAGGGAACTACATGTGGACCTCCACAAAAAATTGCCCAGTTTCTTCATGCACACATACTCTGGGAACACTACTCAAAATTCCCAACACTCTGAAAGCAACTTAGTCAATATAATTTCAAGCTGGGTATAACTTGTATAGGCATAGAGTTGAGATTCATACAACATCAGGGAAATGACCTTTGTTGGGAATACCTGAATGACCAAAGAAAGGTTCTGGCATTCTTTTGTATAAAAGAAAAACAGGAAAGCTGGGGCTACCTTACTTTGGGCTAGTCACAGACTCTCAGCCCAATTTATCTCACAGGGTTGTTGTTGTGAGGATAAGAGTGTAATCCGCCTTGAGTTCCTTGAAAGGAAAAAGGTGGGATAAAAAAATAATAAATAAATGGAAGACCCATCTTCAAATGATACATTAGTTTCCTAGGTTAAACTGTTTTGACTAGAAAATTGTTCTTTCCTTGTTTTCCCTCTTCCAGGCTCTTACTAAGCCTTTTAACGTCAAATAATTAAATTCAAATAAGTGTTTAACTTTTGCAAATGGATGGAGGTGTTCCTTTAATGCCATAATTTCAGTCATAACCAGCCTCCCAGATGGATTTACAGAGGACTCAGTTCTCATGGGCTTGCCCTTGAAGATCTAAAGACCAACCTAGGATGGGCTTGAGAGGAGCAGAACTTTTTCCTTTGTAACTTTCTCTTCAGTTTCCTCTTCCCCACACTGGAAAAAAGTGTGATTTTGCTGTTCCCATAGTTGTAAAAAAGTGTCTCAACTCTATGACCGTCTATTGGGCTGCTCTCAAAATTAAGTGGTATTCCTCAAGCTTTAAAAGCTTTTCTAATTTGCATAATTACTTTTTGAAGATGGCTTTTCAGACTCACAATATATGATTATAGTAGAGCCTTTTATTACTTCGAAATATAGCCAGCCCTCCTACTTGCACCACCTCTGAACCAATAATAATAAACTATTGAACATCAAGCCAAGGGAGAATTTAGTAAGACAAAACAGAAATATCAAAAGCAGGAATGAAAAAAGTAGCAGATAAAATTCATAATTACAGTATGTCACAGAAGTGAGTACACCCCTCACATTTTGTAAATATTTTATTATACCTTTTTATGTGACAACCCTGAAGAAATGACAATTCGCTACAATGTAAAGTAGTGAGTATACAACTTGTATAACAGTGTAAATTCGCTGTCCCCTCAAAATAACTCAACACACAGCCATTAATGTCTAAACCGCTGGCAACAAAAGTGAGTACACCCCTAAGGGAAACTGGCCAAATTGGGCCCAAAGTGTCAATATTTTGTGTGGCCACCATTATTTTCCAGCACTGCCTTAACCCTCTTGGGCATGGAGTTCACCAGAGCTTCACAGGTTGCCACTGGAGTCCTCTTCCACTCCTCCATGATGACATCATGGAGCTGGTGGATGTTAGAGACCTTGCACTCCTCCACCTTCCATTTCAGGATGCCCCACAGATGCTCAATAGGGTTTAGGTCTGGAGACATGCTTGGCCAGTCCGTCACCTTTACCCTCAGCTTCTTTAGCAAGGCAGTGGTCGTCTTGGAGGTGTGTTTGGGGTCGTTATCATGTTGGAATACTGCCCTGCGGCCCAGTCTCCGAAGGGAGGGGATCATGCTCTGCTTCAGTATGTCACAGTACATGTTGGCATTCAAGGTTCCCTCAATGAGCTGTAGCTCCCCAGGGCCGGCAGCACTCATGCAGCCCCAGACCATGACACTCAAACCACCATGCTTGACTGTAGGCAAGACACACTTGTTTTTGCACTCCTCATCTGGTTGTCGCCACACACGCTTGACACCATCTGAACCAGATAAGTTTATCTTGGTCTCTTCAGACCACAGGACATGGTTCCAGTAATCCATGTCCTTAGTCCGCTTCTCTTCAGCAAACTGTTTGCAGGCTTTCTTGTGCATCATCTTTAGAAGAGGCTTCCTTTTGGGACGACAACCCTGCAGACCAATTTGATGCAGTGTGCGGCGTATGGTCTGAGCACTGACAGGCTGACCCACCACCCCTTCAACCTCTGCAGCAATGCTGGCACCACTCATATGTCTATTTCCCAAAGCCAACCTCTGGATATGATGCTGAGCACGTGCACTCAACTTCTTTGGTCAACCACGGCGAGGCCTGTTCTGAGTGGAACCTGTCCTGCTCAACCGCTGTATGGTCTTGGCCACCGTGCTGCAGCTCCGTTTCAGGGTCTTGGCAATCTTCTTATAGCCTAGGCCATCTTTATGTAGAGCAACAATTCTTTTGCTCAGATCCTCAGAGAGTTCTTTGCCATGAGGTGCCATGTTGAACTTCCAGTGACCAGTATGAGAGAGTGAGAGTGATAACACCAAATTTAACACACCTGCTCCCCATTCACACCTGAGACCTTGTAACACTAATGAGTCACATGACACCGGGGAGAGATAATGGCTAATAATGCCCAATTTGGACAGTTTCACTTAGGGGTGTACTCACTTTTGTTGCCAATGGTTTAGACATTAATGGCTGTGTGTTGAGTTATTTTGAGGGGACGGCAAATTTACACTGTTATACAAGCTGTATACTCACTACTTTACATTGTAGCAAAGTGTCATTTCTTCAGTGTTGTCACATGAAAAGATATAATAAATATTTACAAAATGTGAGGGGTGTACTCACTTCTGTGATATACTGTATATGACTGATTACAGACCCTCAGTTCACAGTATGTTCTACATCACTATCTTGATCCTGATACCTGACACATGAAACCAATCAATGTACTTTCCTCCCATTGGGGTTTTACAAGCTTAGGTTCTCTTTCCTTTTAAAGTATTAGGAATTTAAAACAACAATAGTGTGGCTCCCAGACAGCATCTGGGGAGACATAGTTTATAGTGGATACTCCAGTGAGGATTTATTTATTTTCTATACCACCAAATAGTTGACATTCTTTGAGTTGTGAATAAATGCAATAAGGTACAAGTATAGAATTAAACAATAATAAAACATCATAAAATTACATTTAAAATCCACATTTTTAGAACTACTGAAGCTAGTTCATATTGCTAGGCTTGCAGACAAACAGCTGGCAATACCTCCCCCCATGTGTACAGGGCTACACTCTTGAGGAAGGGCTAGTGGGAAGTCTGCTTGGATTTCTGACTCCAGCTACCATCAAAAGCTCTGTGAGGGCTCCTCTTCCAACAATGCTGTTGCAACCTAAGAAGGGGAAGTGGGTGGGAGCGGGGGAATGTCTGTCAGCAGGGAGTGGAGAGAAGAGAACATGGATCCACTGAATCCACAGGGAGGTTAGGAGAGTCAGTCAGGCCTTTGAACCTATCATGCTCAAAATCAATTTAAGGAAAAATGGGAGGCAAAGAAGCCTCTCACCCTCCTGGGCAGGGCTTAGAATAGACAGCAGGGCATGAAATCAAAGCTCTCCATCAATTGAGTTGCAATTTGGTTAAATCATGCCCTTAATTAGTGAATAAATCAACCAAATTGACATATTATCATTTGTCACACCTGATGTACACATCCCACTGTCAAATAAGTAGACAAGGAGGTTCCCTGTACTAAATATCATGAAAAAGGATCAGTGTACTATAAAATGTTTTACAGAGTGAACATCTAGCCGCTGGCATCAAGCTGGAGACAAACAGGATGCATGAAAGGAACACAGAATCAGACTGCAAAAATATTTTATATGTGGATACACAGAGAGCAGGTAAAAACTCTTCCTTTAAAAATCCTTCGTATTTTTGAGATCTTTACATGTACATCCAGGGGTCATTCTGGAATTACCACTACAACATGAGAACTTTTACAGCATCCTTTTTTCTGGCCTTGCCTGTATAATGTCAGAAATTCCAGACCATGTCGAGAAATGCCAGATTCAGTACTTTTCCGAACCAGTATTGCCTTGGAGTTGCAAGACTGCTGCAGACTTTTCCTGCATAATTCTGAGTCTTGAATGATATAGAAATGAGGTAATGCCAGAAGTTGGTTCCCATGATCTGTGCATGTTTAATGGGTAGTTTTGCTATTAATACAGAGGTCTGCACATGCCAGTTCTATATTTCTGACTGTAAAATACATGCCCTGTATTGTTCTTTTTATAATAAAAGGATGCCCATTGATTAATTATCATCATAGTGCCAAGACAGTACAATCAAGACACCTGAAACTTGGGTGGGCACATCAGGGTCATTTTATTTTATTCGAGAGCCAGTGTGGCGCAGTGGTTAAGAGCATGGGACTGGGACTCAGGCTATCTGGGTTCTAGTCCCCACTCAGCCATGGAGCCAACTGGGTGACTTTGGGCCAGTCACAGACTCTCAGCCCAACCTACCTCACAGGGTTGTTGTTGTGGGGATAAGATGGAGGAGGAGGAGGATGTAAACTGCCTTGAGCCCTTTGTAGGAAAAAGGCAGGATATAAATAAATAAATAATTAAATTTTTACGCCACATTTACAAAAATGTTGCTGTCCATGTGACTGAAGCCTGAAGTACATCTTCAGCCACTAGGGGCAGATGTCCCTAACCAGTGTGTATCTGCAGTCCATAAAGTATGAAGGTATGAAAACACAGTTGTACTCCTGTTGCCCCCTCCACTGCTGAGGAGCAGCATCCCTTCAGGGAAACAGTGTGGACACTTTTTTCCTGCAGGTAACTGTACAAGTATACCATGGCAGAGACTGTGACTAGAAGAGCCAGTGGGAATAGCTTCACTGAGACAGAGCAGGCACAATTCTTCAAGTTTCCTTGAAGGCTTTCATGTAGCGAAGTAAGGGTTATTCCAAGCAATGCAAAGCTGGGTCCATTTTCTAGTCTTAAATTCTGTTTCTGTCAAATACCACTCAGCAATTAAGAAACAAATTCTTGACATCAGTTTCTTAGAGGGGGCCCTGTGTGAACAGTTACAGTGAAAAAGATCTTGTGGCATTTCTAAGATTCATTGTGGCTGAAGCATCGGTGGACTGGAGCTCATTTTATTTATTCATTTATTTATACATGTATTTATGAACTGGAACCTACTGCTAGTTGTTAATGTGTCATAAAACTTTCTTGGTTATGTTCCTACCTTTCAATTAATACCTGAAATAAGATTTAAAATAATTTGTTAATTACAGAGCATGGTTTTCCAAAAGTCACTTTAAGAGATGAATAATAATTAGTCTTTGGATATATGCAGAGCACAGCCTGGTCCAGTTTTATTGGATGAGTTTCAGCTGGTACAGCTCAAGGATGTGGACAAAGTGCTTGGGCAGGTTTGTGCAAACACCTCTGCAGTGGATCCTTGCTCCTCCTGGCTTATAAAAGCCAGCAAAGAAGGAATAACCAGCTGGGCCACAGAGGTCATTAATGTCTCTTTGCAAGTGGGAGGAGTCCAATGTTTTAGAGGCAATGGAGAGACTACTTCTCAGGGGTCTGTTCTGTCTCCCATGGTATTCAACATCAATATGAAGCTGCTGAGTGGGGTTTTGGGGTTTTGGAGTGCACTGCCATCAATATGCTGAGGACATGCAGCTCTATTTCTCCTTTTCTCCTCAGCAGGTGAGGCTGAGGCAAGGGACTGGATGAGGGTTAAAAAACTGAAGCTCAGTTCAGACAAGACTGAAGTGCTGCTGGTGGGTGGTTCCTTTGACCGGGGGGGATGTTCAACCTGTTCTAAATGGGGTTGTACTCCCCCTAAAGGGACAGGTTCATAGATTTACAGTGCTCCTTCATCCTTCTTTGTCACTCGAGGCTCAGATGTCATTAATGTCATTAATGACTTGGAGTGCTTTCTACCAGCTTTGCTGGTGGCCCAGCTGTGCCCATACCTGGATAGGGATAACCTGGCTTCAGTAATCTACACTTTAGTAGCCTCTAAATTAGATTACTATGATGTATTCTTTGTGCAGCAGCCAGATTAAAAACCAGGACCCATAGGTTCAAACATTTAAGATTGGTTCTGGCCTTCCTGCAATGGCTTCCTGTATGCTTTTTGACCCAATCCAAGGTAGTGGTTTTAATCTATAAAGCTCTACATGACTTAGGACCACAGTACCTATTGGAGTGCCTCTCCCAACCCCAATCTACCCAGCTGCTATGCTCAACCTCTGGTACTTCTTCCAAGAGCCAACCGCACAACAGGCTCAGAGGGTAGTATCTGGGGGAGGGCCTTTTCTGTGGTGGTCCCCCATCTTTAGAACAACCTTCTGCTACAGTCCACCTGGCACCAAATTTGTCATCTTTTTGGCACCAGGTCAAGAACCAAGATGTTCTTGGTTATCCAGGGGCCTGAGGGGATTATCCTGGCAATTCTTCTTCTTGCTGGGTCTTTTTATTGTATTTTTCCTGTATTTTTGAGCCATTTTACATTAATTTTAAATTATTTTTATTACTGTTATTTTAATGTTATTTGTATTGTATTTTATTATTTTGTTTACTATATTGTCATAAACAGCCCAGGGTTCTTCAGCTATGAAATGATATAGAAATGAAATAATAATAGTCAGACAACTGTATTCCTAAAATGTATTAGCATAGTTGTGGTTGAAAGCCCCTGCTACTGTGTTTCCTCGAAATAAGCCCTAGCATGATTTTTCAGAATGCTCGTAATATAAGCCCTACCCCAAAAATAAGCCCCAGTTAAGATCGTCAGCCAGATGGACGGATTTAGTACATCACTTGCAACACAATTTGGGCGTTGGAGAGTTATAGCGATGTTCCAGAAGAAGATGACATGACTGTATTTGAATAAATGTAGATTTTTGTACATAAAAAATAAGACATCACCTGAAAATAAACCCTAGTGCGTCTTTTGGAACAAAAATTAATATAAGCCCCGGTCTTATTTTTGGGGAAACATGGTAGCTGCAAGAAACAAAACAAAACGTTCTTAGGCTGAACAAGAAAAAATGATATTCATAGAGGTAAGGGTCAACTCTGAACATTCAGAGAAAGAATAATAGTCAGATATAGAGGAGAAAGCCCATAGCAACTAAAAATGATGCAGTTCATCATATTTTGCATTTGTTTGTATCTTAACAAATAATGTAGCTATGTAGAAAATATGTAGCCTTACTATAAAAGATTTTACTATTGCATGCAGCAAACATTAATTTCTGGGCTGTGCCCATAACTAAGTGGAAAAGCCTCTGCTTTGATTGCAACTCAGTAGTAGCACTCATGCTTTGTATATCTAAACTTTTTTTTAACCAAAAGCACATTTTTTCCACTGGAATTACTTTTCTCCTTGTATTTTCCCTAAGAAGGGAAGCAGAGAAAGGAATGGTTTTGAGCAGAAGAAAAAAAAATCATGCACACATGCACATAAACGGCCAGTATCCCAAGTACAAGATCTCTGAAATTATTGTCTTGAAAAAAATTCTTATAGACAGCAGGGATGGAAATTGTGTAATATCATGAGCGACCATTTGTAAGCTGGCCAGAGAACCTTCAGGTTATAGGGTGGTACAGAAATGGAAATAAATAAATAAACCAATGATTCGGTGTGAACATTATGTTAAGGCACCTCACAGATCAACTCTCCAATTTTCAGTTTCCTTTTACAACTAGATGGTGCTAGTAACCTGCTAAAAAAAGTATTTCCCCCTTTTCTAAGTGCATGCCACAAACCAACCATATTTTCAGTGCAGGAATTCCTAAGGTCCTTTCATTAAACTGTATTCTACACCAGTGGTTTTCAACCTTTTACAACTGGGGACTGGCAAAAAGAGGAAAATTATTTCGGGGATGACTGAGGCAGAAATAAAAAGCATTACATACATAATATAGTATTTTGTGTATTGCTTTTTGATTACAGCCCCAAAAATGAAAATCCTCTAGAATAACCAGATGTTGAGCAGTATAAAATACTAATAAAAGAATTAAATATTGAAATTAAATGTAATCGAATACTACTTAAATTTTTAGAGAGCAATATGTAATTCAAATAAGGCTCCTGCAAAATCTGCTGCTGCTTCTTTTCTAGAATACTTGATCAAAAATTTAGAATAGCAAAATACAAAATAGAAAATCAATATAAATGCAATACTATGCTCATAGCAAATACAAATTGAAAAACAGCAGAGCAATACAAAATCACAGTTGTTTAATACGACAAAATCACAGTTGTTTAATATGCGGCCACCGCTGGGCCACCCCGGGCACGGAGGACGCCAGGGCCACGCCAGGCCCGCCGTTGATGGCGTGGAGGAGGGAACCGCCGTCTTGCCGCCGGGTGGGTTTCCGCGCCCCTCCCTGCTCCTCCCCCCGCCGGCGTCGGTGATAGCAATGCCGGATTGGGGCGGGGCGCACGGGCAGGCACCGGCTTAACCTGCCAGATGCGGCCTGGGGCCGGTGGCCAAAGGGTGGTGCCGCCGTTTGTGGCCGTTTGTGGCCATGCGGGGCTGGGCTGGCGGGGGACTAGGTCAGTGGGGGGAATTTTAATTTTGTTTTGGGGGGGAAATGGGGAGTTTTTGATTGTTTTAAAGTTTTATGGTATTTTAATTTGTTTTTATGGAGTTGTCCCTGGCCATGTTGACGTTTGAGTTTCCTTGGGATGGTCATGGGCAATGGACGCTACAGCGGTGGGGGCTTAACATGTCTGCGTAGAAGAAGGAGGGACAGATGGCTGACACCTGTCCCTCCTTCTGGTTCTGCCCCCAGCCAGAGGGTTCCAGGTAGTCTTGTCAACCGCCCCTCGGGCCTGGTGGTGCTGCTGCTCAATGCCAGGTTGGTCCACAATAAATCTTCCCTCATCCATGACTTGATTGTGGATGAGGGGGCCGACCTGGCTTACATAACAGAGACCTGGGCGGGAGAGGGGGGGGATGTCGCCCTCTCAAATGTGCCCACCCGGGTATCTGGTTCAACACCGTTCATGCCTGGAGGGGAGGGGAGGGGGGTCGCTTTGGTTTACCAAGCCTCCATCTTCCTCACAGGACTTCCGGTTCCTTCGAGGCCAGGGCTGGAGTGCCTCTACTTGGTGTTGGGCGACCAAGACAGATTGGGGATTCTGTTGGTGTACCATGCACCCTTCTGCTCAACTGTCTCCCTGCCTGAGCTGACGGAGATCATCTCGGACCTGGTGTTGAGGACTCCCAGGATGTTGGTCCTGGGGGACTTCAATCTCCATGCCGAGATTGGTCTGACCGGGGTGGCTCAGGACTTCATGGCCTCCGTGATGGCCATGGGGCTGTCTCAACATGTCACAGGCCCGACCCATGAACGTGGACACACTCTGGACCAGGTTTTCTCGACGGGGCAGGAAGAGGGTGGTCTGAGGGTGAGGAATTTATGTCCTCCTGTCATGGTCAGATCACTTCCTGGTGAGGTTTGTGCTCGAGAGCAACCTCTCCCTCTGTAAGGGTGCGGTGCAATTGTGTGGGTCCGCCCCCGGAGCTGGATGGATCCGGATGGATTCCTGAAGGCCCTGGGGAAGTTTCCAGCTGACAAGACTGGTGCACCTGTCGAGGCTCTGGTCGAACTGTGGAACGGGGAGATGACCAGGGCTGTGGACACGATCGCTCCTAAGCGTCCTCTCCCTCCGGGCAGAGCCCACTCTTCCCCTTGGTATACACCTGAATTGCGGGCGATGAAGCAGGCTGGGAGACGGCTAGCGTGTAGGTGGAGGAGATCATGGGATGAATCTGACCAAACACACTTAAGAGCCCATTATCGGGCCTATGCTGTGGTGGTGAGGGCGGCGAAAAAGAAATTCTTTTCCGTTTCCATTGCCTCCTCAAAATGCCGTCCTTTAAAGTGTTGTCAGAATGGTCCAGTGTCTCTAGGTTCCAACTGTTGCCACGTGTTTGATGTACTGCATAGCCACATCGGTATCTGACCCTTGGCAATTGGTAATAGCAAGACAGTCATTAACAAGTGACAGATAGCAAATATATTATTTGGTCACCTAAAGAAAGGCGTGTTGGTTCATAGAAAAATTAGATATTTGTGGTCAAGCACTACCTTTATGAGTAGCACCCACAAACATACAGAATTGTTAGCAAACCAAATGGCAGTGTCCTAGCTGCATCGTCATACGTAAATTATTTGTCCCTCTTCTGGTGTTTACTAGGAGAACACTAAATGATTTATTTGTTGTGTAGCCTGTTTATTTGCCCTGGTTACTTTTCAAGGGTATATTTTTGATATTTAATACTAAAGAATATTTTGTTAAAAAGACAGCCTATATCAGAGTCTTAATGTTTGTGTTTCAGACACAATTAGAAAAGCTGAAGAGACAAAGAGAGGACCTTCTACTAAGACTTCTCACCAGGTGACCATCACTATGTTGTAAATGTGAACTATATCAACTGGTTCTTTGTCATTGACTGCTGACCAAGATATTTTGCTACCAAATGCAGAGCATAAATGATACCCTTCCACTCTGAAGCCATAAATTTAAACAGGGGTCTTAAACCTCAAGGCTATGGGCCAGATTTAGTCCACCTAGAGTCCCAATCTAGCCATCTGGGATTCTCCAGGCCTTTCCCTAACCCAAACCCATTAAAAATGATGAAATGCTCTCTTAAGGTTTTGCTAGTGGCAGTAAAAGCCTTAACTTGGGGTTTTGATATTTTGATATTTTGTTCTCTCCGCCTTTGCATTTCACCCACCTACTTTTGCCTTTGGTCTAGCCCACCTCTGGAATGTAGCTCCTGAGAACTTCTCTAAAACATAATTCAGCCCTCAGGTTGGAAGATGCTTGACATATCTACTTTAAAAAGTCTTCCAGAACAATTCAGACTTGCTTTACCCATACCCCCATTCATTCTCCATGGTGACATCAAAGCAGAGATATCTGTCTTATCCAGAGAATGTGGCTTTAGGAGGCCATATGTGGGCCTGGCAGCATAGAAACTATTTCAAATCACTATACCAAAGAGCAAAACTCCTAAGTGTGACATATTAGAAAATGTAGATATTCTGTCATTACAGTAGATGTTGATGTAAGAATATCTCCTGAATATCTAATGAAAAGCTGGTTCTGTATGTATAGATGTTAAAGGTGTGTTAGTGTATGGGATATGCAACCCATCCTTTTAAATTCTCATCCAAAGTTCTGTGGAAACTTTAACTGTCATCACAGCAAACTTCAGTGCCACATGATTATTATTTGTTCAAGGACAGGCTGGACGTCCACATGGTGAGCATGTTGTGAGTGGAGCTGGCTGGAGCTGGGGGTCAGACTAGATGGCCCGGGAGACCCCTTCTGACTTGCTCTGTTTCTCTGTTTCTATGATCATGCTAGCATTAGATTGATATTTAATTTTAGGGAAGCAGTTGGAATCAATGCAAGTATTTCTTATAAGGGTGGTGTTGGTCCTATCCCATTGAGAAATCTTTTGTTTAGTTTTGAAGTTGGATTAAAGAGGGGAAACCTCTAGATTAGCAGTGTGCCAGGATTGTTTCAAAGTTGGTGAACTGTGCCTTGTAGAATCTGCTTTATAAATGGAGTGTTAAGTTTTATTTAAACAAGAGGTTTTATTTATACAGCTTTCTTAGGCTTTGGCCTCTTTCTTCTCAGACCAGAAGCAGTGGGACTGTCCTTAACTGCTTCCTTGTTCCTTCCAGGAAACAGCCCATTCAGGTTGAACCCAGTAGTTGCTTCATATTATATTCTTTCAGTTTTGAGAACAATAAAATAAAATAAAATAAAATAAAATAAAATAAACCACACTGCAAACCACAACTATTCTGTAAGAGGCTATACTGAAGCTACTAGTAACTTAAATGAGACTTCATGCTTGTATCAGCCTCTACTTTATAAACTTAAATTAGCTATCACTTCTTCAAAAACATCCCTGAATTCCCTCTGAATCCTTTCTTGATTCCAGCTTCATCTGAGTTTTCCTTCACTTTGTTTTAAAAGAAAAACTTGAAACCAACAGTGCTGCTATAAGTCCCATGGAATATATGATACCCATTTACCCTATGCTGGCCTATATCACTTCATTGACATAGAAACATGGAGACAGAGTGAGACAGAAGGGGCCTCCTGGGCCATCTAATCTGACCCCCGCTGGCTCCAGCCAGCTCCACTCATGACATGACATGCCTACCATGTACAAAAATGTATGTGATAGCAGAGTTTTCTGATATGCTCACTGTCTCAGTTTGTGTGGTAGTTTTCAATTTTGAAATGGTGACCTGAGAATTTGTCCAAAGAAAGCATTGCATAAATCTCAGTGTTTGTTTCCTGGAGGCTTTTTCATCAAAAAATGGAAAGGATATGCTTTCAAACTTCTTCCTTGAATCAGCAATCTGAATGTGCTGAGTCATTGGATACACTGTGAACAGAGGCCCTCCCTAAAGTGGCATGATTCATGCCTTCTCCAAATCCACATTTGTTAGTTTACATTGAGAGTCTGTGCACATTTGTCCTGGCCACTTCACAGGCACTGAAGGGATATGGGCCCATTATCCCCTATACTTTTTGGTACCAAAAAGTCCACACACATTCCCATTTTCATGATCATTTTCTCAATGGAAAAACTTGCTCCATGTTTTTCAGAGACACTTGAATTTAGACAATCATGTAGACCATTTCTGAGGGAAAAGGAAATCAGGAAATCAGAAATGCCATTATTTTGTCAATTATTCATTCATTTTGTTCCCTATACTAGGAACTTTCTCTTCCTCTCACTAAGAATAGATTAACACTAAATGCTTGTTAACACATGGTTCAATGGAATCTGGAGGTGGCAATTAAACAAAGCCACGATGTAACACAATCCTAACAAACATGAATCTGACCGAACACACTTGAGAGCCCACTATCGGGCCTATGCTATGGCGGTGAAGGCGGCGAAAAAGAAGTTTTTTTCCACTTCGATTGCCTCCTCACAATGCCGTCCAGCGGAGCTTTTTCGAGTGGTGCAAGGCCTGGTTCGCCCTGGCCCTAGGAAAGATCCGGTTCCATCCTCGAAGGCCCACTGTGACGACTTTGCCAAGCATTTCAGGGAGAAAATACCAATGCTACCGTCTGGTCCAAAATTATTGGAGGAATTTCAATTATTGCGGCCCGATGATGTGGACAAGGTGCTTGGACGAGTACGTCCCACCACTTGCCTATTGGATCCTTGCCCGTCTTGGTTAATAAATAACTCCAAGCACGGGATTGGGACCTGGATCTTGGAAGTGGTTAACGCTTCTCTGAGGGAGGGTCGAGTGCCTGCCCCTTTAAAGGAGGCGGTAATATGACCGGTCCTGAAGAAAGCGTCATTGGATCCAGAGATGGCCACTAACTATAGACCTGTGGCCAACATCCTGTTTCTGGGCAAGGTGTTGGAGCGAGTGGTGGAGGGACAACTCCAAGCACTCTTGGATGAAACTGATTATCTGGATCCTTTTCAGTCCGGCTTCAGACCCGGGTACAGTACTGAATCTGCCTTGGTCACCCTGTACGATGACCTGTGCAGGGAGAAGGACAGGGGGAGTGCATCCCTGTTGGTTCTTCTGGACCTCTCGGCGGCTTTCGATACCATTGACCATGGTATCCTTCTGGATAGGCTAGCGGGATTGGGGGTTGGATTCACTGCTCTGTAGTGGTTCCGCTCCTATCTCAACGGTCGATTCCAGAAGGTAGTGCTGGGGGACCATGTCTCTGCGCCATGGCAGCTATGCCATGGAGTACCACAGGGCTCCATTCTATCCCCTCTGCTGTTTAACATCTATATGAAACCGCTGGGAGAGGTCATCAGGAGGTGTGGGCTGCGGAATCATTAATACGCTGATGATACCCAGCTCTACCTCTCGTTTTCCACCAATCCAGGTGAGGCAGTGGCTGTACTGAACCGGTGCCTGGCCGAGGTAATGGGCTGGATGAGGGCCAATAAACTGAAACTCAACCCAGACAAGACGGAGGTCCTGTTGGTTGGCGGATCGGGCTTCGGAGAGGGTGGATTTGACCTGGTCCTGAATGGTGCAACACTCCCTCTTAGGGACAAGGTCCGCAGCTTAGGAGTACTCCTCGACCCGGAGCTTTCTTTGGAAGCTCAGGTGACAGCGGTGGCGAGGAGCGCCTTCCTTCAGCTTCGGCTGATTAATCAGCTGCGCCCCTACCTGGAGTACGACTGCCTGGCGATGGTGACACACGCGCTGGTGACTTCCCGCCTAGACTTCTGTAACGCGCTTTACGTGTGGCTTCCCCTGAAGACGGTCCGAACACTTCAATTGGTGCAAAATAGAGCTGCCAGGTTGCTGACGGGGACGGGGCGTTATGCTCACATGACTCCAGTCCTCCGTCAGCTTCACTGGCTTCCCATTGAAGCCCGGGCCCAATTCAAGGTGTTGGTGATGACCTATAAAGCCCTAAACGGCTTGGGTCCTGGCTACCTGAACGAGCGCTTACGTCCGTATATGCCCGACCGCCCCTTGAGATCTGCGGGAGAGTCCCTTCTCTGGGAACCCTCCATGGAAGAAATTAGGAGAGTAAGTACTCGGAGGAGGGCTTTCTTTGCGGTGGCGCCCAACCTATGGAATTCACTCCCCAAAGAGGTCCGCCTGGCACCGTCGTTACTGGTTTTTCGGCGCCAGGTAAAGACCTTTTTATTTAAACATCATTTTAATTGTTAAAATATATGATCTGGCCAGGGCAACTTCTTCCATCTCTTTTCTCCTCCTATATTCTTTATTTACTTATTTTATACTCTTAATTTTAATTTTATATTATTATTTTTGTATCTCAGTGTATTTTTTGTATTTTTGTATTTAGTGGTAATTTATTATGTTCTATTGTATTTCAATGTATTTTATTGTGTTGTAAGCCGCCCCGAGGCTTCGGCAAGGGGCGGCATAGAAATGTTATAATAATAATAATAACAACAACAACAACATGTAATGAAATTGCCTCAAGTCAGCAAAATGTAGCCAAAGCAAGAGAGGCCAGCAAAAGCAAAAAGTATGATCTTGGAGATGACTCTGCTTCTCTTCACAGCCTAGTATACCACTGCTATAGTGGGAGTGATTAGTTTGAGATGCAATCCTATACATGCATAGAATTGCTCCCTTAGAGGAGATAACCTGAACTGTGCTTTTGTGAGACTCTGAAAATAAATGGTGATGAGCAAAATGGGGTTGTGATTGGAGCAGGGAGTGGGAGGCAAAAGGGGTTCCAGGATATTGGCTGTAGAACCGATGGAGACGGAGGATGAGAAGTCAGGTAAACCTGGTTGACTGCTGGGCACACGCTGATAATGTGTGTGATCCTCTTTGAGCAGATAGCAAACATCATGTACATACCAAGTGCTTTATTAGGAAAATGCATTATCTAATAAAAAGAGATTTAATAATAATTTACAAGCACAGAAAAATATCGTAAAGCAAGAGTTATCACTCATGAAGAGCCATGGCTGAGATATGAAAAAGAGTTATGCATTCATTTTCTGCAAAAAACAAAACCCTCAAACAATGGTACTCAATATTTATCCCTGACTTTTATCATTGTGCTGCATCTGACAGTAACTTCCTAGAACAATGTTTGAGTGCATCCGGTTCATCATAACTTAGAGTTCAGAGCTATTTTTATTTTTATTTCCACTCTTCTTTATTTTTATTTCCCCACTTTTACATGAACACATTATATAGCAATATGAAGGTTCGATCCACCTGTAATATACTTGACCCAAGATTCTAGAAGTGGCAAATGTAGCAGCTTCCTACTAAGACTTCTCTACACGAGGCACTTACTGTGTGCTCATGATTTCATTTATTATGTCCTATATATCAATGTTTCCTCTGCTTTCGCATACTTTCATTTCTTCTCAAACTGGTAAAACTGTTTTGCATCCTTTCATTATAAAAGAAATAATGAAGTCCTCTTTGTTGTTGCTAAATATATTCCTCATTCTATCTTTTTTACTCCTTTCCCCCCTAAATTTTCTTTCCTTGTTTTCTTTCTGATGTCAAAGGCTGCCTTCCATAAATATGTGCAAGGCTCTTAGAGTGGTCAATACTGTAAACCTGCCAGAGTTTTCTTGCTTGTCAACCTCCATCTTTTCCTCCTTACTGCAGTCCATTCCTCTTGCAGACCCAGCCATGGGCCAGTCACCATTGCCAACTTGAGCAAATTTGCTGAAGCTGAAGAAAATGGAGAAATAGACCAAGAGGACCAAAGAGGTAAAAATGGGTGTGTCTTCAGCCAACAAGCTTAAGGGCACCAAATGAACTCAGTCAGCCCCAACCATGTTGAATCCATCCAGCCAGGACAATTTGGAGCCAGACTCAGCACTGAGGCTTGAATTCATCTCTGCCTCTGACAGAGGGAACAATTCAAGATATTCCACCTGATCATCCCTGCAATGAGGCTCCAGTTCTAAGACAGCCAACTGTGCCATTCCTGGCTCTCCCTCCCATGGAATCTGCTGGAACTGACCAGCAAAGAAATTACTCCCATTCCCTCATCTCGGATCGGAAGAAGGATCCACATACTCTCCCACAGGCCTACTGAGGGTTTTAGAATCTCTGGAGCTACCATCACCAAGGGCCATCTTACCACCCTCAGGACAGACCTATCTGCCATCCAGATGTCTACAGAGGACAGAAAAGATTTTTCAATGCACCGGCATTCTGATGACCACTGATACTACCTCCAAGAACACAATGGCCAATCTCTTCACTCGATTAACTTCACGGACCTCCAGAGCCACCTGCCTGCACCTCCATGCCTCCATGTCAGTCCAGCTCTCCTGCTGTCCTCTTTCACTGCTGGATATTGACAACTGTGAATCCAACATAATCGTTCCAATGTCATCCTTTCCAGACACAGCTATGCAGAGTGGTGGTCCCACTTCCCCATCAGTGGACATGGGCCATTTCTCCAAACATGTAGAGAAAATGGCCCAGGACATCAGTAGACAGCTGCAACCAAAGAGCCAGACCTGATCTTCCGTGCCATTTAGACAGAAGAATCATACCGGTTGCCATCCCCATCCTTCCAGCCCTTCTCCAGGCAGTCCAACAGTCTTGGAAGACCCTGTCTATCATGGCATCAGTGTCCAAAAGGCCAGATAGCATGCATAGGGTGCAGGAAAATGATGCAGCCCTTCTTTTTCAACACCCATTATGGTGGAATTGGTACAAGTAAGGTCACATTGGAAGCACTCTGCACCTTATGATAAGGAGGGATGCTGCCTGGTTGCTTTGGAAAATTGGATCTATGCTTCCTTGGTCTTGGGAATCAACATGGTCAGCTATAATGCCACCATGATGAAGTACCAGCTTTACCTTTGGGAGAAGCCCAGAACAACAACAGGAACTCATCAGGGTTTTCCAGGCTGAGGCAGTGTGCCTCTTCCAAATGCAAAAAAAAAAAAAAAAAAAAATACTGTGAGACATTATGGAGACTGTGGCATGATTAGCACAGTGGTGTTATGGAGGCATGCCTGCCTATGCTTGTTCGGTCTCTTGCAAGAGGCCCGTTCCTGGATTGAAGACCTTCCATCCAATGGAGACAGTCTCTTCAATGTGAGGATCAATGAGTACATGAATACAATGCATAAAGTGTAGACCACTGAAATGAAGATGGGGATCTACCATCCTCCAGTTTCAAGTCCACCTAAGTTGTTTGGGCCCGCTCTTCTTCCACTTTGCCTCAGTTCCAAGCAGACAGAACCTCTCACCTTGCCAATGCACCATTCCAGACACAGAAGGATGGTGCCCTCACTACCAGCAAGGACAAAGACACCCTGACTGCAATCTCTGGAGGCACTGACTAGATGTCTGGCCTGGACCTTTATCTCTTCTCTTTTCTGATTTGGTAATTTTAAGGGCTCGCGCTCTCTCTCTCTCTCTCTCCTTCTCTCCACCTGGCAAGCAATCACTCTGATGCTTGGCTTCTATTGATAATACAGAGGGGTCACCATAGAAGGCATCTTATCTCTCCTTCAATAAGAGGACTGATTTTCCTTGGTGGATTTGAAAGATGCTTATTTTCATATTTCAATAGTACTGTGGCAGAGGCATTTCCTTTGCTTCCAGGTCAGAAGAGAGACCTTCCAATTTTTGGTGGAGTGAATCCAAAGCCCATAAATATATCATCTACCTGGAGATGCTTGTGGTGAAGAAAACTCTCACTGTGTTCCAAATGTTCTTGCCAGGACACAACATCCAGATTGCCATGGAAAATAGTATAACAGTCTTTTACATAAATGGTATGTGATGCACAGAGATCATGAAGGCAGGTTGTTTACCTGTAACTGTCATTCTTCTAGTGGTCATCTGTGCATTCACACAACCCTCTCACACTGGCTCAGCTGGGTGTCATAAACTACTTAGCCATTTTCTTTTTGAACTGTATTGACTTTGTGGAAGTTAGTCCTATTAGTCCTCCTTCAGTCCCAAGGCCACCTGGTTGGTCTTGTTTGACCTGGGGGAAATGGCAGGAACTCCTTTCCTTTATAACTTAATGTCGGGGAAGGATAGAAATTCCTGCCAAAAGGCTCTAAGTTAGTAAATCTTCCCAGTAACAGGCTCCATACAGGCATAGAGCCCATGTGTGAATGCACAGATGGCCACTTGAAGAATGGTAGTTACAGATATATACCTGGCTTTTCTTCATCACAGAGCACCAAAATGTCTGCATGAGGCAAAACAGAAATTCTGCAAAGCCCCAGCCATTTGAGGGTGCAAAAGTCAACTGGATGTTGTGTTCTTATCTCTTCCAGATCTTGATGCTCAGCTCTTTTCTCTCTCTTTCTCTGCAGTAAGTCAATCCTCTGCACTGGACTCTTCTTCCTTTTATGATGTGGGGAGGCAGATATCACTGCAAATAGCACTAACAGAGAAAAGGGTCCTATAGTTGTCTGTCCGGGACTGCCTTGTATACACTTAGGACCTAGTTAGAAATGGCTGCTTACTAGTCATTTGAGGTTTCCTCCAGTTCTACAAAATCGTATACTTTCTTGTTCAGGTAAAATCATATTTATCAACCATCTAGAAGAAAGCACTCAGCCCCTGGAAACAGCATTTCTGGAAAGGAAATGAGGTTATTGTGGTTGCAGCATTACGTTTGAGCAAATATGTGGGCCAAGGAGCTCACATGGGAGGGATTGATGTAGAGCCTGGCTAATGTAACATTGTATAGCAATTTGTAACCTTCGTGTTGTTTTTAAAACAAAAACAAAACAGCCAACATTCTGTATTTGCTCACTGATATTAAATATGATTAAACATATTTTGTTGCATAAACAGTTCACCATCATCATTGTCACTAAATGGGAGAGCAACCTGTTGAGATGATGCAGTGTTGTAGCCCAACCTGGAACCCATGGCTATAGTGATCCCTTGGTAACAGGACAAAGAGCCTGTCCTTACCTGATCTGAGGGAATAGGAGGAAGCGTGTATGGCTGGGATCTTTTTGAGTCTGGTGGTGGGGATGGCAAATGTTTGCAGATACTCTCCTGCTGAGCTGCAAACCTTCTCCGAGTTGAAAGGTGACCACGTCAATTCATGGCCGAGATGACATCTGCAAACTCTTGTATTAGTGGTCATAGTGCATTCTTCTTCCAAACAAACTGTCATTTCAAATTAATAATCTTTAACTAGGATTCTCAGAGTATGGAACAAGAATCTCTACCAATTTATGAACTACTTCCTGCTTTTCCACCTTGATGCCAGTATAGAGAAACAAAGATTGCCTCTCAGAGTATTAAGAAAAGGAGCAAATAGCACTTTGGATTTTTTCAGGTTTACTGAAGTTTGCTTAAAAGGTTATTATGTAATTTTAAAATCACTATAAAACCCTATGGAGGGGGAAACAGAAATGAAGGCCACCTCCATGTTCCTTTCACCCTGTAAAGCACTTGGTTAGTTTTGACTGTCTGATGCTCTGAAGCAGGAGGAAGGAGGTTGAGGCACTGCCAAGATACTTCATATCTTAGCCGTGCTTATCTTCCATCCTGGCCATCTGGAGTGCCCTCTAGAGCACTTCTGCAAGGCTGCTTTTCTGTCTTTGGAGAAGTGGCCAGCACTGCTCTTTTGTGGCTGTGGGTGGAGAAGGTGGGGAGGGGGGATCCAAGTGTGGATTCCTAACTATAAAGTTGGAGTGTTTTTCTGACCTCTTAGCTGGGAATCAGAAAAACCTTACAGCTGTGTAGATGCATGTCTACCTGCCATAGGAATGTGCTGCTCCAGTATTTTTATTGTTTATTCATTTCTCTTTTAGCACTGTCCTGGAAACTATTCTGTGGGTGAAGGGCAATGCAAAATTTATACAAACTATTAAAGCCCCAGTCATCTTTTCTTTGGTCACTCTTGCAGACAAAGCGACTAGATTTTACGTTGAGCCAGGAGGAGGCAGGTGACGCAGGGAAAAAGAGAAAGATCAGCACACCGGTTGATTCAATTCTTGCAGCTCAGAAATGATGATTGAAATGGAAGAAGCATCTTTCACTAGAAGGTGTTAGTAGGCATCTTTATTGTACACTGTCTTTTCATCTTTTATCTGCCGTAATTACCTCTCCATGCACAGTACATAGTTTTAAGGGATTTTGTCTAATTTCCTGATTTAAACCCTGTGTGGAATATAGCGACAAAGACCATTTAATGGTGAATATTGTGACTATCTTGATGCTGAGTAACTGAACTAGTAAAAGAATTACACTAATTGTAGCATTCTTTTTTCTTTTTGGTTATACTTTTGGAAAAACTTCTCATTCTTTCATGAAATTTCTGCTTGTTTCAACCGCATTTGTGTCTGTCTCCCAGTTAATTGCTGTTTTGAATACAATGATCTGGAAATACAAGTTGTAATGCAAACTGCAGCAGGATACAGTTGTATCCTTGCCAGGCTCCCACTTCACCAAGCAGAAGTGGTCCTACATCACCAAAAGCTGATGTAGGATCACTTTCCTTGCAGGAGACCTTGCTGGATACCTTGTTTGCCCTCAAATTTCTATTTATTTACAGAGATACAGGGAACAGCTGGGAAGTGCACAGTCCATTCTCCCCAAAGTAACAGCATGCATTAAAGCTAGAGAGCAAGATCTCTTCCATCTCCCCTTACCCTGGCAACATTCAAATCAAAATGTCAAGCAGATGTGATCTTTCCATAGCTACCAGTGATCAATGTTCCTGATGCTAATTTGAACAGCTATCTTCTATCCCTCATTAGCCAACCACTTGAGAAGCTGGGAGCTAGATCAGTGCCTATAACCTTCAATAAATTAAGCAAAGCCCCAGAGAAAAGGTAGTTTCCTCTTTCTGCATGGCAAAATAGTATCTAACTATCTCATGCGTGTATTTCCTAAAATATATTTAATTTTTCTGTTCAGGTGTTTAAATATCCACATACTATGGTTTCTTCTCACTTGGAAAAAGTATTTGCTTTGTGAACATAGGATCAGAAATGTTTTAAAAACGTATCTATTACAAGGGCAAAAGAGTACTTGCATAGAATATTTATCACTTTAAATTTTCCTTTACCATGCATATACATTATATTTTATGTTATTTTATTTCATTTCAAATTTTGGATACAATTCCTAGTGTAGGAGATGTCACATGTTAAGGGGAAGAGTCTGGACACTTTGGCAAAAACGATGACTAGCAGCAAATCAACATCACGCACATCTTTAGGACCATTGTTCACAGGAACTGGAGAACAGATGGTGTGACTTAATGAACCAAGTTTCAAACTGAGATTTGGATACAGCCAAGAGCATCTAAAAGCATTATATTTCTGGATACTGAATGCTGGAGACAAACAGGCGAACTGTGTCTTCACCTCTTGCTTTTGAGCTTTCGTGAGGGATCTGGCTGGCCATTGTTGGGAAGATAGATGGATAAATAGGTCAATATGCAAAGAACAGCCTTTCCCAAACTTCGTGCTTTCCAGGTGTGTTGGTCTGCAACTCCTATTGCACCCAGCCATAGGATGGTAGGAGTTGTAGTCCAACACATCTGGAGGTCACCAGGTTATTGGGGAGATGGAGACAGACCATTGGTTCATTCCAGCAAGGTTATTCTGATGTTCAAATGGACAAGCAGAGGAGATGACAGCCTTTCCAACATCTTTGTCCAGGTCCTCTTTTCCAAACCAGAAGGGAAATAAATCACTGCAGACTTTGCTTTTCTCTACATCCTCCTTCTGTCCCTTTCCCCAACTATAAGGCTTAGAATTACTTCTAATGACTCTCTACTACATATTTACAGAGAAGCATGGCTCTTAGTATCCTTTGGACAAAATACAAAAAGTTGCAAATTTGCTGGTAAAACAGTGAGTAATACAGAAAATTGTATAACAGCTTTCCTTTGATCTCACCAAAGTGCGAATTATAGTGGGTAGTTGCATGTCCCTCGGAAACATTCTGTGTGCTGCAAGTTAATGTATTCTACAGGGTTTTTTCAGGAAATTGGTGAATAAGGGGAACTCTTGGGTTGTCACCTTTCTTCATGAACACAGACCTTTCCAGCAGTGATTCACAGAAATGTCACACCTGCACTGACATGTTGCAAAGTCCCCTAAACAACCAGGTATCATTTATCAATCAAAAGCAGTATCTCTCTGGGACTTTGCTGGGAACAGCTGCGAAAGTGTTCAGAAAATCTGCAAGCCACTTCCTTCTACTTCAAATTACTCTTAGGTTTTAATACTAAACTACCAACAATATGACTGCACTGAAATGTTATTAAAAGTTGTGACAATTACTCACTGTCTGTGGTCAACAACTTTTGCTTTTGGTCCTCACTGAGATTTGGAAATGGAGGCAATAAGCAAAAATGAAACATTCTTATCTGTCTTGCCAGAAAAATGCAAAGATGCTTGTGTGAGTTTTATCTTGATGTTAAACAGGGGATTTCAGCAGGTCAAGATCTTTTATCTTGAAACAGCACCTACTGAAATTCTTTGGTCTGCACAGCTATTAATCTGACAACATCCCGGTCTTTCATTCCTACATTGAGGTAACTGTGTTTTGACCTTTCTGATTCTAATGACTAAAATGATTTCCAGGTTAAAATGTAGGCATCTATGCTGTGCTGTCTTTCAATTCCCAGATGTAGTAGGAGACAAGGCAGTTTGTGACTTCCTCACCCACCTGGTTCCCACTTCCCTTCACAAAAAGGGCAAGATTCATCATCTTACAACACACTTTTAGGTCTCCAGTGACCTCAGAAAATAGTGTGAATTTTCAGAAAATAGTGAGTTATGAGAGTGGCACTTGCATCTAGACTTTTTCTTATGAAGTTCTGAAAGAAATTACAGAGGCAGTATCTTGCCTAAATGTCCCTTGGGCTAATATGTCATCAATAAGTGCAAATGCACTAAATTGGCAATGTTTTTTTTCCAATAGCTTAAAATATTTTTATTGGATTCTAGTGCTATTTAATAGAATTAACAGTCCAATTCTAACTCATATGAAAACAACCCTCTGACTTAAATGGGACTTACCTTCTAGTTAGTGTGTCAAAGACTGAATTCTAAATAAATTTACTCAAATCAGGTTACTTTTATTTAATAGGTTACTATTAAATTTAATGGTTACTATTTATTTTCTGTGTTGACTTTTGGTAAGCCAATAATTGGGCTGCTTTAATGAAAAGACAAAATCAAATAAATGCCCTTTGTCTTCACTCATGTACACTCTCACAAACAGAATCAATCAATTTCTATCTGTGGTTGTTAACTTTATTCCAGTTTTCCTGCTAAACTATTTTTCAATATTTTTAAAAAATTAATGTCCAATTATAGGCCCATTCCTGACAGAGATGGTCTCAGGTTTGGTGTGAAATACCCCTAGAATGTTGATTCAGAATCAGCTCACAGAATGGGATGGGGACCCTCCTAGCATTGCAATTGTAAGTGGCCCTGGAACAGACAACCACAATATCACTCCTTCCAACCTATGCAACAGGGATACCCCATGGGGCATCAATCCTGCCAGCACAGACCAAACCATCCTTGCTGTACCGACGTGCCTCATTACCAACAGTCCAGGAAGCGTGTCTATACGGACAAATGCCAGCACTGAAGGGCAGTGCGAACCATTCCTCTGCTAAACTCACCTCTCCCATTTGGGGATCGACTTCAACATCATCTCCCCATATGGGAGTCCATCACTTCTGATCAGTGGGTTCTATCCAGTATAGAGCATGGATATAAAATCGAGTTTGAAACTGTGCCTCCTCTTGGAGTGTCTCAGTGAACACAGGCTCCACCAGTCCTGCTAGAGGAAGTAAGCATGCAACTTTGTAAGGGAGCAATTAGAAAGGCTGGCCACTTGGAGAGACAGCATGGTTTCTACTCAAGGTACTTTACAGCACAGCAGGATGGAGGCATTTGCTCCATCCTAGATCTGCATGGAGTGAATTGCTTTATTAAAACAAAAAAAATTAGAATGACCATGCTACAAAACATTCTCTCATTGCTACAAAAAGAGGATTGGTTCACATCTCTGGACCTGAAAAACAGTTACTTTCATATAGGCATACATCCTGCACAAAGGCACTTTCTAAGATTCACGGTTGGTGAGGAAGTGTGTGAATGCAACGTACTCCCCTTCGGTCTCACCACATCATCTAGAGTGTTCACAAAGTGTATGGCCCCAGTATATGCCCATCTGAGACTACAGGGTGTGCAGGTCTACCCATCCCTAGATGATTGCTGTTAATCTCATCCTCAAGGAAGGACCTCCTGACCCACATGTACTTTACTGCACCAACAAGGACTGTGCATTAATAATGAAAAGTCATCATTTGTTCCCCCTCCAGCAATCACATATATCAGGGTTCATCTGGACTCCAGACATGCACAAGTATATGTGCCAGCAGAATGGAGGCAAAGACTAACAGATTCCATCTCAAAACTGCTCACCAAAATAACCAACCCTACTCAATCCATACAGCAAACTCTAGGACATATGGCATCCACGATGTCTGCAGTCTTGAACACGAGGTTGCAAATGAGACCTTTGCAATTATGGTTCAATCACATCTTCCATCCTATTCCAATCCACTGTATTGACTGCTCAGACCTCTGCATTCATTCCTACAAATGCTGTCCTGGTGGTTAGTTGAAACCAACCTGACCCAAGGGATGCCATTCTGGCCACTGGACCTGTCTACGATGGTCTACACGGATGCATCTCAAATTGGATGCAGGGCCCACTATGCGTCCTACTGAACTCAGAGTATCTGGCATGGTCACGAGAGAATGAGACACATCAACTACCTGGAATTACTGGCAGTCTTCAAAGCTATCTGATCCTTCAAAACCATCTTGAGGGGCAAGACCGTACAGATAGCAACAGACAACATCTCCACCATGATCTACATGAACAAACAGGGAGGGACAAGTTTGGTTGTGCTTGCACATCTCACACTTTGTCTATGGAACTGGTGCATCAACCACGGGATGGACATTCAAGCAGTCCATCTTGTCACCATTGGGAACAAAGAAGCCGATTTTGTGAGCCACTACATGTCCATAACACACGAATGGGAACTCGATCAAGAAATCTGTCATTGTCTCTTTGACTGGTGGGGAATGCCCTTGATAGACCTGTTCGCAACCCATCAGAACACAGTTTGCAACACCTACTGCTCCAGGGCAGGAATAGGACTGAATTCTGCAGGCAATGCATTCATGGTTCTGTGGAACAGCACTCG